ATTCGCTGATCACACCCTCGAAGCCGTAATATTTGGCATTATTATCACAACCATTGCACAGAAACAGTTCCTTTTGGAACTGTTCAGTGAGTAGTTTGATTTTAGTGTCAAATATGAACTTCATGTTCTCTAAAATAATTTTGCGTCGTGGAGGACCGTTTGGAGGATCCTCCACAATCGGCCTCCCTTCAGCACGAGCACGCGCATCTTCTTGGGCTAGATCTTCCAAGAACCTCTTCCGGACATACATGATGACGTCGGCTGCGAACTTGGGGCATTTCTCCTTTGTGACCCCTTCACCTCCACGCCAACCCTCACGAATGATCTCATCGGCATAGCCGGCCATCCGTTCTTTGATTGGCTTTTGAACATCCTCCCATTCACGGTCAAGTATCTCCTTAGCTTCCTTAAGCTGTGCTTCTTGATGACGACGTTCGTCAGACTTTGCTTGCAGTATCGCGTCGTGCATTTTGCGCTCGTTCTCACGACGCTCAGCAACTTCACGTTGAGCTAAGAGACGTGGCTTCAAGATTTCCCAGTCTCTGTCAGTGAATGGATGTGTGATCTGGATTGCAGCTGTGAACGATTCCATGTGGTTGATCACCTCAGGTGCAAGAGGCGGATCAAGCTCTGCGCACCGCCTTTCAATTTCACTCCGACGACTCGCCTTTGCTTCATTAATCTGTCGGAGGTTCCGCTCTCGGGCAAGTTGAGAATTTGGAGGGAGGGGGAAACCCGGTTGTGCACCTGTGCTACGGGGGCGGGTAGCAATAGCAGCATCTAAAGACATGCTATTAGCAAAGGGGGACAGTTGAAGCTACAATGCGCGAGCAGTAGCTACATAATGAACAGAATATAAGGAAACCGAGAGAACTGCTAAATCGAACCATAAAAAATAAGGGTATAGAATATCTTGGAGTCACATAAAAGATATACCTAAAAGGCTAGACTTACCTAGACTGCTTGCAGGAGCATTTGTGCCAAGGCTATTGCTTGGTCGATGGTTTCCGGTTGGGAGTCGTACAGAGCTAGAGTCAGTCGGCTCAAGTTTAGCGGGCTGTGTCTTGGTACCATTTAGCTGTGCTGGTTGGGGTGACTTGAGACTGCGAAGACCACCAGCTAATTCCCATTGCTCCCATCGCGCAGCGTCATTGATTTTCTCTTTGCCGTTTCCTTCTAGGCCTTTCATCCATTCCTCTGCGGCTGCAGGCCCTAAGGCCTTCACTTCCTCAAACCTGGACTTCAGCTCCTCAACTTGGGCCATTAGGAAGTGCTTTGTAAGGACCATACCAACTGGAGGTTGGCTTCCACGAAGTGAGACTGATGACACATAGTGCAGTGATGCAGTTAAAAATGCAAATGGGAGAGCAGGTACCAGGACTGAGGGTAAGGTAGAAGAAAAGAGAAGGTCCATTTCCTATAGGGTAGTTTTAGTTTTTAAAATTCCGGCCTGTAGCAAAGAAAACGTAGAAAAGGAGAAAGAAACAAGAGTAAACAACTTACAGTCTCGCAATTTGACCTTAAACATTCTCCGCATGAACGAACAGCTAAAGGCCATATAATTCGAACTCCATTCTCTCCCGGTCCACTTTCAAAAGGTGAAGTCTCTGGTGATGGAGTAGACCCGGTTTTATTGCAAAACTGACAAGAAGTTCCACGGATAAGTTTCCACATATCCATTTCTGATAGAGGACTTAGCGGGCGTGGCATGCCTGAATGAAAAGACTTTCGTGAAGTGGACCAGATATGAACCGGGTTAACATATTTTAGTGAGCCAGGAGTTGCACGACCGGAGGGCAACTCCGACTGACCAGTAGTAAGCAAAGCTTTGAAAGAGCGGTTAACTTGCAAGACACGTCCAAGTGAAACAGGGGGAAGAAAAGTGAAAATGTGCTGCCATATTTCCCTTGGTAATTTGGACTTATCCTCGGGTATGGTATTCATGGATTGATCGGCAGAATGGTCCGGAAGCATATCATCTTTGAATTTAACACGCTTTGTGCCATCCGCTAAACTCGACGGCGAGTCTGATTGGGATTTGACACCAAAATGACGGCCATCATACTCTAAGGAGTATTGAGCATCTGAAACTTGGGCTCCTGCTGGATGGTTACCAGCTGCACCGCGTTTGCGTTTCCGGCGGGACAGGGCACTATTGGTGGATGAAGTAGCAACATCAGCAGCAGTGGATGCCTGCCTTGGAGTTTCCAGACGGTTGCCGCGCGGGACAGACATGCTAGAATGAGAACGTGAAACAGCAACATTACTGTCATCTTGTCCGGGTGTTCCAGCTTGGGATTTATTCTGTGGCTTTGTATCTGTGACATGTTCAGAATATGGGTCGAAAGAGGAAGAACTTGAGCTCCCAGGCGAGCTCAATGACGCTGCCATGGCTAGCTACGTAGCCGCAGGGCAGAGAGCTGGCTTAAGCAGCGAAAAATTTTCTTTTTGTTCTTCAGAGGGCTTTTGAACTGGACAGTTCCAGTAGGTTTCTCAAGACCGCAAATTCGTGACGACGAATCGACACATTCAAATAGGGGAGAGATAATAAAAAAAAAAAAAAAACACGTAGAGAAGATGAAAGAGACAAGCGGACAATTATAAAATGGTCCTTATCTGGGAAGAAGTTATTCTTTTGCTGGTATGTTCACAGGCATTCTATGATACCCTGAAAACAGACAAAAAGTGGGCTTGTCGAGATGTTTCTTTTGGACTAGGGAGAAAAAGAGAGACCTTGGGAGGGGTGTATCACAAGACGACACCTCCGTAAACCACCGGAAGCGCGAAACAACGAGAATGAGAGATGGAATGAGAGATGGAGAGTACAAAATTGAAAGAAGTGTTCGATGAAGAGAAGACAAGGTCGTTGAGGTGAAGTTGAAAGAAATGCGAAAAAAAGGGAGAAAAAGCGAAGATTTTGCAAGGCTGCGCAGGGGCCTCTTTTTCCCTTTTGGATCGCAGAGGGTGGAGCCGTGCTTCACTCTGGCGAGCCAATCAGCAGGGCGTATATGAGGTCACGTATAATGGTCACGTGTACATGATTTTTGTCGAGGATGGGATGAATACGGAGTAGGAGAAGCAGACTCGGATGAGAAGGAGAAGCTGGTGAGATATAATAACTTTACGGAGGCGGGACGATATTGTGACTGTGACACGGTAATGGCGAATCATCAGAGCCAGATGGCTTCTGAGGTTGTTATTGGTCGACAGAGGAGAAGATATACTTAAGACAAGCTAGACTAGACTCGGTGATGATGGCTAGCCAGCCCCTGGTATAGTGACTATAATATATTCGTACAGTTGAAACACAGGTGGGATGGTGATCATGTAGCTGGAGAGGCCGCGCCAGAAGTGTCCGCACTCAATAGTTTGGCCTTTTTTGCCCGCCGTCTTATCTCCCGTTTGGATAACTGTGGTTCGTCTGGAGGCGTACTCTGGCTATCAGTGCCGCCTAGAGATGCTTTACGCTTCACCCCATTCCCATCAGACACGCCTAAAGTGGCTGTTCAGGTTTTTTCCCTGCCTTCTTACCCTGATCAGCCTTCTTTGCAACACCTTCGTCCTCTTCCCCTCCGTATATGACATCAACTGTCCCCCGGAAGCTTGTCCTCTTCACCCGCGCCATATCCACAACCTTCCTGGCCTCCTCACTCACCGCCTCCTTCGCCCTCTCAGATTTCATCCCCCATACACATGCGAGGTTCACTATGTCCCATGGTGCCCGTATACCAAGAGCCTGTTTAGCTTCACTGGATATGATTATCCCTCTCCCCCGCGCAGCGCGGATCAACGCGGCCGCATTTCCTATTAAATTCCTCCTGGATTCCAGCCCGCTACCCGTCACTCCGGGTCCGTAACATATTTCTAATCGGACTCCTCTTGAGATTGCTGCGGAGAGAGTTTTGAATTTAAAATGATACGATAGGCGTGTAGAGAGGTCGAGGGATATTATATCACAATCAAGGCTGTTGCAAGCTTGCGAAAGTGTCTTCTCATTCACAGGGCGTATAGCAATAAGCGAGTATGATTGTGCTAGTGCCGCTAAACGCTGGTTTTGTGTGGAATCGGAGAGTGTGATATTTAGTCGAGTTAGGAGGGTGATAGATGGAGGGACGTTGGTTGGTAGAGGTAGCGGAGATACGACAGCCGGCAATTTGCCTGTTAATGATTGTGAAAGGGCAACAGTAGTGTATCCCACTAATAAAACAATGTACGTAAGCCTTTTTTGCTCAGAAGCACCTCGTTTGCGCTCTTCGTTGGGTCTTGATAAGATGGTAGACATACATTCGGATAGAAACCGTAGGGTATTAGTGATTCCCGGTTCGTTGGGCTCGTTATACGGAACATTCAAGTCGTAAAACGTCATGATGGTCTGTATCCCATCCAACCCCCCCTTTCTTGATTAAGGTGATATGGTGGACAGATATCGAGAGCTTCGAATTTTGGCCAGTTCGAGTTTAAAAAACCTGCGTCACGTGGGAGTAACCAGTTACCTGAACATATATTTTGTTACAGGCTACCATCGATTTAACATGCATTGTGACATCGTCTGATTCTAATTCTCCGGGGGATAACACTAAACCCCTTTTCCTTTCTTGATCACGGCCAGTATTACCGCTCAAAGAATAACGACTCAACGCAGAATCTACGAACAATAATAACTAACGGTTGTAACACGGGCCGCGACCCCATAGTTATAAACCGCTAGTTATATTAACATAATTTAATTAGAAGATTCATATATAATATATTAATATTTTGAGGGATATAAACCAGCAGGAACTTAAATCTTTAATATCGCGAATTCCAGCCTTCTTGAATACGACAGCGAACGAAGATGATCTATTAATTGTCTGGGTTTAGGACATGGTAAAACTTACAAGGAGACGTTTGACTTACTATGTATGGTTACCAGAGTCCCCATCAGATAGACACTCTACCCACAATCACTATTTTTCTGTTGTGTAGAAATGTGGTAGAGACGTGTGATTTAGAACGAGATATAATGAACTCATGCCTTCCCTATATTTTATGAAGTTGGACTCGTTCATAACGTTACTTTGTACGGGCGTCAGTATAATGTAGCGTCATGTCGTGATATGGCTCTGGAATTGTAGAGTTGTTGGTATTTTAGTCTAGAACGATACTTTTACGTCGATTACACGTCCTTTACGCCAAAGTGTTCTCGCCTATACTACGTATGGGTGAGAGCATTGGGTAAATTGATAGGCATCATGAATCTTTGTGATCTGGCCGTTGGTGCTCCTCTTATACCCAACTTCCCGAGTTTGACCGTTATTTGCTATTACTTTGTGCGGGGGAATATCCTGAGTTTCTCCTTGAAGTAGCTGAATAGTCTTTGTTTAATCCTGGCTGACGTTTACTAAGGAGGATGGGGTGCTGCTTGCATCGACAATCTCCCAAGAATCCATGTACCCCCATGGACCCGCTGCAATGATTCTTTTACGTCTGGCCGGCAGCCCTATGCTTCTAGGCTAGTTGGGTGGCATTGATGTTCGTTCTGGCCGGTCAAGGAGCAGACATGGTGTGGGCTGCCAGCCGCCCACTTCCCTATCAGAACTCCATAAGGCTTGCCATTAGCAAGCCAGGGGTGAGATAGAAAAGCATATTCTTTATAGACAGAGACGCCGCAACTTTAGAGAGATGCAACGCTGGGAAGTTTGAGAGTGAAGACTCGTCTATGAGCGCTGAGAGAGCCGCAAGGTGGCCTTTACCTACTCCCGTTTCCGGTAAGTTCCTCCGATAGGCCATTAATTTATCCGAGTCATATGGCCCGTGCCGAAAGGGCTAGAAGTCCCGTGACCCGTCGCTTGGGAGCTGGGCTTGTGAGATTGTTGACGGGGCTCTGCTTTTTTGCAAGTTGCAATTTATGTCTCAACAACGCCCGCGTACCACACATTCACGAGGACCAGCTCCTTTCTTTCCTTTTACGTGTAATTGCTGCCACTGTGTCCTTATCGCGCAACCTTTCTGTCGAAAGGCCACCCATCGAGTTTTGAACCTTCCCCCGCTGCTTCGCCGCCTTGATATCACCCTGAGTGGGGTGGTTGCAACCCGTCAAGATGGCACGCGTTTACCCAGATGTGAACCAGAAGATGCCCAAGTCGTACTGGGACTATGATAGTGTTAATATATCCTGGGGGGTCCTAGAGAATTATGAAGTTGTGCGGAAAATTGGTATACAGCCATATCAGCTTCCTCAAAATTTCAACACCTCTGGCTCAACCTACTAACATAATAATAACAGGAAGAGGGAAATACTCAGAAGTGTTTGAAGGAGTAAACGTTGTGAACTACCAGAAATGTGTCGTCAAAGTCCTCAAGCCAGTCAAGAAGCGGAAGATCAAGCGAGAAATCAAAATTCTTCAGAACTTGTCTGGTGGCCCAAACGTTGTCGCCTTGTTGGACGTTGTTCGCGATAGTCAGAGCAAGACACCCAGTCTGGTTTTTGAATACGTTAATAACACCGACTTTCGAACGCTATACCCCCGATTAGTTGACTACGACGTACGGTACTACATATTTGAGCTTCTGAAGGCCCTAGACTTTTGCCATAGCAAGGGAATAATGCACAGGGATGTCAAGCCGCATAACGTCATGATTGACCATGAACGGAGAAAGGTAACAACTTTTTTTTTTATCATTACCAACTCAGGTTTACTTACACCGACCTTAGTTACGACTTATCGATTGGGGTTTAGCTGAGTTCTACCACCAAGGAATGGAGTACAACGTCAGAGTTGCCTCCCGTTATTTCAAGGGCCCTGAACTGCTCGTTGATTTCCAGGAGTACGACTATTCACTAGATATGTGGTCCCTCGGAGCCATGTTCGCCTCGATGATCTTCAGAAAGGAGCCGTTCTTCCACGGTAGCAGCAATGCGGACCAACTGGTGAAGATTGCTAAAGTTCTTGGGACAGATGAGTTGTTTGACTATCTTGATAAATATAACATCGAGCTAGACCCTCAGTACGACGAGATTCTCCAACGTTATCCCCGGAAAACTTGGCACTCCTTTGTGAATTCCGACAACCAGAGATTCATTAGCAACGAGGCAATTGACTTCCTGGATAAATTGTTAAGATATGACCACACCGTATGTTTCTTCCGAAGCCTTAGTTTGAGTATAGTGAGCTAACTTGAGCTCCTAGGCACGTCTTACTGCTCAGGAAGCGATGGCACACCCATATTTCGCCCCTGTCCGCGCAGCAGCCACCACAAATGCTCAAAGTAACTCCGGAACCACACCAAATGCCTAAGCACATTCACCCCGCCCCCTTCGATACCCTACTCATCCCCTTTTACTCGTTAGCTGTTTTGGTATACCTCATCCCTTGACGAATACCAACTCTCTTTTCCGACGTGGCGTTCATTGGACAGAATAACTTTGAGCATCGATTCTCCGGTTAATTAGGGACCATTTATCACCGAGTAATCATCTTTGGGAGTAGTCGGCCGGGTGCACTCTGTCGCTTATTCTTTTCCATTTTAGGTTGTTTAGCACTACGCATGGGGCGTCTACATGAATGAACGGATAGTAGATGATGATACCTTGATCAATTCCATTCACAACTCCCGAAACCTGGCTTGCAATCTTTACTTGTCTTCTGACCATCTGTATGTTGTACATATGCCATCAAACACAAATGCTCGTTGTCTGTTTCTCCCTCTACGGAACTTTGAATTATATAAGCAGGCTTCAACGTACCACGTGATATCTTGTTGCTAAAAAAAGCGGGAGGAAATTTTGAGTCACAAAACTATTGATTGAAAGATTGAAGAGAAGAAACCAATTTTTTATATCTCAGTATCAATTGCGATCCTGACCTCTTTTCAAGGTGCTGTTCGCTGGACCAGACCCTTAATTCGCCTATTACCCCACGTATAAAACTCTCTTTCAACTTTTTTTTCCACAAATTACGGGCAAAACCGTAAACCACGATACTCCGACGATTTATTGCGCGCTCAGCGCGGAGGGGAATTTACATTCGACCTCAATTTACAAACATGGCTTCACTTGCTACTGCGCAGCCTTCCGGTACGTAATTCATAATCGCATCTATATTACTGGGAAAGGCCGAGAACCTGACATCTCTTTCGCCATCACCCTTAGATGCCCCGTCTGAATCGACCGCTGGCGGGGTAACCAACCCAACCCACGGTGCTGAGAACACCGGATCAGAAGCTCAGGATGGAAAGGCGAAGTCGGAAAGAGAACGTGCGTTACCCATTCCTTCGCCGGTTGCTGTGGATGCCTCGAATACAATTTCTGACGCAAAGATTTGATGTATAGTTGAGAGAGAGCGGAAGAAGGCTGAGAAGCTAAAGAAGTTCGCTGAAAAGGCTGCGAAAAAGTCTTCTGCAGCGCCTGCCCCCGCAAAATCTACAGAAAAGAAACCAAAGATAGAGAAGGACAAGACGACCGATGCCTATGATCCAAAAGTGATCGAGGCCGGAAGATATGAATGGTGGGAAGAGCAAGGCTTGTTCAAGCCGGAGTTTGGCCCTGACGGAAAGGTGAAAGAGGCTGGATACTTCGTCATCCCGATTCCACCGCCAAATGTTACTGGAGCTCTCCATATGGGTCACGCTTTGACGAAGGCTCTCCAGGATACCATGATTCGTTGGCAACGAATGAAGGGAAAGACAGTACTGTACCTCCCGGGCTACGACCACGCAGGTATCTCCACTCAGAGTGTTGTCGAAAAGATTTTATGGAAGACGGAGAAGAAAACAAGACATGATATTGGACGAGAAGCCATGATGGGCAAAATCTGGGAATGGACTCACAAGTACCATGATAGCATCACAGCCTCTCTTCGAAGGCTGGGCGGTTCTTTTGACTGGTCAAGGGAAGCTTTCACCATGGATGAGAACCTCTCTGCCGCCGTTACCGAGTCCTTCGTTCGCCTCCATGAAGAGGGCACTATCTACCGTGGAAATCGTCTCGTGAACTGGTGTGTTGCTTTGAACACATCCTTATCTAATCTTGAGGTGGAAAACCGAGATCTCGAAGGCCGCACCTTGCTAGACGTCCCTGGGTACTCCAGGAAGGTTGAATTTGGTGTCTTGACCCATTTCTTGTATGAGATTGATGGTACGGATGAGAAGATTCAAGTTGCAACTACACGACCGGAAACCATGCTTGGTGATACCGGTGTAGCAGTTCACCCTGATGATAAGCGATATCAGAAGTTCATTGGAATGAAGGTTAAACACCCCTTTATCGACCGATTGCTACCTATCTTTGCAGATGATAAGGTTGACCCTGAGTTCGGTACCGGTGCTGTGAAAATCACCCCAGCACATGACTTCAACGATTACATTCGTGGAAAGGACAATAACCTTGAGTTTATTTCCATCATGAATGATGATGGCACTTTCAATGAGAACGCCGGTCCTTTTGCTGGAATGAAACGTTTTGATGCTCGTTACCAGGTCATCGACAAACTAAAGGAGAAGGGCCTGTACGTGAAATGGGAGAACAACCCAATGAAAGTACCACAGTGCGTCAAGTCGGGTGATGTTATTGAGCCCATCATGAAACCACAATGGTGGATGAAGATGGCCGAGCTCGCTAAGCCTGCTATCAAGGCTGTCGAAAGCGGGGAAATTATCATCCGCCCAGAAAGCGCTGAGAAGAGTTACTACCGATGGATGAACAATATCAACGATTGGTGCTTGTCCAGACAGCTGTGGTGGGGCCATCAAGCTCCCGCATACTTTGTTGACATCGAGGGCGAGAAGGGTGATGATGCTGATGGCAACCTTTGGGTGACTGGCCGCACTGAGGAAGAAGCAAAGGCTAAAGCGGAGAAGAAATTCCCGGGAAAGAAGTTTGTCTTGAAGCGAGATCCCGATGTCTTGGATACTTGGTTCTCTTCTGGTCAATGGCCTTATTCCACGCTTGGGTGGCCTAAAAAGACTCATGACCTTGAAAACCTATACCCTGTCTCCATCTTGGAAACTGGATGGGATATTCTCTTCTTCTGGGTTGCTCGAATGATAATGCTCGGAATAAAGATGACTGGGCAGGTCCCATTCAATGAAGTATACTGCCACTCCCTTATCAGAGATTCTGAAGGCAGAAAAATGTCTAAGTCCCTTGGTAATGTGATTGATCCCATTGATGTCATGAATGGTATCTCACTTCAAAATCTACACGATAAACTCCTGGAGGGTAACCTTGCAGAGAAGGAGGTTGCCATTGCAACCAAATTCCAGAAGAAGGCTTTCCCCAAAGGTATCCCAGAGTGTGGCGCCGATGCCTTACGATTTTCGCTGCTCGCGTACAGCACTGGTGGTAAGTTATGACCCCCCTCTTTCTCATAAATTTGCGCATGAAATAGCCTACTAACATTTCTCTTTCTTTCAAGGTGGTGATATCAACTTTGACATTCAGGTGATCCACGGCTACAGAAGATTCTGTAATAAGATCTACCAAGCCACCAAGTTCGTCTTAGGCAAGCTCGGGGATGATTTCAAACCTCAAGCTACTCCTAGTAAGACCGGCAAGGAATCTCTTTCTGAGCGTTGGATCTTGCACAAATTCAACCAGGCAGCAAAGCTCACGAATGAGGCCTTAGAGAACCGTGAATTCTCTGTCGCTGCTAACATAATTTATCAATATTGGTACAGCCAACTGTGTGATGTATTCATTGAAAACTCCAAGACTCTGTTGCAGGCAGAAGCGGATCCGGCAGTCCAGCAATCAGCCAAGGAGACTCTTTACACCGCTCTAGAGGGTGCCTTGACTCTCATCCATCCAGTTATGCCTTTCGTGACTGAAGAGCTGTGGCAGCGTCTTCCTAGAAGACCAAATGATGAAACCATCTCTATAATGAAAGCCGCCTACCCAGAGTATAACCCTTCATTCGATGATCCTGCCGCAGAGACCGCCTATGAGCTCATCCTTAACACCTCCAAAGCCATTCGAAGTATCCTCGCTGAATACGACGTGAAAACGAAGGGAGATGTGCTTATCCAAGCATACGATGCAACCAGCCACAAGTCCATCACTGAAGAGATTGCCAGCATTAAAGCTCTCAGCGGTAAAAACATCGGTGAGCTGACTGCGCTGGATGCTAATAACCGAACCCCTCCAGCCGGCTGTGTTGTTTCACCAGTTGGTGCCCAAGCCGCTGTATACCTCCGTGTATCGGATGAGGTCCGTCTTGAGCAAGAGGAAAAAGCCAAGGCTAGCCTTTTGAAGATTCAAGAAGCTATCAAGAAACAGCAGGCCATCATGAATGCTCCGCAATGGAGAGAAAAAGCTAAACCTGAGGTTAGAGAGCTTGAACAAAAGAAGCTGGTGGATGCCCAAGGCGAGGCAGCCCGTCTTGAAGAGCAGATCCGTGAATTAGAGAAACTGAAGATTTAGAGGGATGACGTAGATGACCTGTAAAAGTCTTCTAATTCTGATTCTACATTGAGCTTTGAATTCAACCATATTCCAAATGTATGAATTTCTTATGTATTCCTGTATCTATCACCCGAGAAACCTTGCCGCGCGTCATTGGGCAAAATCAGCAAGGGTTAGATTTACCGTTTCTACTTGTAAATAAGAGAAATCAAACTCAACATCTCCAAAACTTCAGCCATCCTCTCTTCCCAGTTTTCCTGGCGGAACTTCTGCCAACAAAACGGGGCTTGTTCTCAGTCGCGTTGAGAGGATTGCGAGGAATAGCCAGTTTATGTGGTGGTATAATGCCGAGTTGGGTACTATCTGTAGAGCTGGAGACTATCGATTCTGCTCTTCCGCATTCAAGTCCTCCCTGACGCATGGGTCCCTGTTTCTCACGTCTATCATGCATGCAGACATGGGGTTCTTGAGCATGAAGCTTAGGTGAATCTAGAGGAGCCTGGGGAGGTAAATTGATAACCTTGCTAGTGGGGGATTGTACCGGCGCTGGGGACTCTGCTAACGTCGATGCTCTTGAAAAAGGTATAGGTGAATGAGCCCTAGATGGCCGTGGGCTTCGATTACCCGGAGACCTTGGGATTTTTATGTCCTTCTGTTCTACTGTCTTGTTCCCTGCTTTGCGGGAGTCGTTAGGCAGGTGTTGTGCTCTAGATCGTCGTCTTCGCCCACTGCGGATTGCCTTTGGAGTATCACGGCAAGATTCTCGAGAGGCCCGACGGTGTTTTCCCTGGTTTTTGTTTAATATAACGTAGCTGGGGGCATTGACTATTGATTGCACGAGCGTGATGCTATTTGTAGTTCCGGGTCCATTAACCATTGATGGATAAGCCACGATTTCTGGGGAAGCCCTGCCGTTGGAAATAAACTGGAGAGGCCTCTCACAGCATACAGCAGTGAATTCTATAGATATGTCTTGTTATAATTCGCTCAGAACATGTAGGTTTCAGTCCGGTATTACCTACCGTCTCTGGTATATATCACTGCTGGCGGAAGATCTTGGTAAGTAAACCTGCCATTGCTGCTTCTATCATACAATGCCTTGCAGACGGGACAATAGCCTATGTTGTTTGGGAACACTCCTTGGTAAGAAACAATTTGTTCTGCTGGCTGTTCACGGACAAAATACATCGCCTCGTGAAGATCGGGCGTGCATGCTATTTCGAATGAATAGCCAGATCCGGGGGCTGGCTGCGCATGCGAAACTGGAAGCCATCGATCTTGATCAAGGTATACTAATGAGTTGATATGTGCCATGGCAAGATGAAGTTGATAATAAATCCACCAGACCCCGTCTTTGATGGGTATTTGTATACAATGAGCCAGAAATATAATCACAGGCACAAGGAGGGTAGCAAGGGGAAATGGATCCCCTCCCCAAAGGGTCGAGGTATCAAACCAGAGAGAGAGGAGCACAAAATACGTCTTCATCGGGCATCTGGACGGCCTTATGACCTTAAGAGCATAACTCTCATGATTGTATAAGAGTATACGGAGTATACTCTCAGGCCTATTTGAAATATACGCCCTGAGCTAGTAACAGATAATGATCAATAGCAAAATAGTAGAGCAGATATTATCACGCACTCTATATCAGAGAGATACTGCCCTTGAATGCACAACACATGTCTCTTAGCTCTGGGTATCCTTGTCCGCATCTTGTTGTGATATATTAACTTCCGACAAGTCCGTATGCAGGAGAAGATCCGGAGGTCCATGGAGCCCTCGGGATGGCCGGACATGAGGAGCGGGGGCAACTTCCGGGCGTAGGACATGCATGCATGATGCACTGCAACACTTAGCAAACGTCCAATGTTGCTATTTGTGTGGGAGTACAAGGCTGTGCTAGGACACTCCTTCTCTCGTATCTCACGGCGTACGCTATTTTGTATTGTTCTGTTGAAGCACGTATCTGCATATCCACTATCCTTCCTTTTCGTCTCGCTTCCTTGTATAAGCTCTCTTATTGCAAAATTTTTAGCCTTCCAATCTAGAGGCTAAGCAATGCTCAATGGGATCGCTTCCTTGTGGACTGAGGGGCTAGAAACGCGGGAAATGGCATGATCCTTGTTATACAACTTATCGAATAGCAAAGATCATGTAGGGGTTTTGCAATAGAGGTTATTTATTGATCTGCTTACTTCCGTAATATGACTCACGGTACGGAGTATAATAGCATGGGGCAGATGATATCCAAGGCGATATCAACCAGTCCATTAATGCTAAGAAGTGATGATAGATTGGCAGCTTCATCAAGGGAGCTAGTTACTTGATGACTAACACATTTCACGTGACTAGTGCCCCTTGTTCATATCCAGGCAACCACCGTCCAAAATGATCCAGTCTACGTGAAGGTCAATATATAACGGAGGGCAACATCTCACCATGACTTCGAGTGCTTCGAGTAGTCTTCATACTCTTCTAGCTCGCAGGAAGCTATTGAGCCAGAAAATTTGGCCAGATTCCATAGAATCGATCACAGCATCTACACCAGTTCAGTGACAGGAACTGTTACCACCTGCACAATGGAGCGTCAAGTACAAGAACTTCTAGCCCAGCTCGAAAGAGAGAAACAACTGCGGGAAATTGCAGAAGGAGAGGCAGAAAAGGAAAGACAACTTCGACGAGAGGAGCAGCGCCGACGCAGGGAAGTGGAAGAACTTCAACGGGAGGAGCAGCGCCGACGCGAAGAAGCAGAAGCGGATTTGGAACCTACAGCGTTACCAAGTTTCCTCCGCGCCTGTCACAAGCTTTTGCTCGCAATTGATATTGTGACGGACCCTACAAGAACGACTCAGGGTGCCGTAACGAAACCAACTAATCGGATGGTTCCTTCGCGCATTACGATATGGGACACATTCATCGAAGAGCAGATGACAGTATGGGAGAAACTCAATGACCATGCGTCCTTTTTCTCCGAAAAGCTGTTTCCATCAAGACACCAGCTTATGTATGTTCGCCAGCTCATCACCCCCATAACTTCAGAATGGGACCTTCGATATTACGAACGAGATACTGTGGAAAACCACGTCCGCCGTATTGTCGACCAGATCACTGAAAATAAAGATCTCAAGGACGCGCTTGGTCTGCAAGGTTCCGTCACATTTGAAAGCCATACAAATCTAGGGAGGACCGAAGGAGTTTCGGTAAAGCCTACGACGGAAACTGGACCATCAACCACTGCAAAAAGTAACACCCAGAGCAAGAAATCTACCGCGATCACAAGAGGGCAAGCAGATCAATTCTGTATTTACCGACAAGAGGGCAATGCACACATTCCTGCAATTGCAATTGAGTATAAGGCGCCTCACAAGCTCACACAAGCTGAAATCGAGAAGGGGCTAGCTAAAGAGATTCAACCAATTAGGGATGTGGTTGGTCAGGAATCTGATGATGTTGAATTCTGCTGTAGAAGGCTGGTTGCTGCAGTTATAACTCAGCTCTTTTCCTATATGGTGCAGAAAGGGATACGTTACGGTTACGTGTGCACTGGGGAATCCTTTATATTCGTTTATATCCCGGGCGATCCCAATTCTGTTCAATGTGCTCTTTGCAAACCTCAAGAAGTTAAGAAGGATAATCTTCAGTTAACGGCCGTTGCGCAGGTTCTCGCGTTCACAATTAGAGCGTTGACTGCCCTACCAATTTCCCAGACATGGTATGATACTGTTTCGGAGCTTGATGTCTGGCCCGTGGAGTATTCTGAAATTCTGGAGCAGACGCCACCAACAGCCCGCCTTAAACAGGTTTCTCCCTTATACCGTGGTAGACAACCGCGTAACCTACCCCCTTTTGGGATGACGCTACAATCCAGATGCCGGTCTTCTGAAGATGAACGCCGATCGACAAGCTCGTCCTCGCCATCTCCTTCTCCCTCTTTTTCACTGGCACTGTCACGCGCCGGAATCCGTGGCCAAACCCAAAAGGAGGGCACTGCCCAATCCGGATCAGATAGAAATCCTGGAGAGTCATCAGGCCACAAAGAAGCCGGCGGCACTAAGCGTGTGTATAATAGTATTTACTTATACCCATACTGTTCCCAGCGCTGTCTCCTTGCGCTTAAGGATGGGGGCCCACTTGATCCCTTGTGTCCCAACTATCAGGACCACCAGAAAGGCCGAATTAATGTAGAAGATTTCCGTTCTAGTATCCGGACACAGCTCGCTACGGATCGTGGTTACAATCCCGATTGTGGTCCAGTTTACAAACCAGGTAGCTGCGGTCAATTATTTAAAGTGAGACTTTCATTATATGGTTATACCCTAGTCGCCAAGGGCGTGGAATACCAAGATCTGCATAAACTCGAACATGAAATGCGGGTTTACAACCAGCTTCGAGATCTCCAGGGCGAATGTATTCCGGTGTGCCTTGGTATAGTCGAGCTGACACCAGGACTACCCCAGTACTTTGATGGAGGAGTCTACACCCATATGTTATTTCTAAGTTGGGCGGGAGAATCAATCCGAAAAGACAAAAAGTCCGGCTATACGTTGGATACTGTATCTACGGCATATGATGCTCTCAAAACTATTCATTCGAAGGGGGTTCTCCACGGTGACGCGGAGCCACGAAATATACTATGGAACCCAATCTATCAACGTGTCATGATAGTTGATTTTGAGCGAGCTACTATACGGAGGCCCCTATCCGATGTGTCCGTCAACCCAGCAAGAAAGAAAAGGAGATTAATGGCGACTTGCTTTAACAAAGAGCTTCAAGGCATGAAGGCTGCGCTTGGGGGTGATGTTGCATGGCCTGTGCCTCCTTGAAGCTTCTTGGCTTCCAACAATAGACTTGTATAGCGTATCAACATAAATAGTCTGCATTATCATTGTCAGCGAGCCCCTTTTTCCACAGTAGAGTATACCCTCGCAATTTTCTCCCCGTTTCTAACTGATTGATGCTGAAATGAAGGGCGTGACACTTCCGGTTAACTGGGGGCATTCAAGCCAAGAGGAGTTTAGGGAGTGAGAAGAGGGAGAGTCTAGTTTGCTGGCGATTTCCAGCTTTGCCTTCTCATAGTGAAATCACTAATGTTGTTTCAATAGTGAACAGAATCATTTGCTCAATGATAGATATATATACTTACTATGTATATCTATCTGATGGCGAACCCTAAACACGGATCAACTAACTATGATCCAGCCCCTAGCAATAATCAACTCATATGATTTATGGAGTTTATCTCATACATCACTGGCTGTTTGCTGATGCAGAACTGCTTTAAAGTGTTCGATTCGACAGCCTGTTAATACACACAGCCATTAGTCTCACCACCTTAAACAGCAATTCCCTACTTCTTGGACATCTGCTTATTTTTGCTAGAGGCAAATACTACAAATGGTACCGGATACCAGTTTTTCTCTTCGCTGAGCATGCGCGACACATACCATCCCAACAGCCTTGATATATACACATACTCCTTATACCCCTTCCAATAGATGTAATACCACAAGAAAAGAGCATCGAGGTTCTTGTCCAAATCTTGGTCAAACTCATAACTCTGTGTGTGGGCTGCTATAAGAATAATAGTTTCGAATTAATAACCCAATGGTCAATCCACAACATTTAACTGGAAACGTTGGTTTGGTGTGCGCATGTATGGCCGCAGCTTCACACGGAGATTCTTGTCATTTGCACTCTGTTCTTCAACAGTCCACGCAAGTCTGTTCCCTGATTGATTGGCCTCTATTGGAATGATATAGGAATATTCCCCATCCTTTTCAAACGTATATATCACCGCATCATAGCCGACAGTCGCAATTGTACCATCAACGAAATCCGAGAAGCGAATATATCCATTGCCGAAATAATGGATTACGTGCCAGTTTTTTTGAAGGTTTTGCGAGAGCTGGTCGATAGACCAAAGATTGTAGTTTGATGGCTCAGTAACCTCGACCATATATCCCCCATTGGTAATGAAGAGCCCTTCTGGAGTTGTGATGGAATACCTGGCTGCCAATGCACTGGCCAGGAAGGCAGAGAAAATAATTGTTAACAACGTAGTGCGCATCTTTAAGGTCGAAAAGCGGTGGTGGCAGCTGATATGAGGACAGGAGCACTGAGGTTTAGGGGAGCAAATGGATATCAAGGAGGTATGATATATATATGGTCAGGATCACAGTTGTCTTCATGACACAAGTGGGTATGTTCTCAAGGCCAGTATAGTGTATTGGCGCAAACCACATATGCCATAAGCTATTAATTTGCTTATCCTTAGGCCGAACAGTTCCTTACTTATGCGGATCAACCCTTTGCCTATGCTGCGTATAGTCATACGGACATCTTATTGTGCCAGGGTGAACAGTATACCGCTCTTCTCCTTGTCAGTCTAAATATATCCAATTTAAATGGGAAAAAGAAGCGAGACAAGTTGTGTCCCCTAACTACTGAACGCAAGTCGCAAGTTATCCGTGACATGGAAAGTCTTATATATCCCTTGCTATTATGTCCCTCTTCTGGGCGTAAGCCTGCTAACTCCAACCGTCTGTGTCTCTGTTATTAACCATAACGTTAACTTAAGTATATTTACGTTTCTGGGCGTAAGCCTAAGAAGCTACAGTCCGCTGTACCAAGGTATCTCCACCTCTATATCAAGTTCCTATTTTTGCAAATGAGCTGGCCGTGTTTATCTAGTTTCGGTAATGCAAGGCATCGAGGTAAGCAGGGAATCTTCCTTAATATGGCGTATCTAAATCTCCAATCCTATAGGCAGCACTATTCCACAAGTTATCAATGGGTCATACATCCCAGGGCAACCGTTACCTTGACTTCTTCCACATAAATTGGATCTATTGCCTTTGCTTTCGCCTTGCTTCGAAACGTCACTCATCTACCATTGACCTTAAAGCATTCAAAATTTTACTTACCCAAATAATGCGCGTTACCTCTTTATTTGTGGCAAACCTCCTGGTTACCCTAGCTGCTACAGCTTCGACATTTTTGAATGGTATCTTCACAATCTTTGATGACTCCAACGGTGACAAGTTCGGCATCGGTACATCTGGTCCGCTTCTTGGGCTCATTGAGATTAGACCCAATGCAACCACTCAATGGTTTATCGAACCTGTTCCCGGCTCTGCTTCTCAAGTGATTATACGGGACCCCGAGAGTAATAAATATATCAGCTTCCCAGGGCTCAAGGAGGGTGCAACTGCCACGCTTACCGAAACAACTCCGACAGTGATCACGATATCCCCCGTTGGTAATCTTCGTTTCCAATTCACTTCAGGGCTAGTGTGCACTATCGAAAGGCACAGCACCGTGGACCTTCGTTGGGTTTGGAGGCTGCGCGGTAATCCCGACAGACCGTATAAGAGAAAGTTGATTTCCATGCTTGGAAAGCCGAGTCCACAACCATCCGAACACGAATGAATCATGAGTGTAATAGGGGCGGTGCTTACAGGGTCGCGTGTCTAAGGTCAATTATCATGTCTTCATTAGCACGATATGTCAGTTTAGGCTAATCCATAGTAAGAACTGTCCTATGGTGACATTTTTTGATAACTATAACTATTATTCGCAGAATGATACTATTACCTATTTGAACCTAACCAACCGTATCGCCGGCTTTACCGCTTTGTGGGATTGGTTTTGTAGCTAACTATGTATTAGTTACATATCAACAAAGGCGAAAATAAAGTAAAAGTGGCAGTGAGACGGCCCGAGGCCCTGGCGAGAACAACCTAGACTCCTAATTTACATAGCCGATCTCCAGTCTACGTTTTTATCTACAATACAGATATTTTGAATGTCAACTACATAATTAGACGATTGGTCTGTCTCCCAAAATGCATCTTCTAAGCCAATTTCTAGTACCAATGCTTCTGTCTGTATTAAATGCATAGTTATGTGAGGAATGAATGGATAGATAGGCCTAGCATGACCTCTTCAAAATCCCAGACCTCCACCTAGCTACCTAGTGTGAACATCAAGAAGCATGCATACACGAACAAATATTTCTCACGTCACCATTGGAGGCGCCTTCACCGCAATTAACGGCCCGTTAAATCGTCCCCTAGCTCTTGAGTGATGATAAACTCTTGGCTGGGTAAGCGTGTATAAGGTCGTAATTTCAAGACAAAATTCTGGTCTGAAGTGGTATTGCGCTCAATGGTCCAGGCCAGTTGTTGATTTGTATTCGTAGTTTCGAGGGATATCAGATAGGAAACGTCCCTGACAGTTTCAACATTAAATATGGATGGAGGGTTGTTGTACTTGGGAGTTCTTGCAACCTCCCCAGACTTTGGATCATAGAAACGAATCCAGAGCCAGTCGAACTGGGGATATTGCTTTGCTCTATAACAGTGCCAGTTCTTAACGCCGTTGGTGACCGGTACGTCGACCCAATGTCGGTCAAAGCTGCCGCTTTCAAATCCCACAGTGTTCAAGTAGTCATTGAATGTGAGGTTCAATCCGTGCTGTTTACTTGTTATAAGAGTGTATTCGGCCGGAGCTGCACAAATGCTTGTCACAAAGGCATAGAGGGTAATAACCACTAACGATGAAATGTACATGTTTGCTCTGTAGTAAATCAAATCAACCAGAGGGTCGTTGAGGTATTGGGTGTAGAAGCTAATAATGAAAGATTGTAGTTATTGGGCCTTTATATTGTCGAAATGATATTTTCTTCACTGGTTATTGCAAACCAGCCTACATTCCGTGTTTATCCAGACAGCTTGTTGACAGAAATAGCCTGACCGGGAATTTGATCCCATGGTTTTAATACGAAGAGAGTAAAATTAAAACCCGCCCCATGTCTATAGGGTGCAGCTGGCAGTGAGATTATATTTTGTAGTTAGGTTAGCTATAGTTACAGTAGGTAGCAAAGATCCTTAAGAGTTCATTTATTAATGATTTACTCTCTAACGGGTCAAAATTACTCCTAGGATATTAATGACAGGGCCTTAATCGGAGTGTAAGCGCATGTAAATGTACTTTTTAAAACGAGTAGTATAAAGAAGCTTCATTTGATATCTATAATTATATAACTTACCCTTGCGACTACAAGTAAGATGGTAATGTAAGTAAGATTTTAGTCTATATTTAAGGGGAATAATCCTTTCAGAGTATCCAACACAGCTGCAAATGATAGTTACCGAACCTATGCGGGTCGTGCTCTGGGTAGTAATGGCTTGGTTAGACGTCACCCCGTTGCTAGGTACCAAGTTGGATGCCCAGCATTGAAAAGTATATGCTGAGCTTGGGAAGCAGGCGATTCAACATCCTTCCCTCACTCTTTCTTTTATATAGTCGGGGCCATTGTTAACCATTGCCTTGCCAAAAATATTTTTCCTAATTCCTACCCTAAAACGCCCCGTTTACTACAATGCATCTCGTCGCTACAATACTCCTTCTCCTCCTAGCCTGCAGGGAGAGCATGCAGGGTACTATAACTGTGGCCATAGACCCACCTTTAACCACTAATTTTACTATTTTCGACAACTTCGACAATGGCGTTGTCTCCCTTGGTGCTGGTGTCGATGGAATTCTTGAGGTTCAACCCAACTCAACCCAACGCTGGCTTTTTGAGCAAGTCAAGCTCGATTATTATATTATACGCGACAGCATGAGCAATCGATTTTTATATTTTCCTGAATTCAAGCCTGGAACTGTTGCTACTGTTAGTAAAACAGCTGCATCTGTGGTCAGTTTCAGTCTCGCCACCAGTGCCCTCGCAAAATTCTATATAAACCAACACTTTTACGCTCCCGACCTCTACTTTACCGTGGAACCATATAGCTCGGAAGCACCAAACCGCCTAGTATTGAGGCTACAAGAATCGGCATACGGCAAGAAACGCCAGCAATTCGTCTTGGTTAAATCTCCAGGAAACGGCAGTTATAGTTGGATGGACAGTGGTACACAATAAGGCAACAAGTACAGATAGGCGGGACGAGTGGTATGCCCTGCTTGTAGGGAGAAAAAATTTATAATGTTGTTATCTAGTAAAGGAATAATAACGGCACCCTCATGTTGTAACTAATTAGACTTTGTAAACAAATGCAGGGACTAGACCACCTTAAACGAGTTGATGTTAATACATACATAGGAGCAGCTAATATATGTGATACACATTACATAAAAAACCTGGACCAGCAGCACCTTGCTCTGATCAGAATGTCTGCATAGGCGGTGCATGGATTTCGATGTATCCGCCGGAATGTCCCTCACCTGGGCACGGGCCAAACCTATTCTGGATTAAGGTTGATAACTAAGTTCAGCCCCTGTCAAGCAGAAACGGTTGGCGCGCCTATAGAAGACAGTGAGAAGGGGCTAGGCACATGTGGACGACTCAATATAGAGTTATCTGATTTGGTACCTCTAGTAGAACGATGGTGGGCAACTGAAAACGGAAAGCTGATGGGATACAAGGGAATCCTTGAGACTAGCAGAGCGATTAAAAAGCCGATGATATAAATAACTTGCCTGTCTATCGACATCTTGGAATTAGCACCATGACGAGCTTTCTGACTCGAAAAGACAGTTTCTATATGGCCGGTAGCATGGCTGAACTATGGATAAACACGGCTTCATTCGACAGTTTGCCGGATAGATGAGGCACGGCAAGTATCCTCCAAGATAACTAAAGTAAAAATCAAAATTGGCTGTTCCAAGTGCTGACCCAGAATTCAACTAAAATCTGACTTAACTATATTGTCTGCAGACTGGTATCGCTCTATCCTCGTCTTAAACAAGCAGCATATTCAACCTGAATTAACTTTGCCAGTAAACTCGTTTATTATGACTATGTAGTCAGCTATGCAGATTGTAGCTTACATGCGTTTATCCTTACAATAGTTCAATGTAGATTGGCATGAGAGCTGTTTCCTGGCTAAACACGGCCTGCATAATTATCCCGCAGGTTTGAATCAGCCGGGCTTATGCCCTTACTCCCGTATAGCTATGTAAAGACATTATCAGTACACTCCATTACCTGGATCTCCATCACTCCAATACCGCCAGCTACCCCTTTTTATAACCACCGTTCTTTTCTATCTAGCTGTTCGGAATATCAGCCGAAAAACATGCGTCTTCTACCCTTGGTTATCTCCCTCAGCGCTTTCGTGGCGAACGTTTCCGCAGACTACAGCATTAAAGTCATTACGCACAATGGGATGAACGTTACCTCTAGAGCTCTTTACAACACGATCGAAATTGGGTCAAAGGACTCTTACCAATATTGGGACTTTCATCAGGTCTTAGGCGCCAAAGATTGGATTTACTTTGGTTTAAGTGATTACTTCATTCGGTTTCGAGAATATCACACAGGTGCAATTGCACTGGCGGATAATACTCCATCACTGTTTCGGGTTGAAAAGGATGCGGATGCCACCTATCTGATCACTACCGAGACTGACCCCTCAGGCCAAAAGCTTGCCTGGACTGCCGAACACAACGATACCAACCCCAATGGGAACATGATCGTGAAGCTACGCCCTTACGATCGTGGTAGTAGCCAGCGCTTCGACATCAGGGACTATACAGTACCGGACGATTAAACACGGAGTCAGAAGTACATAAGCGGAACACACGCTGGGATAGATACACCGTTTCTATCTGTGGTTGGCATGTTATTTAACATAAGTCTTCAAAGCCGTCGATGGAGATATTCAAATGTAACTATACCCGATACAACCGTTAATTAAACTAGCTTGTTTCAAGAGTTAAATACTTATAGTCAGATCTTGGTTGTAATCACGGCCTGGCCAGATATTTCACTCACGAAACGCCATCGATATCCTCGCCATCATCTCATGGACATGCAAATATGTAATTTATGAGCGATGATGGAGTTTTTTGCTGCCTAACTAACGAACTAGCCATGCAGGATGCCCCGACTTTTCATCAGACGTCGCTCTGATTGGAGGCAGGGCTGGGGATTTCTCGGAAAGCTGAACATCACGGCCAATCAACTCGACTCCAGGAGCCCTTGACGAGAGAGGAGGATCACAAGATGAATGCCGTGGAGAAGCTGGAAGTTCAGGTTGAAAAATTCGGACGCTCCAGACTCTGCATAGCTGTCGATATCTTCCCTGGCTAACTAGCGAGCTGGCTAGCTGGCTAACTAACAAATGAATGGCGGAAGTCTGCGATAAATGCTGTCCTCGAGAATCCTTCGTCCCCTAAGCTGAACAGCTGGCATGGCTCCAGTCCAGACAAATCATGACTACTATGCGATTCTCGAGATCGAACAGACGGCGGATGCCAACTCCATCAGGGCCAGCTATAGACGCCTAGCAAAGATCAAACACCCAGACAAGAACCTGACGAACCCGAACGCAACACTTGAATTCCAGCTGGTGCGTTCATCTTTGGCTGTTCAAAGAGCCCAACACCAATCTAACTATCTAGCTGGACCTTTAGATCCAGGAAGCATACTCAACTCTATCCGATGCTGAAGCCCGGCGGTCGTATGATCTAAGATACCCATCAATTAAGAGGCCTGCTGGCCACACTGAAACCTTTCCCAAGACGGCTTCAAAGGCTGTTCCAACTACAGCGCCAAATACGGCTTCGAAAAGGCGTTCTGCAGGTCATGAAACAGCTAACGAAAAGCGAACTGGAGAGCGCCATAAGTCGATACTGCAGCAATTAAGAGCTAAGCGCACGTTGCAGAATGATGATTTACTCAACGCAACGAGAGTACTCTGCGGGCTGCAGGACGAAGTCGCCCGGCTGACGGAGGAAATTGACAGAGCTGCTAAAGAAATAGCTGCCATGGAGAAGACCAGGGCATATCGCACTTTACTCCCCACAGCACAAATGCTGGAGGCTGAAAAGAAAAAGGAGCGAGCACAGCGCGAACGGTTCAACAAGATAGTGGTGTTCAAGCTAAAACATTGTACAATGGAACGGCAGGAGGAAAAAGTCCGAACGTGTGAGGCTTCACTTCAGTTTACGGAGAACGAGATCATCAAGGTTAAAAACGACATTAGGAGAGAGAGGGCTCGAAGAGAGCAAGCAGAAGAGGAAAAGTCGAAGAAGAAACGGGAACAAGAGGCTTTTCGACGAGAGTATGACCTGGATGCAGAAATCCGAGAGAGAGAGGCGGCGGAGGCGAAGGAAGCACAGGAGTTTTGGAGGAGAAGAGAGGAAGCAGAGGAAGAAGAGAGCCGAAGACTTGAAGAAGAAATGAAAGAGGCGAGACGGAGACAGATATATGAGGAACGGATTAACCCGAGGAAGTGTGAGAGTCCTAGGCAGAACGGATGCCTGTATGGAGGCGAGTGGGACAGGATTGAACGGCCCATGGTATGTGGTCGTTGTTTGACGGTAACTCAGAAGTTTGCCTTTGGATGTCCGTACTGCGGCAGAATAGCCTGTGACTTCTGCCTGGAGCTTCTCAGGGGGGTAAGACACGACTACCTGGACATATGAAGTGATGACTGAAGTTTGGAGTATCGACGTTACCGCCAGGTATATATATACTTGGATTACTATTGACTAGCTGCCGTTAACTAGTCAATACTTTTTCAAAATTTTAACATTGTGAGCATGATGTATGTATCTATTAGGTAGCTTTTCTTTTCGGTTTTTAGCTGAATTGTTCAATTGGTGATACTAACGATGCTTTTACCTATGTAGAGATTAGGCCCTGAGGCACACTTGGGAGACTGCTCTCCGTCGCGTGTTCGTTACTGTTGTTGATGCTCCTTCTCCTCATTTCTGCGACACCGTTTGCAGAGTGACAAGTTACACTAGGTTAGGCAATATTACACAGTCTTCCAACAAAAGGATGGAATGGTTACTCCGCCATGGAAATCATAAATCATGGCCTCGAGACCGTCCTCCTCTTTTCAGCATCTGAAGAACGTCTCTTTATGGTACAGAGTTAGATCCAAAGCCTCGAGCATAGTGATTGGTTTCCATGATAATGTCGGCTTGCCGTATTTCTTTGGGGAGTATAAATCCTCCCTTATATGTGGCCCTCTCTGGGTATGTCACCAGTTCGGAAAACGGATTGACACGGCTCTTTGGTCTACGGCCCGATTCATAGTTCTGGAATAGGAGAGCTTTGGAAGTAGAATCTGTGAGTCGCCCTAGACAAAGCACAGACCCAGAATAACCAGCGGCAGGAGTTTGATCGTGCGTAGTACGCCAAAGTAAAGAAGCTGTCTGGGTTTCTGTCTCCCTATCCCAGTAGTACTCAGCACCCTGGGCAAGGGCAGCGTGTGCCTCTACAGATATTCCGCAACCCTCTAGACTAGTCCATATTCCAGTGATGGGGTTAACGCGGCAAACAAACAAGGGAGCGCCGTCCAAGGCGTCTGAGTAAGAACCCCAACCCGCAATAGGCGGTGCATTAGGCGAATAAGTAACGTTGGGGAGATTATTCGAGGTAATGAGACATAAGTCATGACGATAACCCATTGGATAGGGTAGGTGTCGAGATGGGGCCGGATCATAGGATTTGGAAATCGTTCCAACCTTGAGCCTTCTTTTTAGTCACAGTTTATCAAAAAAAAAAAAAAAAAAAAAAAAAAAGAAAGAAAGAAAAAATGTTGTCTTACCCTTATGTCAGTACCGGCAATCCATGCCTGACGACCTATGGGGCTGTTGTCTGTTGTGGTGCCGTGTCCGTGATATTCGTCGCATGGTTCTAGAACGCCGGGGGTAGTGGAAGATGGCCAGGGCAAGCGAAACCATTCTAGTGCCGAGCGAACAGAAAGGTACCAGCCCGAGCATTGCATTTTTAAATAGTCGAAATGTGAGTTTGGAGTATAGGCTTCCACAAATCCATGCGTAACCGTGGTAATGACGTCTTCTTCACGCATTCGAAGACGTAGACCGAGGGAAGCTCGAGCATTGAAATCCCCTGAACGGCTTGCAACCGCTGAAGCAGATGGAACGGGGCGGAGTGTCAGGTCGCATCTAACGACATCATATCCTACCCTTTGGCCCCCGATATTGTCACACATTTTTGAAACCCATTCTGCCTCCATGTCGCTTTTGCTGGAAAATAAGATAATCACCCACCCAGATATCAGGACACGCACTCCCACTGACGTCGGCCAAAACTCTCGAAGTACACGAAGGTCTTCAGGCCTTAGGAGGCGACGAGGATTGATATGTCTGGCTAAGGGACAATCACAGAAAGGAATGCCAACATACGTGCTTCGTGGATATGGGAATTCGTGGTAGGGGTAGATGTGAACCTCTCTTCCTCCAACGTGGGTATCTATTGCCCGTTCCTCATCATTAGTGCCGTTATGCACAGCCCAAACATCACCTGCATCGGTGGCCATAACGAGGACCGTCTCGAAAACTTCTAACGAGGGGTGGAACGATCGAAGAAGCTGCTCGTTTTCCTTGGTTACGCTCGTGGCAAACCTAGCTTGGGCAAGCATCGCTGGTATGTCTGCGCAATGAAGAAGCCCTACTGACATATTAGTTTCGCGACGCCCACGTCGATATAAAATGAACGAGACACCTACGTGGGATTTCTCTCATGGCTGGGAGGGAAGGGGAAGTATCTATTGAGGTGTTCGTATCCATCGCTCCCGAGTCTTCCCACCCACACGTAAACGCATCCATCTCTACGCGTCTTCGTTTCCTATCATGCTGAGAATCGCCATGAGGACAATCCTCGACGGCTGTTCCTCGAGCCCTGGTCATTTACTATGTATGCACGATGATAGTCTGACGGGTGCGGCTTGCAGGGATATGGGGAGATTGAAATCGATAACTAACCTTCTTATTATAAAACCGTATTGTAAACTTGTATCTTCTTGTAGTGACGTATGTCAAGAGTAATGATGAAGTTGATTGATTGATTGCTAAGTGTGTTCCTGGCAGGAGAAGAGGTACCGTGGAAGAGATGACTAAGTAGTTATGACGAAGTACATGACTAAGTATATTGTCATTTGCCCTATAAACGCAGATGGCATTAGTCCACTGGCTAAATTGCTATATCCGCTGCCTGGCTGTGAAAGTGTCGCTGCGGATATTCTGCAAAGAGAGATGAAATAGGCAGAGATCTCCTTGCAGCATGTCTATGAAGCAGCGCTATCCATCCTGTCAACCACAACTTTCAACTCGTCATCCATCCACTCGATCTCACTCGCAGTAACTAACGCTGCCAGCCACTGGGAGTCATTGTGTATCGGTTGAAGACCATCATCAAGCCACGCTCTGACTCGCATACTTTGCGGAACCTGGGCGTTATTTTGCCCAAGGTAGTACTGACGGATAGTGTCAAGCAAGGTAGAGAAATCAGTACATTGGCTGGCAGGAACCTGGAAACGAGGATATATCCGTTTATGTTCTTGGTTTTGTATGATGTTTATTGATAGAGTGACGGGCAAAGTATCGGTAGCTTGAGGCTGTGGCTGTTGGTCTAGTCCCGGCTGTATCTGTACGGGATGCTGCGGTACTGCTTCTGATGTTTGAAATTGAGGGTCCTGGGCTTCAGAGCTACCTGGTTGGATATTGGGATGTTCTAGAAGATAGTTTTTCACTATGCGGGTAACATCACGGGTTATACCGGTTGCACTATTTGAACCCGGTTAGCATCAGATAGCACATGCTTTCAGCCTAAGGGGTGACTTACAAGTAATTCCGTGCAGCAATGTCGTCTTCGCCGCTAATTCGAAAGTTCACTTCGGCCATGGATTCAGATGACATTATATGGTTGATAGTGCACTCCTGGCAGCTCTCTGTACAGAGTGTAGCATTTCCACCGTGGTCAATTTGATAGTGGCAGTCTATGGCTGCGACTAGGCCCCACCAGTCTTGCTGGGGCAGGCCAGAGATCGACCCGAGGCTGTCCAGGCGGTAGTCCTGATTGTATGCATCATACGATCGTGCCACAGAGTCCCAGTCCGTTGGATATGTGGGGTATTCATTCCTGATCAACTCCAGCATCCCAAGTTCGGTGGTATCGTTAGGTGGTGGCTGGTGATAACGTTGCACATTCTCAGGTATATTGTTGGATGCAGATGTTGAATTTCGCTTCCCTTTGTCTTCAGAGTTGCCTCCCTTTCGAGTCTCAATAGCATACTGGCGCTGTCGTTCGTTGGTAACCATACGGCGTAGAAGAGGAGTAACGAGCGAGATGATCTTATGGTCATCTCTGGGCCAAATAATATCATTTGGCTGTGCACCCTCATCTACAACGTGTTCTCCGAAAAACCGTAACCCGTTCCCTTCCCGGTCTAGAAAGTCTCGTACACAGTTCCAGAGCCGGAGCTTTACCATCTCAGTATCGCCTCGTCCTCTCTGGCCAACGCAGTCACGTCGTTCAGGGTGGTTTTCATCCAGCATATACTGTTTCGCAGCAGCCTGGAGGTGAAGGAAACTTTCCGGAGACAATCCCAAGGATGCAAACATTTTGGACATTGGTGGGCGCGTAGCCTTCTTGCTCGCTGCAGAGGGCTGCCTGAAAAGAGCGACAGCAGAATGGACACCGGCCGCTCGTGCATCCGATATAACTCTCTGAGGGGGCATCTCTCTAATATCCAGAGACGACCCGTCATTTTCAGGTACTTGTCCGGCAACTGCTTCCTGGGCAGTGTTACCTTCACCTCCATCGCCAAATCGAAACCTAACCGTGGCTGAAGTCATCGCAGGGTCAACGTTAGACTGATTCCGCTTCCGTTTACGTGCAGTGGTCCCGATTACTACATTGGACGCGGCAATCTGTCTATCTCCACCAGCTGCTGACTCTCCGGGAATATCACCGAACGGATGGCCCGTTTGACTTGTGGTTGCAAACCCATTTTCGTCCAGATGCATACCGACACTATAGCTATCCAGGTGGTTTTGAATCGCCCGGCCATGACTAGCAGCCATCATGTCACTATCATCGTTCTGGGCCCACCCGACGTCCTGCCCGGCAGCAGCAGTCGCAGCTTGAACAAGGCCGGCGAGATGGTTTTCAGAGGTATAATCTGGCGAGACACCGACACTGTTGCTGCTCAAATGGGGATTGCTCCCGTCAATGTGCTGCTGTTGCTGCTGCTGGTGGACCTGTGATGGCTGCGTATGGCCTACGAAATCATTATTGGTATTTTGCTGTGGCCCAGACGCCATTACGCGTGTATGAGACTTGCCAGCGTCAATCGGCAATTATATCTATCCATATATTAGCTCTCGGATAGGGAATATATCGGACTTTGTATACGGGTTAAAGTGAATACAAAGTCAACATCTTATATAGATTGTGCCGTTCGCACTGCGAATTATTATTAGTCTGGCAGCGACATACCTGTCCGATATCTGTAAAAGGCATTCGACAGCTAGAAAAGCTGTAGAATATACTAGCTACCCCTGTCGCAGTGCAGCTATACACTTGTTAATGTATACAATGTCGATATATACAGTCGATGTATACAAGACTTGGCCCGGTGTTTGTTGTGTTTGGTTGCTTTCTTGAAGAGGAAAAAAAGTCGCGATGTTTGAGATTTTTGTCTTCGAGGCAAATTATGTAAACATGGTATCACTAAGTCACGTGATCATTACGTCATAGAAGAGAGGTAGAATAAAAATGGGATGAATAGAAAAATGGAGATGAAAAGATCGCATCTCTACTATGTATATGTATGCAAAAGATGGCAGGCTAATCAAAAACCATCACCCTCAGCCCATGGTCGACCAGCAACTCTGGCTCGTACTCGAGGATCCTGTCCTCTTTCAAAGGCCGCGTCTCTCAGCTGCGCATACACAGAAGACTTTTGGAGAAGTTGCTGCTCTAGTTCCTCCCTCTTACTTTGCTGAGGGGCCTCCATCTTAACCAACGCAGCGAAATTTCGCTCTTTTTTCGCCTTCTTAAACTCAGCATCTTTTCTATGCCAGCTCTTCAGCTTCTGCCTCAGATTGAAGAGAGCGGAACCCAGCTGCATAAATTCAAAATATTGCTGATCCTCTTCGAAACAGAGACCGTATCCATCACAGAAGCAAGCTTGTTCGGCAGGACAATAGACGTTTTGACCCGTAAATATGACGTGCCAGAGATACTCCCAGACTCGGCCGGAGAGGAAGTCCGTTAGTGTGGTGCGGAGGAGCCAGTCACGGTAGTAGATGAAATGTGTGCGGGGAACAGCTAGCGCTCTTTCACGGGAAAGTGCAAACTGGGCGCAGCATTGGCCGGCGAGGACCTCAGGCACTGGTACCGAAGGGAAGATGTCTCGCCAGCCGTTGGCGACGATGGGTTGTTCCGGCTTTTCCTTGTCTTCTTCCATGGATTGTGGGTGCAGCCAATCGGGGCAGCCGGGTGCCCAGTTACATCGCAAGTTCATGAAGCCGTCTCTGGTGACTCGTTCGTTGCTAAGACGTTTTATCATCTCTTTGGAGTCATGGCTCAGCGGTTCTTCATTATGCCATGCGGTTCTATGGGAGTGCATGAATATTATAATGTCTGGAAGGTTGTCGTAGTTGTCAATAAGGTAGGTTAGATATGCCATGGCCTCACGACCTTTGTTCATGGGAGTCCGAGGGACAGAGTTTGGGTCGTCAACGACGTATATCTCTGTCTTAATATCCCCAAGGCTGTCGTCGATCCAGTCGACATTGTCCTTTGCTAATCGAGGCATAACGAGCGTTCTTGTGTAGCTTGAACCCGGTGGTTTGGGTGTCCCAGTTGTGAAGTTGGTTAGGATCACTATATCTTCTGGGCCGAGCTGAGTTTCTTCTGGTGAGATAGCTTGGGGCACAGCCTGGGGTAGTGAATGCCCTGGCGGATATCCTGGCCATCCCTTGAGTTGCTGTTTCCAGCATGAAAGCATCAGCTATATAGTCTCCAAGCTGGAATAAATACAAAGTTTCAGCCTACCTTCACCCCCGATAATGATTGAGAGAGCTGTTGAAAGCTCATAATAAAGATGAGAATGAATACAAAGGCGATTATGGGCCTCTGGACCCCGGCCTTGGGAAGTAGAAAGCCCATCGTTGGTCAGTTCACAGAACGAGAAAAGAAACCAAAACAACCCCCCTTCTTCAACCTAAACAGGTAATCATGGAGGTAGAAATGATGACGGGGTAGCTTGTCCCTGGCATGAAAAAAGAAGAGCTGATGGATTGAAAAGTCCATCAAGACGAAGACAAATGATCCATATTAAATGAGAAAAGGCCTTTGTTCCTGGGTTCCACAGCGATCATGGCGGAAAGTATGAGGCCAATGGAGGGTAAGCCAAGCATAGGGACTGAAGTATAGACATTGTGACCTGTGGATCATCCATTAGAAACCTCGAACCAGCCAGCCGTTGGAGGGCATTGTTGGGCCGGTTTGGACGCTCTTTGCTCGCGTAATTGGTCGACGGCGGGTGGCCCCGTCGAAGAAAACGTAGATACATACTTTGTATGTATATTCCCGGGTATATATGTACCCTGCATGTACTCCATATATGTGTATGCATGTATGTATGTATGTACATGACTGTGCCGTAGGTCCCACCGCTTCAATCCCGAAGGTGACGAAACGGGTTCGTATATTTCCATGAAGATCAAACTCCCTGTTTGATGGGATAGACATGTCTGCTCCATCTTCAGACATACTATGTAGAATAGAGCATCCATATACCTATGCATGTATGTGTATGTGCCTTGTAAGACTTTTCCATGATGTCCTCACTAAAGGATGAAGTTCGGCGGTTGAAATAAGTCATTGTGGGGCCTTTTCTTAGTTGACCAATTAAGCATAAAATGCCGGTTTTGAGCCTCCACTTTAATAGTTCAGCCACGAGTTGGTAGGCTAGTTATTTAAATAGAAGGGACGATGGACTGATAGAGTGGTGAGATTCGGTGGTGGTGGTGGTGTGTGTATGCGTGAGCATGTCTTCCATTCGCTGTGATAGTGCCTTGGTTTCCCGCATACTATGTAGTTACAGCCTTGGAGATCGTCTTGCCGCGCTCCAACTTTTACTCGTAAGCTCTCCACTGATGACGCATGCCAACAGGTTTCGTCTCAGGATATGTAACATGGTCAGGATGGATGGGTGAACCTCCGTTATTCCGGCATAGGTAAAACAAATATATTTCTGGATGGATGTTGCAGCTGGCGAACTTATAACATTCTATTCATCTGGCTACCGTGGCTTTCTAGACATATGTTCGTATTAACATTAAATACATAGATCGAGCTAAAGGCCTGAGTAGTAGATAATTGGCTCAGCAGCTCAAAATGGAGGACAGTCTGTTGAGCACAAACTTCTGTGCTGAGGCATCAGCATCCTCCTTCCACGCCGTAGCCACCGACACGCTCACATAGCATCCATCGCTCTTCACCACGTCAGTCTCGGTGGGCAGGCGTCCGTCATTGTCACAGATGTTCACGTCGGCCGGGGTGTTCCGCGAAGCAGGCAGGATACGAGTGAGCACGAACTGGAAGTCACTAGCACGAGTGCACTGAGAGCCAGAGACAGCGCCAAAGTTCACGTTGAGGAAGATTCCGGAGGGCAGGACTGGTCTGGCGCCCTGCAACAGTACACTGGTGAGCTGAGCTGCGAGAGTGGCATAGACTTGGCTGTAGTTCGGGGTTGAGTCGTAGTATGCGGTGGAGCGGCCGACGCTACCAGAGAAAGCGACGGCGGGGAAACCCTCGAGGGCAGCCTCGGTGGCAGCGCCCACGGTGCCTGATATCTGGACAGTTTTGCCTAGGTTGGCGCCAACATTGGGACCGGCGACAGCAAGGTCTGGGCTACCGAAGAAATGAGGGGCGACGGTCTGGATGCCGTATCTCATTGCGGTGACAGGGAAGGAGTTGACATAGTTGAATCGTGGGTTGTTGCTGTCATAGCCGGTGGGAGGGCTGCCAGCAGGACAGGTGTTGAACTGGCAGGGCCGGGTGAGAGGGCCTGGGGTGGCATCGGAGGAACCTAATAACAGTTAGATATCATGGCTCATTATAAAGCAGGGGCAGGTTCACGGTAGATAAACGAGCCCAACATACCAGTTCCACTCTTGTCCTGAGCTGGCGCAGAAACCACGACGTTGTGGCCATAGCTGGTCAGAGCATCGTAGAAGGTATGCAAGTTCTTCTCAGCCCAACCATCGTCGTTGGAGGCAACGATGTTAGCAGCCTGGGCTGCAAGGGGAAGCAGGCAAAGGACCAGACGGAGCTGCATGGCTGAAGAAATTCGTGCTGAGGGCGAAGTTGAAGTTGAAGCTGTAGCTGAAGATGCTTGTCTCTTGTCTCTTGTCTGCCCTTGCGAAGAAGGGAGGAATGGAGGTTTTATATAGCCATCTTTCTTCCATATATTCCTCCTCTTCCTCCTCTTCTTCTTCTTCTCCCCTCCAGCTCACAAGAAGCGGATGATCGCCAGTGCAGGCGCAGTGCAACCTCCGTCCACGACTCGGCGGGCGACATCCGACTGGGTGTTCTGCGTCTTGCAGATATCTCTTCGCTTAGGACGAGCTGGAAGATACCCAATAATCAGGCTCAGATGCGGCACTCCCAGCAATCAAGCATCCTCAACATATGCAGGGTGTTGCAGAGTGGGAAAGGCTAGAGCAGCTCGCTAGCTGGATGGGGTTTCTTGCTTTCTGCAGCAGTGGAAGAGAAGTCAGCCTTCCAGGACGCCGGGAGAGAGTGTGTGCTCGCCATCCCTGCTAGACGGGTGGAACTTCATGCTGCGATGATTTGTTCTAATGCTTGCTGTCGTTACGTTCAGTTCACCTTCTGCTCGACGTCAACTTGTCGGAGGAAGAAATTGATTGAAGGTGAAGAAGTTGAGCCGAGGTTAATGTTGGGCTCCACGAGCAAAAAAAGGACTTGCATGTTTATAACGGCAAGCTTCATATTATATCAACGGTAATATGGCTATAGTAGATGTAATATCAAAGAAGAGAAGAGTGCTACCGGAGATAATACAGCTGTCTACTTGCTCACTCGGAATCCACCTCGTCTTCCACCGTGACTGCTCGACCCTTGCCCTTCGTTGAAGAGTCAGATATACTAGAGTCAGGGCCATCGTTTTCTTCGTTTTCATCTTCTTCATCATCATCCTCTTCACTATCCTCATCTTCATCGTCGTCGTCGCCCTCCTCCTCGGGGAGCTTGGGTGTCTCTGGATTGTTGAAGAGTGATCCATTTTCCTCCGGCGCCTCTTGGAAGAGAGAAGTTCCACGGGAAGACGAACCTTGTCCTTCCTGCTGCCGTAATATGCCAGGGGAGGATGTAGAATTAGCTGTGTTGGCAGAAATGCCTTGGGCAGTGGGTATAGTTGGGGAGGACTGATGTGTAGTGCTGGTCCTCATGAAGTCTGGTGAGCTTGAGGATCTAGCACCTGATGTGCTGCTGTTTCCACTCTCCTGGTTTTGGGTAGTGGGCTGTGATGTAGTTGGGGTTGTCGGATGGGGGTTTAGGAAAGAGAAAGTTGATGTTGACGCCGGAGGAGATGAGGATAAGGGAGATGATGCGGTCGCGGCGTTTGCACCAACGTTCACTGCTGTAGTGTTATGGTGATCCGCTGTCTGGCCTGCCTGTTGCAGGCGCTGCATAGGGACCAACGTCCATCCTGGTGGAATGGTGAGGCCCTCGGGAAGTCGTGAATCACCTGAAGGTATCGCATTAAACTGTGGGTTTGACGCAATGTAGCGCTGGGTTATGGTAGTGATGGGGGATGTCCCTGGCGGAAATGTTCGAGCAGTCAAGGGAGGCGGTGCCTGGGTGGTTGAAGAACCTGAGCCGGCGGCGCCTTGGCTAGTAGATGTATTGCCTTGAACGCCACGGAGCCGTGTTAGTTCGGAATGTAGAGCCCGTATTATCTGTAGTTGATCCGCGGTGTTCGTCAGGTTGTTTATCTCTTGGCTCACTTGGTGCTCAAGCTGGTGGATGACCTGCTGCACATCTCGGTGGTTGAATTCGGTGGTAGGACTAGACATAGTTCCATGAGTATGGGTGGCAGGACGGCCTATACCGAACCCAAAGCCTGTTCGTGGGGCTTGCCCCGCAGGTGGGTTTTGGTTTTGATTTGCACCTGGAGCCTGCGCACCCTGGCCCTGGCCCTGGCCCATATCGATATTCTGCAGCATATCGCCACGACCGGCTCCAAATCCAATGCGGATAGGTCCAAAGTTAAGAAACCACATGCGGCCTCTGTTATCGCCGTCTCCAGCAGCAGCATCATTCCCACCTTGTGGCTGGTCTCCGCCTCTTTGTCCTCCTGCGGCGGCACCACGCCCTGTGAATGGCCTGGCATTCCCTCGAGTAGCTGTAGTGACCGGCTGTCGGCATGTAGGGCAGTTCTGTTGCCGCTCCAGCCAGCTTCGAAGACATGAAAAATGAAGCAAGTGGCCACAGGGTAACTTTTTTGCTCGTAGCCTTTCTGGAATGGGCCTTGATGGCCGAGTAGGAGCAGCCCCGTCATTTGCTGCCGGAACTGGGACCCACGGCTGCATCTCCTCCCGGCATATAATACAGACATCCTCCCTCTCGATCTCTTCCGCAGTCGCATCTGGATATCGCTGATTCATATCTCGGGTAGCGTTTCGATACCGGATAAAATCGATAATGCGTTTAGCAAATGACCTCATCGTGACAACAACATCTCTGAGGATATGGATAGGGAGTCCGTAGAACCTGAACAGGATTGCGAAGAAGGATAAGTAGACCACCAGCTTTAGAAAGTCTAACAAATAAACAAATAATTAGCACTTGAAGTGAATCTCTTAAGGGAATTTTCCGTAAGCCCTTACCAGTAATAAGATCTAGATAGAATACCCATCGACCTTTCTCTTCCCACCCAGAAACATCTAGCTCCATTTCGTCAATATCGTCTTCACTCGGCAGATTGTCCGCATTAGGGGTTGCAAGCCCCGAGGCGGCCTGTCGACGGATCATCTCTTCTCTTTCTGCCCGAATCTCTGCTCGGCGCTCTGCCAACTTGGCCTGTTTCTGCCGCCGAGTGATGTAGATCTCTGCTAGCGAGAGAGTATATCTAGCCATCGTCGAAGTAGAAAGAATAGTAAGAACGGCAAATTCGAAGCCGAACATCACCATCATATCTGGGCGAGCCTGACGCAGGACCGTTTTGATAGCGTATTCGAGCATCTGCGAATTGAATAGCACAGATATGATTAACGACACGGCGAGTCGTGTGTGGAACAAACGAGGATTGGCCGGCGGTTGTTGCTCCAGGATCTCTACCCTACCTTCACCGATCCATCCCCAAACTTTGCCCGCCAGCAAGCAAACAAACATGACCATGAACCAGGCTCCTAGCTCGCCTCGAAATATCGTCATGGCAAGGCATGTCTCTGTAACCGCAAACCATGCCTTCTCGTATAATTGTTCGGTTTCGATTTGTCGCAACGGGCCATAGAGTAGCCTCTGAAGACCAAAAAGGGCATAGCCAGACATAAGAAGGCACAAGTTTGTGAGTATCTATAAAGGAGGCGAACACCGTCAGCGTCCTTCAATCTCCCTCAATCGCAGTAGAAACCTCCCCTCTCCTTTCGAATCTGCCATATCGCAGAAATTGAACCGTTACTTACCATAAGATTCGCATTGTTCTGCGAAAGAAATACAGCAGCGGAATAAAAGTTCGAGCGTTGATGTAGTGCTCTGAGGGCCACCCCCGCGGCCAGGACTATGGAAGTCTTTTTCAACAGTTGTCAGCATTCATTTCATGTACGTCTCCTAAAGCAATAACATACCCCGGTATAAGCAGCCAATCTCATGGTGGATGGTTATCTAACTGAATCGCAAAGTAACAAAACGACCATAGACCTGGGGATGAGAGTCGTTGAAGCTAAAAGGGTCACAAGGATGCGTCAATGGCTCATGTTTAAGATAGTGTTTTCTCCAAGACAGGGGAGCATCCTAAATGCTCTTATTAACCGTGTATCCAGCGTAGCAGGCCAAAAAAGCTGTTTTGCATCTGCTTCATCCTGCCAGCCTGGCGCTTTTATTGTAGCTTGTTGTGCTTTTTGGGCTGGATGTGGACAACTTTGCTTATCTGATAAACTAATGCTGACTCAGCATGCGTTAGTCATCTTTTAGTCATTTTCGATCTGATAAGGCACTTCGACTTCCAGCTCTCAACTTCAGCTTCAGCTTCAACTTCAACGTCAAGCTTGCATCACAACAAAGTCGCAGATAAGCAACAGGCGATCCACTGTGCAGAGAAGCTTGTATAATTGTGTTCAATTGCATGCATGCAGCCTTGCTAGCTTGCCAAGACATCAAAGGAATGCAATACTGTGTGGCTGTGGAATCATGATCTCTCAAAACAGGCTGCAGACGGCAACCTACCTGCTGGCGGTTTGCCCGTTTTCCATCGCCTTCTTAGTGTTTATGAATTCGGCAGTATCCTTTGTTGTTACCGACCTAATTCATCTTGAACATGGCCACGGGAATGCTGTTGGGACTCTAGGGTTTGCAGACGAGCTACTGGCTCTTATTGCTTGCCCCGTGTGGGGGCTGATATCCGATCGCATCGGAGCTAGATATGTATGTAATCTTCCTGCTCTTCCGCTTCCGCTCCTGTGTTATGCCTTATTCAGTGCTTAATGTCATAATATCATGCTAACTTGAAAGTAGGTATCGACCATTGGCTACTTCATTGTTGCCACATCACTGGTGTTATTTGTGCAAGCCAAAAATGTTTACCCCCAACTCTTGCTCGGAAGACTGCTCTTCTGCCTCGGTGGTTCTGCAGTGGCAACCATGGTGACAGCGCTACTTCCAGCTATCACCGCTAATCATGATATCGCCAAATGCCCAGCTCCTGGCGTTGCCCCGCCCCAGGCTGGCTCTCTCAGTACCGCCAACACGCCGCGTAGTGTGTTTATGGATGATCAGCATCCTAGTGTAACAGCACAAGAACGACCAGGAGGCTCTGCACCCCGACTAGCTGGGTACGTCGGAATGCTGACAGGTTGTGGCGCGCTCATCGCTCTCCTCTTATTCTTACCCCTGCCGGTACGATTTCAGAGAGCTGGTTATTCTCCTGCGCAAGCGATCAAATTAAGCTTCTATGTTGTTGGTCTGGTATCGTTTGTCGTTTCAATTGTGTGTTTTTTTGGGTTAAGTGGTCTTCGAGGCGATGAAGGGAAATCGCTTAAGTTGCTCCTTGGGTTCATTGAGAAAGACAATGCCCCAGGGACAGGAGAGCAGCCCACTGTCAGCTTGGGGAAACCATCCCATCATTCCCCACGTTCCTATCTAACCCAGTTTTCCATCGCCTTGAAAGCAGGGATAACTAACTATAATATCGGGCTGGCTTACATCGGTGGATTTGTCGCGCGATCATCTTCTGTTGGCATCACCCTGTTTATTCCACTCTATGTTATGCAGTATTATCGACGTTCCGGGCTCTGCCATGAAGGCGATGCATCTCATACGACCCAGCTCCATAGCGCGAACCTTGGTGATATCAAGCAATCCTGCCCGCGTGCATATGTCGTTGCATCAATCTTGACTGGTGTATCGCAACTAGTAGCCTTATTATGCGCGCCCTTATTTGGCTATTTATCCGATAAGTCCCGCAGGTACAATTTCCCATTGCTAGTAGGAGCCCTTTTGGGATCCTTAGCATATATTATATTGGGATTGTTAAGAACCCCCCGAATCCATGGCACTCAGGGCAGCGTAGCCATATTTGTCGATATGGGCCTTATTGGGCTCAGCCAGATTGCCGCAATTGTATGCAGTCTGGCTATCCTGAGTAATGGAATCAATGGAGTTCTCCCAGTTATGGATAATATTGAACAGGAAACACACGCTGATGCGCCGTGTGAAGGGGCTAACCCAAATACTAGTGAACCGCCTCTTGAAACGACAAACGAATCAACCCCATTAGTACCGGGAGACATACACACAACCTCTTCACCACAGAGCTTGGTTCACATCAAAGGTTCCATCGCCGGCATGTATTCCCTTTGGGGAGGTGCCGGCATCCTCATTCTTACCAAGGTTGGCGGTCTCATGTTTGATACGCTCTCGCCACAGTCTCCGTTTTATATCCTCGCCAGTTTCAATGGATTACTTCTTGTTAGCGGCTTGGTTATTGGGCTCAAGCAGCACTGGGACTCAAGGCGGCGTCGTTGACATCATGATCACCTTATTTCATTAGTAGAGCGATATAAATAATCCTGAAACGCCATAGAAGCATAGGGCTGTTCATCCCGCAGCATCCCTGGCTTACCCATATCTTTCTATTGACTTAGCCCTAGGTTATCGACTTTATGATTCCAGCACACGAGATTGGTCGATTGACATAGTTGGGGTAAACTCGATCCTGCGGTCTATATACGCCGTTATTCCTGGGCTACGGCGTTTTTACTTGCCTGTTTAGGAAAAGAGAATTGAATTTCCTCATTGAGCTTGCTGCAGAGAAGGATTGAAGAATATTCTATGCAGCAAATCCGTTTCTACGCAGATCAACTACCTCGTATCCCCCACATACCCACTGCGTATGTATTACTACTATGCAGGGTAGATTCGACCCCATGGCCTTCACCCACAGTACTGGCATAGGGCTGAGCTGCCCGACCCGATGCTGACGAGAGCCGCGTTGCGTGAACCTACACCTCCGTATATATGGACTCTACCTATGAAATTCTGGAAAAGTTTCTGTGAACGGGAGGATGTTTACCGTTTTTTTTTTTTTTTTTCTAATTCTTTTTTGATTGAGATTTTCAAAGGGTTAGCCCAGTCATAACTAACGCCCTTTCTAATTGATATCTAGAAAATTTGGAGACGATAATTTAGGTTCAGACGGGACAATTTTAGTTTTCCCGTTTGCTAGGCAGATGTACAAAGTGCATCCGTCTACCCACTTCAGACGAACGATGGAATTGAAACGGATATAAAGTTGTTGTATTATGCGCGCAGCAACCCCTTACGCCCCATGTGAACTATAGGGCTCAGCCAGCATATGGTCTGCAGTGACAATCCATGAGCAACATCAATTCCTCATGTTAGCGCTTAACAGTTGGCAGGGGCTACTTTAGCCTCTGCGGCGCCTCCCGGGGAATGTCTCCATCCTACCCGAAAGCTAAACAAAGTTTACCTGGCGCAAGTGGCCTGGCTCTGAAGAAGACGACAGATGAAGGAAAAAGCAAAAATATCACACCAACGGACTCGAGCATACGGGAGGAACTATACGGGGTGTGCCTCCGTTTTCTAGTTGTCATGCACCGAAGCAACGAAGAACATCCATAGAAGGAAGGCAATATGCAGGCAGAATTTTAGCGAATGCAAGATGCGAGTTTGGGGCCAGGTTCCGTTCCCGACGACCAACCACAAGCGCTATGAGGGTATGTGCATGAAAATTTCCATCCTGACGGAAGCTGGTTTGGATATGAAGGAAAAAGAAAAGAATTCTCTTTAGAGGAGGGGAGTAAACGAACCCATAGGATGAGGGGTAGACAGCACAGTGAACCGGATGCTGCCGTCAACTGGTTAGTTTGATTGGCAGATTTGTCTCTTGTCAACTAATCTGGGGATGAATCCTTCAGCTGCTGGCGCTGCACCTATGCTTAGTCAACCTATGTTTCCTCCCCAGATATTCTCTGATCTCCACCAGGCTGCCCACCCCGTGATACTATCTCGCACTGTCCTCCTTCGGCAATTTCTAAAGAAAATGGCTCACCAACGCTATCATATACATATAAGATGGCGGGATGGAACTATATTATATCTACCAGAGAAAGACAATGATATAAATTGTCGGTGTGCTCATTGGAATGCCGCACCGCTATTCTCATTAGATAGATAATGAGAAACGGTAGAATCCGCTCCGCAGACAAAGGATCTATGAAATCGCACATTTGAAACAACCCGATCTCCCATGATCGCTCAGTCCTAGGTCGAATGGAATAAATTTCCGACCTGCACTCCTCGGGATAGTAAGGCGAGGCATATGCATCTTCTGAAACAAAGAGCTCACTCTCATTTCATTTTTAACTTGACTAAATACCGGTCAGGCACCGCATTGTTCGGATCTTGCGCGTGCTAGTATATTCACCTTCCATGCTAACGCAGTATTGTAAGCCATTTGCAGAAGTAGGAGACAAATTAGCCTACGGGAAAAAGGAAAGGGAATACAACCCCGGATAAAACTCAAAATATTGCTAGATTTTCTTCTTCTGGCTTGGTTTACGGGACAGTATCCTTTTTTTTTTTTCCAGAAAAGCAAGCATGTGAAATTGATTCATAGTATGGCCACGATGACCGGCATGTGCCTGGCCTACATACATGGTTCGAACCCAGCGCCATGAGTGAGATGCACCCAACGCCTAGGATATGCAACCAAGTTGCCCCGGTGGGAGGCACACTAGCGCTACAGAAATTTATTCAACATCCCACTCACTCTCCTCATCTCCTTCACACAGCTGCGGGATCCGCCTGGTTCTTTAGCGCAACGCATGGATAAAAGCAATGTTCAATCATGCCGCTGAAGTGCAAAGAATGGATCTAGAACCGCATACTGGCCTGATGAGATTTGCCTAAACCCCAGGCCAGAGGGAGGTTCCAGGATGCTTATTGGGAGATGTCCTACCATACCAAGTCGATCGTTTGAATAGGTGCCGTGAAGATATGATAAGGAGAAGAAGAAGAAAATATGAAAAATTTTGTCCGTGAAATATGTTCTCCGGGTGTTAAAACAGCCTCCCGTTACAACGGGTTTTGCTATATAGAAAGTCCTCAAGTACTAAAAGCACCCTTTTACTTCTATACGCATTCCTCAAGAAGTAGTGAATAGCACACTTCAATTTGAGACCAGGTTTCGTTGAATATCATTTGCATCATATAAAATCAACGCCTCACACACTTAGATATCTCTCTATTGTCACTGTTGTCATCATATCACAAGAAAACGATTCACAAGCTTCCCCACGCTATAAAGAAATTTCTGGTCAGCTATTGCGATCAATCTCACCGCTTCTCCCATTAACCCGAGGTGAAACAATTTCAGAAGGACAAAAAGAAAAGCGGGCAAATACCGGCCGGAAATCTCCTCTCTGCATTAAGCCTGATACCCAGGTCCTGGGTTGCAACACAGTGGCGGAACCGCTCTGGTTGGCTGGGGTTAAGACCAACTTTGCTGGCCAAAGTATTAAACCTCTCAGCGCAACTCAGAGATTTTAAATGGCTTCTGAAAGTCTGCCCAAGCGCATTGGCAGGCCTTTGAATAGCTTAACCCATACCGATGCTCATGAAGAGGCTTTGATATTTAGCCATCCGCCTTATCCAACCGAGATGTCATACCAAACGAATGGGGCCGAGGACGGAATTGTTTATACACCAAAGACTGACGACTTATCAGAGTCAAATGAGAACAACACAGAGCAGCTGATTATGGATTCCCATTGCCCACTTCGGCAAGGAGACATTAAGAGTATAGGCCACGGCACAAACGAGTGTTTAAGCCAGAGAGACTTAGGTATATGGGGGAAGAGCTGGAAGCTTAATTATGCCAATACCTCTACTCATACGAGGCCCATAACCAGTGGAGATGGATCACAAGAAGGCCAATATCAACCCACTTCGACCCCAACCTCATCATGTCCGCAATGCAGTAGCCCCTTGATGACAACATCCAGAGGACAGCTTGGTCAAGTTCCTTTCTGTCAGAATTGGCAATCAACTTCAATATCGGACGGTGTCGAAACTAGTCCCGGTGATGGCAGTATTTATCCGCCTTTTGAATGGCAGATAACATCTGGCGCTGACGTCTTGCCCCTTGCCGCTTCAGCTTTGGGTGAGCTTGAGAGATGCGGTGCGAACACTGAACCTCAAGCATCAGGGTATCTTGTGTCTGAAGGCATCACAGGGTGTATGGAGCAGAACGAGACTGGATATTACCCATATTGCGGCCAAAACATGCCCTATCCAAACATCCCTTACTCTGGCTCTCAATCGTACCCGTGGACAGATGTTTCTTGTTCAAACGTGATATGCATACCAGCTCAGCACCCAAGTTCATCATGGGACATGAATAAAGATAGTCACAGTACTGATCATGGCTTTTACTGCGGCCCGGAGTCACCTTCCTCTTCAGCACTATCAAGTGGGGCAGCGCCAGACGTTTCACTCACAGCGACAAACCCCAAATCCCTGGTCCGTATTGAAAGCAACACATACCCCGAAGAGGCTGACATAGAGAGTTCAAGCGAATGGCAATCCCGAGCTAGCTCCAGCACGGACGCAGACATAGCGAGTCGATTTACACTCAATAGTGGCTCTGACGAAGATCACGCTGGGAGAAAAGGGTATCGCATATATTCTCACCGAAATGACAAACGAGATGCATTTTTGATAGAGTGTAAGCTCGCGGGAATGTCTTATAAGGAGATTAAGGAGAAAGGGAACTTCACCGTAGCAGAGTCAACTTTGCGAGGCCGTTTTCGAAGTTTGACAAAAAAGAAGGAACTTCGAGTCCGGAAGCCTGGCTGGCAGGATAGTGATGTGAGTATATCTTCCCTTTATTCTCAACATCAAGTGTCTAGGAAGAATTAACGCTAACATATTGTCCGAGCAGTTGAGATTACTTTGCGAGGCCGTGAGACGATTCGCCGAGCCTCATATCACTCCAGATATGGGTGAAGAACTGCTGCCACCGAAAATTTCCTGGAAACAAGTTGGAGACTATATTTGGATGAAAGGTGGTTCATATCACTTTGGTAATGCAACTTGTAAGAAGAAATGGGCGGAACTGCAGCGCAATCACGCGTATGTTCAAAATGTGGTATTCAATCGTGCATTTTAGCTCGAGCAGAGGGAGCCTCCCCCCTTTCACTCCTAGAAGCCTGGCAAAATCAATGTAAATAACTTAATATATATATGCACGGGTTACCGTTCCCTTGTAATGCTGCGTAACATTGTAGTTCGTTTTCTATCTGATCCGTAAATTCGATGATTGCAACCCAGTTAGTATGCAAGAAATATCTATACCCAGCAGAGAGGAGGAAAGCAAAGTGGAAGACGGCACATGCTCAGTATGGTATATGCCAGGCAATATACAAGAGCATTGGAAGGACGATAACTTAAGCTGGAATCCCGACATCACTGAGAATCTTTTCTAGCATTGATGGCTGTTGTCTTAGGGTATTCCATTCCGCTTCAGCCTTAACCATCAGAGTGCCTGCCAGTATTGTCCCGTTGAGTTTCACCAATCCCTCATCAACCAGACCTTTTCTAATTCCTGGTTCGAGTGGAATCCAGGCATGCTCACTTCTACGAGGGCAAATCATCATTCTTGAGGTTGTCATGGCCAAGTTATAGCTGATAGCGGCTTCGCCCTGGGTTCCCAGCGCTCTTGAGGCTGAGATATTACTTAGCAGTGATTCCGAGTGCTGAGCAGCAGTAGTTACGGCCATTGCATATAGAGAGAGATATGATTTATGAAGCTCATCAGGGGTCGGATTTGGAGATAAATGCGCCGTGTAGGTAACAAATGGTAGTTTCGGCTGCTGGGGCAATCCCGATGCATTTTTCTGCTCGACAGGATCCTCCCCGTCAATTAAGGGCGCCCAATTCGCTACGTCGTCAACTTGACGCATGTCCTCTATTGGGAGAAATTGCAGATGTCGATGGGGCTGGCTAGCACCACTATGCTCGCCAGAGTTGAAGAAGGCGAAGAGACGTTTCTGCTGCTCTACTGCCTGTGAGTCCTCCTCCCCATGCTGGCCATTTGCCGGTTTCTCCCACTCCTTAAGACATGTAAATGCCGCATGGAGATCGCCTGCTTCCAGGAGATGTGTTTGTGGTTTGAAGGCTTTCGTTGCAAGGATGAAATGGTTGGCAATAACGGGAAACTTGTTTAGAACAAGGATATGAGTGGGATCTGAGGCTGGTATTTGGGCAACTAGAAGGTCTATATGTGGGTTTTCGAAAGGATCTATCTTCTTTGGTTTCGTATCATCGGCGCCTGTACTGACTGGCTGAGGAGAGTTGTTTGTCGGTTTTACTGCCAACGCGGGGCAGTATCTGAGTTGAAACTATTGATCAATATCAGCATCCAGAATAATATAGAGCAAAGCAGCTTATTCGAGTGAAATGGAACAACTGGGCTTACAGGAACACTAGACGATTGCAGCGAGGTCACCTCTGTTTGCGAGAAGACAAGCGATCCGGCTTTCTTTGCGGCGGCGAACCGTCGCGCAACAAGAGAGGCAAGATGTTCCGATAGACAAAGTAGCATGTTTTCGTCTCGAGCTTCTGCTTTAGTTTCCATATTGTTCCCATTAACCGTTGTGTCAATCGTGTATTATCGCGAAGAGCTATTGAGATCTCGGTCTTTCTTCGATGTTGTTTCGTTGGAGCCAAAATTTCCAACCGCCACAAGCGCAAACGTTTTTGACGTCAACAAATGTCAAGACATCAAAACCACCACGAAACTGCATACTTCCATGCTGGATATATCAACTAAAAATCGGTATTAACGGACTATCTACAGTACAACAGGTCAAGAACACAGTTCTTTAGTCAGGTATCCGCGATACTGCAAGGTTTGGAATGTTTTCTCGACTTCAACAGGAAGAAAGGCCTTTCTCTTTCTCCGGCTTGCAGACACCCAAGGCATCAAGATACCCTGGAAAAAAGAAAGAAGAAGAGAGATTGCGATATTTGCAGTTAGACCTGAGCTTCGAAGAGGACGCACAACCGATATCGCTTTCCCATGAGAAACGCGTCAACAACGTATACCCGTGCCTGGATACACCATCAGAATCATGTCAATACGTGAAGAACCAACCTCTGGAACCCCATGGCGCAAGACCTGCCCATCCTGGAAAATGCTCCATACGCTCTCGGGCGCTGCCTGTCTCGCCCGGTGAAACCGCTCATGAGATGGCGCTTCTGTTTACTGGGGGTTCTTGATATGTGGTTACACCAGGCGCAAGGGCTCCCGATTGTCTTCATCACGGGAGGGGAAGTTAACCGTATGAAGAAGACATGATTGTCCGCTGAATCTAGGAGGGAATATGGATGCCTGCGTGTAACGAAGTCGGCACCGACGATTCGGGCACCCTCCTGGGCGGTGGCTGAGCCCAGACGCACATTACCTGCAGCGTAATCAACGAGGTAGAAGCCATCTCCTCGTCAAGCATACTTTTACACATACTTTATCGACGGTTTATTTGAGCGGTGATCAAGGTTGGATGCCGATATGCTACCCATACCTCTTTCTCCTAGAGGTAGGACGTTAATAGAAAAAAGTACGGACACCAGCCGTCAACCGTTGGAAAAGCTTCCGAAATCGTGTTATCATTTGGCACCCTCTGCCGTCGTGCTCGCTTTTCTATCAAGTCTATGGAGTACTTGTTTCAGAGCTGGTAGACTTTTGAAAGGTATCGGGATGTCATTGGAGGCGGCTCCTCGTAGAACCTGCATGGACATCCATATCCCAGAGCTTGCTGTACCCATGTCTAAGACACCCTAAATCCCTCGTGTCTATGTTATCGTCATCTTTATATTACAAAAAATACGATGGAGTGTGGTTGAAGCTATGTCAGACGGCTACTCGCCCCGATCAACCATGTCCAATATATCCCTTATTCTATCACAACCAAAGTTAACCTTAGAGAAGCAAGAGCTTCCATCTCCCTGGCCAGATATCAATACAAAGCCATGAAGGATTCCCCTGGTGCGACCGCAAGGCCGACCCTACCTTCCTGTTATCTCCAAGTGTTGTGAATTTAGGGGGTATTGCCAACAGCAATACCCATGACCCCAGGTGTATCATCCGGAACAACAGCTATCCCTTGTGAAAGAAGGAAGATAGCTCTCCTCGTGTCAAGCCCGCAATTTAACATGGCATCGAATCAAATTCTAGAGGCTCACCTTTCCTATAAACTAGCCCTCTCCCCGCGCGCCTCTTCACTCCACTTCCACTTTTTTCCCTTTTAACTTTGACAGACATCGCAGACGCATTATGGTACCACGTTGTACCTCTACCAGAGTTTTTACTCTAAATATATTGAAATCAACTGTTTAGTCCAAGATGCCGACGTGGGAATGGAAGGAGCGGGAAAGGTTTGTTTTTTGACAATATAATCCGACATGTCGGGTAAGCTCCGCCTTGGTTCGTTCGCCTGGCCTAAGCCCTGCTGCATACTTGCATACGTCGAGCCTTATCATGGACAATGCAGGCGCAGTAAGGGTATCAGTTGGGACACTTGGAAACTTCGATATACCGTGTATCTGGGGTGTTTGATGTCTCCTTGTCCCCGTTGGGCTTTCTGTAGCCCGCCCATTCGCGCTTTTAGCTCGAGAATGTCAGCTATGCAAGGGCATATTAGTTTCCGTATACTACGGACAGGGTGGTAGCACGTTTCCGTGAAGTTAAGTTTTGGCCGTATGTGCTCATTAACCAGTAAGATATCTATTTCCTCCTTTTCATCAACTAACTGCCGAAGTCGACTTCTGCTAGTGAATAAAATTATTACTTAACCCATTTATTAGGCAATATATATTCAACTGAGAGTTTTTGCAATCATGGCTTAACAAGAAAAAACCGCGCAACTACAAGATCGTCGCACTCTTTTTACCTCACCGTTGCACAGGAAGTGAGAAAAAGTATTTTTTGGAGAAGGATGGAAGTAATACAAGGGGAAAGAGGAAAGCAACAGAATTGCCTAGACGAATGGTCTCAAAATGGTTAAACGATACATTTGGGCCGGATTGTCATAGGTTACCAGCATGATGTTCGACTATCTAGGAATATGCAACGTATGTGATCATTAATCAACAATTCAAAGTGCCCAGGTTCTCACAAGGCTGAGTATCAAGAGTTCTGATCGCCATCGATGTCGTGGCCACCATTGGTCGAAGCGCCATATACAACCATATATTGCATGCATCCAAGCAAACCTTTCGGAGTCAAAGAGACAGAGGGGGAAACTCAAGGAACCAAAGACGAGCCCGAAATGTGGAGAAGCAGCCTTAAGAGAGGGGAGAATACAGACCGCAACATTGGCAGGAGACACTCTCCTGGCTCTGCGAATTGAACAGGTGAACGAAACGAGCGAGAGTTTTTTTTCCTTCCGTTCAGCGTGCATGCATATTGATATTAATGGCCCAATTCGGGCATGTCCTAGTCCTTCCGTGTGTAACGAAATACCATACATGCTAACCATACATACACAGTCTGTTACAATAAGGTACTCCGGGCGTATACATCTTCTGATTGATAGATTTTGATGTGAATAGTACATGTCCGTCTGAGGGATGCATAGGGCTGATAGTAATGTTGCAGGGATAAGAAAAACGATTTCCATCCTTCAACTCATTTACCGCACTCATGGAATCAGTCTCGGTCTATACCCAGACGTTACTGTTCTGTATATGAACATGGGCAGAGCAGGATACGTGTCCACCATGCAATGATCTCGTACGGAGCTTGTACTTGTCTGTGCATGGGCTCTTGTGCCTGTTGCACTGGCCTTGTTCGTTAGGGGATTGGAAGAAGAAGAAAATGGCCAGGTGACTCAGCCCTATCTCGCACTCCCCGTACGCTGCCAAGCCACTTCAAGGCATATTTTTGCCTGGCAGACGGAGTAGCGAACTCTTGGGACGGGTATCTTCATCTGCTTCGCTGCACTGTCGTCTATTTACTTCCTGTCTGAGGTTCTACTAAACGTTGGCTATCCTCTAGTCTGAACTATCGTTGGTCGGAATCCGCCTAAAGCGACCCAATTCTTATTGAGCGATTAGTTATCGTGGGTCCCTTCTTTCGATTCGACTTTGCAAAGCTGCCGTTTGTCAAAGCACTCATAGATCAGAATACGCATGGCTTGATTCGGTATGACATACGGGCAACTAACAGGCTTCCCTGGCGACTAGTCACTCGGTGAGTCCGAAGGACTGAAGCAAAAGAGCGAAGAGACAGGGTGGTAAAAGCTAGTAACTACTATAAGCGCCGAAGATGAGACTCACGAGTTCTTTGTTCTTCTTGGATCTCCCGACCGTGGGTGCGGATGATGGACACGGGGAAACGGGGCTCTTACGAAGCTGGACGGTTCGGTGCTCGGTGCTTTTGGTGGGTGTTGCTTAGGCACCTCAGAGTCGATCCTCCCAGAGCAACCGTCTGTGAAATTGGACGGAGATATGGCACTCCTAACTGCGCTCTGTCACCAGGTCACGAATGGACTATTTGTCAAAAAGCTTGAGCCAGAAAAGTGGAAACTGATATCAAAGACGATGAGCGCAAAAATCAGCGTGTTCCGACCAAATTTCTTTTTTCTTCCCCTCTGATCAAATTCTTCTGGCCTGCCCTATAATAAATAGTGGCCCTTGCTGTTATATACGTGGTCGCCAGGGATGACCAGGTCCGTTTCAAAGGGCTTGTGAAAAAAGGACTTATCACTCTGCATGGGTTGTGCGGGATCACCGGTCTCTCGGTAAGAAAAGTGATCACTCTGTTATTATTAAGCCTACATTATGCAGGATGCCCTATGTAAGTAAGAAAGCCTCTTTTTTATCCTTCTCCTGGCTGGTTGACCGAGATGATCATCCCCACCCCTTTTGTGTTTTCCGCCAACCCAGGACCCAGGCTTGGGACAAGCGTTGTTGATACGAGAGCATTCTAAATGATCCCAACTGGTCGTTCCTTGTACGGACATTAGCCCGGCATTATCGGGCAGGAAAATGGTACTTAATCGACACAAAATGTGTGATAATAAATATTGCTCTATATGGACAATGGAGATCACGTACGGAGTACCTTGGTATGCGTGGTTGTATGCCTTGCCGATCGACAAAAAATGATAGAGGAGAGCCAACACCATCGATTCAATAGTGCCGATATCCCTGAGCTATGTCCAGGATAATTACAGCTGTTAAGGGAAAAAAGGGGGAGATAACTATTCACATGAGGCTCAAAGCTCAGTGTTAAGTATACATATCACAGTACATGTACGGAGTATACAGAGTAATATTTATTCCATGTATGAGTATCTACCGTAAAATGCAAGCACCGCCACAAGCGACCAACGGTCGGCAAGATGGTTTTGTTAAGATAATAGGTCCGAAGATGTTACAGAATGCGTTGTCCCGTGTTTCTGTATCATGTAAACTTGTCTGACCTACCCTCCTTTCTCGTGCCCTAATAAGCTAATAAGCACAATGGCACTCCGTTTTCGCCAGTTGAGAGTCCTCCCTCCACGTTTCATACATTAACTCTCTTGGTGGAGAGAGAACGGCTTGGTATCCTGCCATGTGGGCCAAATTCGAGAAAGACAGGAGGCGCAATGTGAGGGCTAAAATAACTGCGTGCAAAGCGAAGTTATCATCAAGCCATAACTTTGGTGGGTACCGAGTTAAGCATAAGTATGTATCTTCCGGATATTGCTGGCTAAATACAGGACGGGAAGGCCATATATGATATTGTATCAAGTGGAAACCCGTGATAGTCAACATCTGGGTTGAACTAATTTTGAATCGCCGATTAATAGATTTTGTCAGTTAATAGTAATCATCTCCCGAGCCGCAAGCCACAGGACCATTAACCTTGACGAGCCGACAACTGTTTCATCCAGAGTATACAGGAATGCATCGAGATGGCGCTCTAGGGTAGCATTTTTATAAGACCTTAGTTGGAGGTGGAATGCCGTGCGGATCGGCCTCGCCCCGCGCAAGGAAGGGATAAACAAGGGACTGAGCGATCACAACGGTGGCATATCGTCCTGTGAGAACGGGCCTTATATCAATATTCGATGCTACCTGGCGGGAGCTCGCAGATTCACAAGTCACCATGTTCGCTTGTCGAGATGTTCACAACATCGCAAAAACTTGCGTGGAAGCCAAAAAGTTTCTCATTAGAGTTGCGGTAAAGATATAAATAGAAAGCGGGCACCGACCAACCATAAGGCTCAGAGAGTTTACGTAAGTGCTTAGTTAGCCTGTTCTCATGCTGCTATTGGCTGTGGGGGTGGAGCTTGGCAAAACGTTCACCGCCAGCCCCAAAAGGGAAAAAGGACGTCAGAGAGAAAAAAAAGAAAGCAAAAAAACCAACAGGAAAAACAAAACAACGGAAAACAATCTTACAACGAAGACAATAAATAACAAGGAGACCACAGACGAGCAAGCGAGCAAGGGACAGGGCAGCAGGCAGAGTTCGGAGGAGAGGAGGCTTACTAGGCTATATTGGGAAAATAGTGGCAGCAAGCCGATTCGGCTAACATGGCCCTTGACTGGTTAGAAGGGTCCTTAACGCCCTAGCCATCGAAAATGAGTGCAACATCGCAGTCAGACATGGTATACGCCGACTTGTGACAGAGACAGCAGCCTGCACAACCGGTGGCTGGATTCGTTTCCAAAAGCCAGGACCAAGCAGAGATCCAGACACTACTATGTAAGGTTGTGGACTAGCAAAAATGCTGGGAAAAGCCAAGTGTACGATCATCTCGAGACAGGCATGCCAACGTAATCTGCGCCAGCGATACATCAGATACGTCAGAAAACATCGGAAACACCACAAATCTGCTGAAGCATTTTATGCAGTGATGCGGTTTCATGGGATCAATAACAGGGACGTGACTCGTGCAAGACGGAAGCCACCAGGCTGGTTTTGGATGGTAATTACCGCCCATACAGTGTATAATCTGGTTAAGATGTGTGTTATCATTACTCATACTGATTCCGTACACAATGCTGACTGATATACATTTTAGTTACAGCCCCCCCATGTCCCTTAAGCTCGCCCTATGACCCGGGTCTGGGGACAATATGCAACAGGAGACCATGTAGGATGACATCAACTGCGAGGCATTCTAGAACTCATTCTTCATCCTGCGCCCTTTTTCAACATCTCGCAATCAAAGCAGAAAAAAGGGTCCCCCTTCATCTTCATCTGATATTGCATTCAAGGAAATGCGGGTCTAGATGGGCCCTTCAGTAGGGCTACCCAGTGGACCACGACGGCAATCGTCATTCCATACTTTTTTTCGTATTCTTCTTTTTCCCCAACTTGGGTTGATTATCCTATCATGAGGTCCTGACGGGGCTTGCCGAATGAAGGAGCTAAAGGAGAAATAATATGCCAGATAAATCCAATAATGGAAGGAAAATTACTAGCAATAGGACGGGCGATCATATTCCGGAGAAGAGGTACCAAGCTTGAATAAAACGTGCGGACAACAACGGAGTTAAAATGATATAAACTATCCATGGGTATAGGTTGAGATGTCTCTCACTCCCATGTACGGAGTACAGTTACATGTATCAATATCCAGGTAAGACAAAAGGAGTTCCATTTTTTGAACGACCGAGAATATGTGGGTAGCACATAACGGAATTACAGGGAGCAAAAAACAAGTGGCCTGTAAACGAACATGTTGGCCCTTTAGCCGTTGACCGAATGTTCAGACGCATACCAGCAACAACTATACGCCATATCCGCGGTGAAAAGGGATGGGCTTGATCACAACAACGGTGATTGACGCTCCCCCCAGCTTGTCAAGCACGTTGGCAGAGGAATGGTTAGGTAAAACGCATCGCATACCCGGGTGGATACTTTCACGCCAACATAGTTCGAAAGCCCAAGCCTATACTATGTACATAAACATAGCCTATTGCGGATCGAGAGGAGTCCAGAAAGGGAAGCATTTGGTTGCAACCCGCCTAGAACCAGCATGAGGACTAGGAGTTGAAGACTGATGCTAACAAACATTATTGCGTGCAGACCGCAACGAAAGTTCGTTGACCGGTTCTCCTTGATCCTTGCACACCTGATGGTGCGTACTAAAAGTGGCCATAAGGCAGCATTGGACCAATTATCTCTCTGAGAACAGGATGGTGTGGATCAGGAATGTTTACTAAACTTTGACTGGGGTCTGCAGAGCGACGGTGAAGAAGAGAGGGAGGAGATTTACTCCGTACTTTTCTCTCTCCCTAGGTACCATCAGAAAGGTTAACTCTTTCCTTCTTCTGCGGAGGAATACACGGAGTTTCAAGATCGAACGAGAGGCCTGCATAGCCGGGGTTGCACATTACGTGGGACGACAGAGAAGTATCCATGCTTTCTCCCTTTTATATTTTTTTGTTTTCTTTTTCTCTATACCTTCCACTAACTAATATTTCTTTTCAGACTTTTATTTTGCAGTCTCCAAACTAATTATTTGTGACTAATATTGATAGGATATGCAGGATTGGCAGGCAGATAGGGAATCGAAAAAGAAAGGAAAAAGAAAAATGAAGAGAAAACAAAAACAAAGGTCCAGAGAGTTCGTGCTGGCTGTCGAACTCTTGTCGTCTAAACCAGTAGCCAGTGAGCGCCGGACCAGTTTCCCCGGAGGACACTCGATTGGTCTGTTTCTATTTTGGATTTGAAACAACTATCCGTGTCTTTACATAGTAAGTATCCGCGCATAAGGCTTTGAGTTAATATCGAGGGGGTTGTCACCGTCGCAATTCCATCCAGTTCACTTTTAGAAGCTGCATGTATCCAGTTGAGTCTGGGCAACCTGCTCCAGCGCCCGGCAGCGTTCTACTCAGTACAACGGGAGTACCAGGACGCTTGATGGCGTGGCAGAGAAACAAACATTAGGAAGGATCAGAAGGGTCACAAACTAAGCACAACGATGGATTAGCTTGTCCCATCCGTGCCCCGCCGTCTAAGCCCTACGCAAGATTTTTTTAACCTCGAAGGAGACTCCGACACCCGCATGACGATGACGATGAATGATAATGACCCGTATTTCTCTTACGCGGTTGCTTCCCGTGTGACGGGGAAGCTGCCGGCCTGTACGGAAGCCTATACACAGCATCAGACGCCTGGGCAGAATGGGGTTGATGTATCCCTCTACCCCAAAACATCAAGTGGCCGTATGTAATGACCTGTACGGCCAGGAAGGTGTAAGGAAAAGTGTCGAGAATTAATATGTACGTTCATCCCTGCCATGCCCCCCCAGTCCTCTTTCCCCTGTCCCATGCACGCAGGCTAAGTGGGTGCCCTTCTCACGTATACCCATCTCAGTGGAAGCGTCCCGTTCGTGGGTAAGCTACATAGCGGTACCTGATCGTGATTGAGTTCCCCCGGCTGGCTCATCTTCCATCTTTTATCTCTTGTCCTTCTATCTGCCCTGAGCTTTTTATATAATTGTCACGCCTGCTGCCTCTTTTCTCCTCCACCACTCGTCCACCTTCTCTCCACCATTCATCTCGGACTTACCAGGCCGCCTGTGTAATCCAATCTATATATATATTCTTACTCTCCACGCCTTGCTCTCTTCCTCTCTTTTTCCGACTGTCGCCTCCCTCCCCCCCGCTCTTCTCTCGGCCATACTTCTCTTCCTGTATCTGGACTTACCGGTCTTTGCTCCAAGCTCGCGAAAGGACGATTTCATACTATGTCCTAGAAAGAAGAGCTTCCAGCTCCACCATCTGATCATCATTTTCAACTAGCAAGAGTGATCGAATATCCGACAGATCAGTCATAAAATACGACCCTGTTTGCCTTCTTGCCCTTGTTTCTAGTCGACTATTCAGGCTCCCCTTTGTGTGAGCCCATTGGTCGCCGCATCGCATCCTCCCAATTTTCGATCGGCTCTTCGTGGTTCGTCCTCTCTCCTAATATTTCAACCTCTTTCACCCCTGCCAGTTGTCCTTTCTTCCCTCCCTCCCCCTTTTCGGCCGTTCTTTTCTCTTAATCTGTATAATTTTGTTGCCTGGATGGTCATAGCTACCCTTTAAAAAGCGGCCTTTGCCACCCTCTTGGGCCCCCTACATTGCGGTGCGGCCCGCTTATCACTCACTTTCTGATGCCCTGAACTCAAGCTTGGCGATATATACTTAACAACTTTCGTACATATCCATCACCTTTGCTGCCTTAAAGCGTTCTTCGTCCTCTTTTTCTTTTATTTTTTTATTTTTTTCCTTTTTTGCTTCGTCTCTTTTCTTTTCTTTTTCATCTTCCCTTCGATAATCGTCCTGCTCGCCAAAATTTGCGAAATCAACTATTTCGAGACATGTTTATCACCCATGTGCTGACCTAGGCTACTTAATCAGATTGTCAACGCCACAATTTCCATCTGCTTAGGCTTCTGGTTTACTGTGGGTAGAGAGCAGATTTATACTCACGAGGACTCTATTTTGGTTTCTTTCCCCTTGAGCAGTGTACCTTCTGGCACCGCTCCTTTCGCTCTTATCAAGGTGTAAGAGCAAAAAAGCAACAAGTTTTCCGTCATGCTCGCCTTGGAGCGGCCAGCTCGCGAGCAATCGTACCTCCAGCAGGTTCCCATGGATTCATCCTCCTTTAGCAGCCCGTTAGACTCCTTCGACCAACAACAGCAAGCCCTATTCGGAGCATACAGCAATAACAGCGGCCTCTCATGCGATCCTTACCCATTTATGCTCCAACAACCCTTGGCCCTGGATTCTCCGCTACTTTACCCTGCCAAAAGTGAACTAAGGCTTTCGTCGAAGCCTTTGGGATCGCCAAAGTTTCTCCCACTTTCCCAGCCTGGCGATCAGTACTCTTCGCTCAGTTCCTCGGCTTCTACCCATTCCCTCCCCAGCGCAACCAACTCTTCAATAGGCTCACCTTATCAAGATCAGTGGCTTGACATCGACGTCTCTGTGGGTGCGGAGCAGGTAGCCATGGTTGGGGAAGGGTACCCGAACGACTTTTTGTCGAAGAGCATCGACCCCGAGATGCTATATGCCACCGAAAAGTTTTCCACTCCATACGTCGGTAAGTTATATCTTTTTGTCTTCTCACTTTTCTTATATTATAAATCTTATGACTGCTGGGCGAGTGATACAACTTAATATATCCAACATTCGCAAGATTTATATCCCACCTCATCTATCTGTGTCTGCAGCCTGCTATTGTGACTACGCAAATAGCAGTTTGTTGCAGGTTATGATAGATGCAGGAAGCATTTGTTTCCCGACAAACAATGACAATACTAGCATTGTTAAATGTTTGGTGTGCTCGTTGTCTTCATTCTCAATTATCCTTCTGGCATTTTCTGCTGCTCCATCATATCTATCATCGTTAGCCTTCTACACTCACAGCCCGGTGGCATTTTCTAATGTTGGGGTCGAACACGAGAACTGATAGCACATAATAGATCCTGCATTACTACAGCCAATGCATCAGAATAGCAACTTTTCCGGGGTAACTGTCTCGTACCCAGAGGAATCACAATATCCCTTCATCTCTTCACCCGCATTTGCTCCACTCTCGCCTCACTCTCTTAGCATTTCTCATACCCCTCAGCAGCAACCTCAAGGCATACCTACATCCCAAAAACAGGAGAAGCTCGATGTGAACTCTCCTTTCGTACAGCCGACTAGTTTCTCCACACCTAAGCAATTCCAAGGGCGCCGGTCATCATTAACTTCTATTCATTCTCGACCATCTGCCCGCACATCCCCGATCAGAAATGAAGCCGAGGAAGATAATAACGAGAAAGGAAGATGTCCTCATCCAGACTGTGGCCGTGTCTTCAGAGATCTCAAAGCTCATATGCTCACCCACCAATCGGAACGCCCTGAAAAGTGCCCGATTGTGACATGTGAATACCACCTGAAAGGATTCGCAAGAAAATACGATAAGAATCGTCACACCTTGACACATTATAAAGGAACTATGGTTTGTGGTTTCTGCCCTGGATCAGGCTCTGCAGCGGAGAAGAGCTTTAACCGTGCGGATGTATTTAAACGCCATCTCACAACGGTTCACGGCGTGGATCAATCTGCTCCTAACGGCAGGAAGAAAACGCCACCCTCCGTCCCCAGTGGTAAACTCTCGAGTTACTGTCAGGATGCAACCGGGAAGTGTTCGACCTGTACTGCGACTTTCTCAAGTGCCCAGGACTTCTATGAACATCTGGATGACTGTGTCTTGAGGGTAGTTCAGCAAGAAGAACCCTCTGAGGCCATTAACTCCCGAAGGCTGACGGAGATTGCATCCGACCAAGCTGTTCGCGACACAATGGAGCGACACATGCTTCTCGAAACAAATATTTCCCACATCGAAGGGAGTGAAGACATTGACGAGGGTGTCGAAAAGCAAAACGACTCTTCCAACACGCCCATGAAAGGTGTCCTCTCTAAATCTAACCCTACCAGTAGTAAGGTTACCAAGACTCGTGCCGCCGTCTCAAGACGTCGAAATAATCGAAACAACTACCCTCCATCATGGAGCTGTCCCAACAACAAAATGAAGATGAAGCGACGCCTTCTCTGTCTCTACGATGGCCCTCGCCGCCTATGGAAGGATGAGATGATGCTTGACAACGAGTTTGAAGTCCGCCTCAAACTCCCTACGAACGACTACATGGGCCGAGAAGCATATGTCACTGACCTTGATATCGAAACTCTTAAGCGTTCAGAAGGCGTGCACGGTGCTACTGAGGAAGAAAAGGGTCCGTGGATCAAGGATCCCAACACACGAAATGGCCTTATTGGGCCCACGGCAGTTCCGGTCACTGAGCACCCTATGGCAATTGGCGATGAGCTTAACATCGACGATCTAATGGCATAAAAGAGCCACCTCTCTGAGGGAAAAAAACCCTGAGCCAAATTTCCTCCATCTCCAGCTGATACCCATTTCTCACCTCCCCTCAATCCAACCTTATAATACCAGACCCTCTGATCCTTATCTTAACTCTATCTCACCTTTCTCTCCTTCACCCTCATCCATCAATTACACTTCTTTGGTAGGAGCATGGAAGCTCCTGTTTCCTTAATCGGTTTTACGATTGTTATTCGTCGCTTACACTATTTAACTTATGACCTCATTTCTGTTACCGTCCGTTAACTATACTATATGCATTTTCGAGGGTCGCCTGCTATTGGTATATTTATTCTTGACTCGTTACCGTCATGCGTTTCTTAGCTGGCGCCTCCCATCTCCGTAATTCGTTTGTGGTTTCTTTCTTTCTTTTTTGTGGCTGGGCTCTAAGGGGAAAAAAGAATTGGGAATGAAAAGATGGGATAGTGGTATATAATTGACTTATGATGACCATAAATGAAAATGCATACTTGCACACGCAATCATCTCTTCTCCCTCCACTCTTAAATATGTAAAATGGGCCATTTCACCAATAACTTCATTAACCAGTCAGTTATATATTCACGTGACTTGTCGGTATCAATGACATAATCAAATAACTTGTTTGAATCTTTGTCGTTTTGAACCGTCGAGTCAACATCAACCGACGAGATGATTTGATATCACAATTCACGACGGCCCAAGGAATGATTGACGAACCATCTTGTGCTTTTCCTTTTAGCAGGTTTGTATGTATGGTTTTCACTAGAGGAATATGTCACTGGGAGGTGACTTAATCTCGCTCTCCGCATCCTTTCATTCCGTCAATAGAAGCTGACTAGCTAACGTATCCAGGACTTAGACGCAGAGCCCAACCTATAAAGACGAAAAGCTCTAAGCCGGCGTTATTATTTATGATAGTCGGAGAGGAAACTCTCAGTTTTCGGCTCCTGTTAAGTGTTCACTGTTTGCCCGCCGGCATCCCCGCTCCCGATAAGCTCTACTCGGATATCAACCATTCGGCTAGGCAGGCATAACGGAGAGAGAAAGATGGATTCGTCATCACAAGCCAAAGCGGCCAACGGTACAGCTGGCTCGGCGATGGATATAGAGTCTGTAGTGGACCACCAACGCAGAACTTCTACTGCTTCGCCTCGTATTATTGTTGACGGTATATACATACTTACAAAGCTGGCTGGTATCACCTAGTGAAGCACTAGCTAACAGTGCAAGCTATGTAGAACCGCCCAAGTTTGACCTTGAAACCTATATTTCGAATTACACCGGTAGGATATTCCCGTCTAAAAAGTATACTCCACAGCAGAGGTTAATTTTTTTTGGAAATTAGGAAGGACCAAATTTGCCCGACTGTATCTTATTGGAACATGCTCAAGCTATCTCTCTGTGGATGCTTTAAAGATGGCAGTTGCAGAGGCGAAGTCTGGAAAGGACGTCAAGTGCTATGAAAATGCGGTTGAGGCTCTAAGTCGAGCCGCCCCGTCAGATAACGAGGCTGTTCTTGACACCGAATGGATAAATTATACAACAAAACTTGTCAAGGCTGACACGAGCCGGTTGGAACGTGAACTGAAGGGGTATAAAAACAACTTGATTAAGGAGAGCATTCGAGTAAGTCTCATACATTTCTTCCCTCCTTCGGTGTTGTTCTTATGATCTGCTTCAACATTTTAACATTCTATAGATGGGAAATGAGGATCTTGGTCAACATTACCACCGCATAGGTGATCTAACTGCGGCCTCACATGCATTCTCAAGAATGCGAGACTTCTGCACTACGACCTCGCATATTGCCTCGATGCTTTTTAAGAATATAATTGTTGCAGTTGATCGCTCTGATTGGCTTGGTGTACAGGCAAACGTTCACAGGTTACGCAGTCTTCAGTTTAAACCGGAAGACGAAGCGAAGAGTAAAGCTAAGCTCGTTGTGTCGCTAGGTTTATCGCAGCTTGCCGCAAATTCTTACCTTGAAGCAGCAACAACATTTCTAGCTACGGACCCAGCCCTCGGAGATAACTACAAGGAAGTAATCTCACCAAACGATGTAGCGGTATATGGCGGGCTCTGTGCTTTAGCGTCCATGGACCGAATAGACCTTGCCAAAAATGTTCTCGAAAATAAGTCATTTCGAAATTTTCTAGAGCTAGAGCCTCATATCCGCCAAGCGATTTCATTCTTCTGTGCTTCTAAATTCCGGCTTTGTCTGGATATTTTAGAAGCTTATCGGGCCGATTACTTACTTGACCTGCACCTGCAAAAGCACGTTTGGACTTTGTACAGACGTATCCGGACGAAGGCAGTACAACAATATATCATACCCTACAGCCGTGTGACACTTGATGGTATGGCCAAAGTATTCTCTCCCAAGGAACAAATCAGGGACGAACAGGGAATGATCAAATCAAATGGTGTATTTGTGTCGGAACTGATCACCCTCATCCAAAATGAAACGTTGGATGCTAAGATCGACTTTGAGAAGGGTGTGCTCGTTACTGGTGAAGTACCCATGAGGGAGAAATTGCACGAAAGGGCGTTGGAAAGCATGAGAGACTACATGGAAAATGCACACTTGCAGCTATTGCGCATCAACGTCCTAAATGCTACATTAGAGATCCCGGCAACTCAGGCATATGGCATCCGAACTGAGGCTGATGCGATTGCTGCTGCTCAGGCAGCCAGCCTTGAGGACCAAGGACAACGCTTCAAGCCCGCTTCCAGAAAGGGAATTGCGGCGAAGTTAGGAGCAGCATTCGGTGAAAGTTAAAGATGACTTTAGATAGAGCATACATGCAAATGGTATTACTTTCTACTATGGAAGGTATACTTGATACTTGGAATTCTCCCCTATCCCCATTTACTCCGTCCTTTATCTAGGGCTCCTATTATAATAACTAAGGGGCTACTAGCAGATGTATGCACTGGCGTTGCAAACTTCAGGTTTAAGGTCACCTTCACCTCCTACTGACATTAAAAACCTTACACTAACACTGTTGCAGCTCTGGTTTGATATGCCCTTAAAGTATTTATAGGTGAATTTTGACTAATGTTCCGAGAGCTGTTTCTCCAACGGCCAATGCTAAAGCTGGATCCACCACCTAGCTGCACCATATTGATGGCCGATATTGCCTTATTAGCCAGAGATTTAGCAAGGATTTGGTAGGCAGCTTGTAGCGTCAAGATATACCAAGCAGCATAACTATTGAACCCAGCACAATAGTAATAAAGGAGAAACCCAAACTAGCAAGATTCGAACTTCTCTAGTAAGAATGCAGTCCATTATTAAAATCACATAAAGAACCATTTACCTCTGACGGTCATCAGCCCATGATGACATGGACGGCAACACTGGCCGGCGTAATTTGTTAATGGTACTTGGACATTTAGCCGCGTTGGTCAATGCCAAGTTAGTCGCTGGCGGCCCGCGCGGGAGCAACCTAATCTCAGCTTGTTGGATGATCATAAAAATATATAACGTCCAGAGCCCACTATATAACCGACTATAGGCCACTACTGGTTGGCAAGATCCACCCGCTCCGTCTTTGTTTGAACACACATGCTTTTATACAAAGTAGTCATTACATTTAGCCAGAGTCTCCTTCAATTCTGCTGCAAGCCTTTGGAAAGACGTATCCGTATTCTCCATGATCTTTGACCAGAGAGGGGCCATTTCGTCTGAGTTGCAGGCACAACATCGTGAGTTGGAGAGATGATTAGAAGAGTCTCCTGTTGCTCCAGGAATCGCAGCCACCCTATCATGCAGGGTACTCACTAACGTCTCTATGAAACTGAAAAACACAACGGCTTGTGCCCTGGGACTATTGTGCATTGATACAGATCCCACCATGATGCACGGAATTGTGTTCCGGAGCGCGGTGGTGATGGACTGAACATGATGACCAGAGTCACGGCTTTGGGCCAGGAGATTCTGAACGCATGAGAAGAATACTTGAATAATGTCCAAGAGACGCATGCAGCAGGAGAGCAGGAGAAAGTTATTTGCTCGATTATTGAACGTGCCATGGGTCAGACTGCTGTACGCCTTTTCAATATCGGGACCGCTTAATAGCTCTATGAACTTGGTCACTAGCTCGATTGTCGGTTCTAGTGGAGCATATGGTGGTGTTGTATGCCGAGCTGTCGCGCAGGCTCTGGCAGCGGCGGCTGAATTCAGTCATGGATCGTTGAAGGTCCAGAGACTTGGAGTTTATGCTCAGGAGGGTATCTGTCCAACTGGTAAGATGCTGCTGATTGGAATTTTTACTACTCGCGTCCGGCATGTATGGTGATACTGCGCACCCGCACGTTGGCGCATCCACCGCGCTGACCAAAGCTGGATCCAACGGTCCTTGTGTCTCACGCAATACGGGCAATGCCACGGAATCTATCCCAGAGAAAAGGGAATCTGAAGGGGTCGTGAAGAGTGTATCATCGATGGAAACACCGTTCCCACTGTCGCTCCACACGGCTGAGTTCATGGTCAGTATTGCGATTCGGCATCGCACCATGGACCTCTTACCTAGCTGCTCCAGGTTATCGTGTGCCGAAGCGGGCGGCGAGTGGAGGAATTCTGACCTCCCTGGGGCTATTAAAGCCTCCATTTCCCTTCGGTTAGGCGACATTGTGAGTGCAGGGGCTGCATTATTACTATCATTCTGACGGAAGCGTCTCGAGGGCCGCGGAGCGCATTCTACCCCGGCCCGCATACATCGGGCGCAACTCTTGTTCCTCTGGTGACGGATGCACCGCAGCTTTTGAGCATGGCATCGGGAGCAAGCTGGACGATAGGTGTATTCCATTTCTTCGTGCATGGCCGAGCAGACAGCTCTCCAGGTGGTAATATCTCGGCCTTTAAAGACTTCTAGCCCCTGCTCGGATTATATCGTTGCTGGGGTCTTGAGGATTAGGTTGGGAGGCCTTGTTCTACCATGCATCTCTCCCTTGGTTTCAATCGGATACCAACAGTTATTCAAAAGTAAATGCATCTCTTATTGGCACGGCTAATCATTGCCTTGTCCTAAGGGGTTACATTTGGGAGGGTACATATCTGCGGCCGAATAACCCGGTGTACTCTGCCCTTGGAATTCAGGGTATAACCTGGTGTACTGTGTATACTCTGCCCTTTGGATCCAAGGATATGAGCATATCCGGCCCTATAGTAGGCGAGCAGAAATGCAGGACAATGCCAGGTCTATTGAACAACCCCTGAAGCCTTTATATTCCCAACCATTCATCGTATTCTTTGAAGCATGCTCTCTGTTGATTGATATTCTATTTTTCACTATGGTTTCCGTTGTTCTATTCGCTTTCTCTTTTCTTCCATCCCACAGTTCCGTTCGTCTCTAACTTTCCAATATCCATTAATCTGATAGCCAAAATAGCCGCTGCGAAGCTGAGCTACCAAAGACCGCAAATCAGGGAGCAACCTATTACGCTTGGATTAATACAGCGCTCATCTTGATCCTGCCGACGCTGGGCTGTACTGCCGCATTCTTCGTCACTCTGAGACTTAAAACTGCTGTTTGGGTAGTTGTCTACTATTTCTGGACTGGATTGGGTATCACTGCTGTCTACTATCGACCATGGGTACACCGATCCTATGAAGCGTGAGTTATCATCTGCTTTGTCTTGTCACCTTGATTCAAAAACTGTTAATATCATCTGTGCTGTTGTATTATTAGGATCCACCCGCCCAAGACTTTTCTTGCTTGTGCTGGTGGTGGTGCTATCTAAGGCTCAATTCGCTTCTGGAGCAAGCATCAAGCGCATCACAGATGGACTGACGCGGAGAAGGACTCGTACAGTGTTCATCCACACTACATGCGGATGATCCTGAAGCAGAATCATGAGATACCTGGCCGCATTGATATCTATAATTTCACTCTGACTATCGTAATGCAATTGAATGGTGGCAATATGATCCCACTAAATGGTCTATCTGGTTGTGGAAGAAGCTGGGTCTGGTCTCAAACCTCAAGCAGTTCTGCGCCAACAAGATGGAAAAGGGCCGTACCTAGCGGTTGCGGAAGAAGGTTGATGCAAAGCGATCAAGGCTTGACTGAGGAATTCCGCTATACCAGCTGTCAGTGGTTGAGCCGGGTGGTTTCCTTGCAGACGCTGCAAGTAGCAAAGGTCTCATCGCTATTGCTGGCATTTTTCATGATGTGTCTGACTTTGTCGAAGGGTATCCAGGTGGAAAAGTTTCGATTCGCTCAGTTATTGGCAAGGATTCTACTGCCATGTTTAACAGTGGTGTCTACAACCACTCTAATGCTGCACACAATATCCTCTTCGCCGTGCGTGTGGTAGATGTCTGGAGGCAGACAAACCCTGAGAAGGACGTTCCATAGCATAGGCTGTGTAGATTGTAGACTATTGATTTCTGGGTTTAACCAGTATTGCCCTGCAAAGTCTTCCATTAACTGCCAATGTAGGCCATAAATATCCAGAATTAGCCCCTGGCCTTGTACTTCTCGGCCAACTTCACCTGGACCACCGCGGCCAGATCATTCAGAGTCTCTGCCCTCAAAATCTCTAGAGTCGTAATGTCCACACCGCACTTCCTCCGAATCCAGCTCCGGAGCTCTACGCTAATTAGCGAGTCAATGCCTACCATTGCGAGTGACGCCTCCAAGTCGATGTCCGCCTCAGACTTCATCATGAACCCAACCAACATCCTGCGGAGCTCTTTGGCTAATCTCACACTTGTCTCAGGAGCGTTAAGAAGGGCTTTGTTCGAGCTTACATCGCGCAGGAACTGCGTTAGCTGCTCGTCCGCTGAGGAGCTTGAACCTGCGGATGCGGATGCATCTACGCTCTCAACATTCCGGTATACTGACATGCGCGGGTCATGACGCCAGATGACCCGATTCGTAGGAGAAGAAATAGGGATTGTGGACCGCAGCCCCATGGCGAGCTGAGAATTCTGGACCCAGCGGACGTGTTTATCCTTGGTGGCATTGGCCAGCCTAGGTGAGGACCGCTTAAGCATGAGTTCAATACAGTCTAGCAAATCGAGTTCACTAGTGATGTACTGGCCCGTAACCCGCAAGGAGTCGAGAAGACCCGAGTTTTCGCTCACATATCCAACGTCTCCAATAACTCCAATGTTCAGAGAGCTAGCTGGTAGGCCAAGTGAGTGTCGGTATGAAACGAATGAGTCCAGGAATGTGTTACCAGCATTATAATTTGCTTGGCCCCATTGGCCACTCATAGCACCGGCAGAGCTGAATAGAAAGAAAAGGTCCAGTGGCTCTTCTTGTTCCTTCTGCAAAGCGTGGTGTAGATTCCAAGTGCCCTGGATCTTGGGCTGCGATGCAATGAGCCAGTCGGCCCACGGCATGGTAGCAAGCTCACCGTCCTAGTTCTGTCAGTGCCAAAATGAAAAGAAAATGAAAAGAAGAAAGACTACTTACTCTAAGAACCATTGAGGCTTGAAGCACTCCGGCAACTGGTTTCCCAGCAGACTTGACTGCGTGCACTACGTCCTCATACTTGGTCACATCACCAGATACGAGCGTGGCCTGGCACTCCAGTGCCGTAAGCTCCTGGATGAAGGGATCATCTTTCGGCATTGAGCCTGCTGATCGGGAAAGGAAGACAATATGCCTTGCCCCCTTTTCAGCCAACCATGCCGCAACAGCCCTACCCAAGCCACCGAGGCCACCGACGAAAAGATATGCTCGGTCATCGCGAAGTTTCAACTCATGGTAGCAAGCCTCAACGGGTAAATCGTCTGGATTTTCGGGCATTGTTACAACGAGTTTGCCAATATGCTGTGCTTTCTGCATGTAGCGAAACGGCTCTGAGATATTCATGGCTGAAAACCGGTTGGAAATGATAGGCTTCACATGTCCCTCATGGTAGAACTTGATGGCGCGCTGTATGAGTCCCTCGACCACCCAGGGTCGTTCGGTGCCCAGATGAGCCAAGTCGAAGCCTACAAATGAGCGATTCGATTCGAACTGCTCCATAGCAAGCTTGCCTTGCCCGATAAAATCCCGACGGCCGATCTCCACGAATGTGCCGAACTCAGCAACGCATTTCCATGATGCGTGAAGTAGTTCGCCAGAGAGAGAGTTAAGGACAACATCGACGCCACGACCGCCTGTCCTTTCCATGATACCGGGCAGGAAGCTGGCATCTCGTGAATTGAAGATGTTCTCACGCGGAATCCCGAAGTGATCTTTGAGGAAGTCAAGCTTAGGTTGGCTACCAACAGTGCAGTATATCTATCAACATACCTGTTAGTGGCTTTACCATTTTTGAGGAAACGGAATAATAGTGGACGGTGCACTGCTTACCTCTGCGCCTAGCATCTGAGCGAGTTGGATAGCTGCAATGCCTACGCCGCCAGTAGCAGAGTGTATCAAGACAGACTGTAACTCTCTTAGCATTGGACACTCTTATCCGTCTGATGTTAGGGAACACATACCATGCCCGCTGACAGGTGTCCTGCATCAATTAGCCCATAGATAGCCGTGCAGTAAACCGCCGGCATAACCGCAGCGTCCTCGAAGCTCATCTCGTCAGGGATTTTGGCACAGACATATTGCGAGACATTATGGCTGGTGGTATAGGAGCCACTCCAATTCATAACTATTCGATCGCCAACCTGATGTCTGGTGACTTTTGCGCCTATCTCAGAGACAATACCGGCGCACTCGCATCCCAATCCGCGGCCAATTGTGGCGGTTTCGGTAACGATTCCAAGGGAAATCAAAATATCCTATAGCAAAATCAGGTCAGCCTCCTGGCTAATATGAGAGAATAATTTCTTGAGCCACCGTAGCTACACACCTTGAAATTCACACCGACGGCCTTGATATCAACCCGCACATCCTCTTCACCTAATGATGGCGCTGGCAGCGGCTTCCAGAACAACGTACTTGCAAGGCCGGGCTTATGCTGCTCCAGCTTCCGGACGGGCATAGTCTGGCTCATATTGGGGCCTAGCTGCGTCTTCAGCTCTTCTGTAACGCGAACAAAATGGTAGCGTGCTATAAGTGTCTTGCCATCAACATGCGCCCATTCAACTTCAGCATTAATCTCACTGTTCCCATCTCTAGCGGCGCTAACATCTCTCCCGAATTGGAACTCTTCCAGAACACAAGGTACAATAGGCCCCAGGCTGTGACTCCAGTCGCTTTGCGGGATCTCAAGCAGTGCAAAGTCCAAACTCATCTCAGTACGGAGGACGCGGGCGACGCCAACAACCGGCGCAAAATTAGGGTCCACCCTCCCGGCTTGACATGCGCCAGTGACCCAGAAGACACCACACTGGGCTTCTTTGGCCTGCTGGATAAAGGCCTGGAAGTTGGTAAACTGGGTCTCATCGAGCGATATGAAGAATGGCTTTGCTAGATCGAGTGCAGACACAACATCTTGGTTTGGAGGCAGTGGCTGCGATGTACATCCGTCAAGCGGGTATCTGTCAACGGCGTAGCCAGAGGCAAACAGACCATTTTCTAGGTCTTCAATGTGCCGGGATGAATCGTTCTTATTGCTGTTATAGTCGGCTGGCAGCAAGAGAGTAACACGTTTCGACTTCCTCGCAATGTCGGTACCCAGATCAGGCGTCGCGATGATATTATTGTTCAAGTAGCCATCATAGATGGCAGCCATAGTAGCAAAGCCTGCTTTGCGAAGCTCATCGTACCATCGTTCCCTGTTCATATATGGCTCTGGGAAGCGCGAGTCCTCCTTACCTAGCCACCATCCCGGAAGCACACCCATTACGAAATTGATCCATTTTGTTTCTTGCTTTGTTAGCTTCGTCATGGGGCTTTTACGGTTGATTCATTCACTTGACTCACCTGGTGAGAGCTCTTGAAGAAAGAGTCGTCCTCGCGGATGCAGCAATGTCCGGACATGAGAGAGCGTTTGGTTGATATTCGGGGTAGCATGAAGGACCTGCGGCTAAAGTCAGCGTCCATATCTTATTTAAAGTAGTCAAAAATACCCCTGGGTGTGTGTGACAATAACTTACGTTGCAGGCAATAACCAGATCGAAAGACGCTGGCTTGAATTGTTGCTCTATCGGATCCTGGGAAATATCAAGCACTGCGTATTCAACGGCGGCATAATTCTTAAAGCGCTCCCTCGCGGCAGGGAAGAAGCCGGGCGACACGTCTGTGTATGTATAAGAGAGATACATGCGTTCACCGTAGGCAGAGCGAAGAACTGGCAGGATTGTAGCGGTCGTTCCACCTGTGCCAGCACCAATCTCGAGGACACGCATATTGGGCTTGCGATGTGCCAACAGGTCTAGGAAAGCCGCATATTCAGAGTTCTGCATGAAGTCATACAGACGGTGCAGGACGCCGTCTTCAAGAAGCAGACCCAGCTCATCTATCTCTCCAGTAAAGATACCGTCACAAGACGATGCGATGCGGTGGATGGCTACAGCAGCGGCATGGGCCTCCGTCTGTTGTAGCTGGGCATATAAATCTAGAGCCAGAGCTTCCCGTGTGCTTGTATCCATCAAAGTGATGTCACTGTGATCCTCGAGCAGAGCCTTGACATGCTCAATTAACCAGGCTTTATATTCACCGAGATGGCTGCGTGTTGGCTCAGAGCAGCCGTCGTTCAACCACTGGGATGTTCCCGCCATGCTCAAGGCTGCGAATCGGTCCAAGATCCGGTTGGCAGAGGAACGATCCTTTGCTTGAGAGATCAAGGTCGTTGGATCCAGAAGGTTGATATCTTCCTTCCACTCTAGCTCGACTGCGGCGTGGCGGTCCTGTGCCTCTTCGTCCTCCTCCTGCCCACCGATGGTGGACATCATGTATCCGCTGGCCTCAACAACGACTTGTCCATCACAGACAGCAACAGCGTGGCCAATGTAAGCCGCCTGGCGCTGCTCAGTAACCTCGACCATGATCTTCATATTGGCGGACGAGGGTGGCTTGACGTAAAACTCCTCCACATACGTCGGCAAAGCCGCATTACTGAACAGCCTGGTGAGGCCGCGGGTGGTCGCCGGTGCAAGGCCTTGGGGAAGACAGTCAAGGGTTGCCGGATGTACTGCATAGGTGGATTGCCCTGGGCCATCGGGCACATAGTTTGTTATTGATGCAACTATCTTCTGTTCCCTTGGGTGCGCCGTGAGGTCTCGTAGGCCCATGAACAAGCCGCCGTACTCGAGACCAAGGGTGCGCATTTGACGGTACCATGTATGCGATGACAGCACGCGCGGTAAAGGGTCCATCTTTGGAGGCACCTTGCTCTCATGCTCGGCATCTGAGCCACCAAGCACTTGTCCAAAGGCATGCTTGGTCCAGCTCCCGTTGTTATAGCTTGAGATGCTAAAATCGTACCAGGGCGACTCAACTGAGCTGGTCACAGCAGCTCGACTCAGCTGCGTCACAATCTCAGTGGCCGTCTCTTCACTCAGTACAAGGGCCGATCGAATATGAACCCTCCGCACGGTAAATTCCTCAGACCCGGTAAGCTGTCTCGCTGCTTCACCAGCCATGCAGAAGAAACCCACGCCAGGAAGCACAACATCACCAACGATCTCATGCTCCTTGATCCAAGGAACGCTCTCAAGTCGCAATAGGTTGCGCCAGGCCGGAGCTTGGCTCGTACTTTCAAGAATGCGGGACCCGAGGAGCTCATGATGGGGATGCTCACGCAGCCTATACTCTCGAGCTAGACGGGACTCTTGCCAAAGTGACTCTTCGTAGTGCCAGGGATATCGTGGGAGGTTTGCCAGAAAAGTGCCACTCCCTACAATTGCTGCAAGGTCAAGCCGGTGGTTGGTTAGCCAGAGCTCACCCAAGCTTCGCAGCAGCTCTGCATGCGAGTTCTTCCCTCGCGTGAGTACGTTGATGTAGGCATCTGATGACTGAGCTGCCTTGAGGATCTGCCTGATTGGGCCGGCGAGGGCTGAGTGCGGTCCGATTTCAAGGAACGTCTTCGGCTCTTGGATGGCTGAGACAAGATTGGACACGGCAGTGGAGAAACGGACGGGAGAAACCAGGTTCTGGACCCAGCACTCTGCGCCGAGGTCCTGACCATAGTGGATTCTCTTGCAGCTCACGCTGGAGAAGAAAGGGGTTTGAGGGTTCGATGGGCTGACATTCCCCCGCAGCTTGGATAAGTAGAGGGATGCAATCTTTTGCATATGGTCTTGAAGAGTCGTTAGCAGAACTGCTATAATCCATCGAGGATTAGGTCAGTTAAGGGTAACAGCTATGACTTACGAGAGTGATAAGCCCTGTCAACCCGCAATGCCCGGACAAGAACATCTGGATGAGCTGCTTTGATTGATTCCATCACCTTTTCCAAAACGGCTTTGTCGCCCGGTGAGGGTAGTGCTATCGGGACTGTTTTCGCATCCGATCGACACGCCTGGCTCAAGGTACTGCTGCGCCGATTCAGCTCCAAGGCCAATGGCGGCCATACCCCCAGGGCAGCTCATCGGATCAGTTTCAAGCATAAGCCTGCCGCGGTAGTACGCAATCAAGATGGCCTCTGAGCGTGAGATAGCTCTAGCGGCATAGGCAGCAGCGATTTCACCGCTTGAGTGGCCGACAACTGCATCAGGATGGACACTATAAGATGCAAGAAGGTCTACCAAGGCCACCTGGATTGCCGTGCAGCAGGGCTGGGAGAGCTCAGCCTCTGAGATGCGGCTGGTCTTCTTGGGTGCCATAATCTGCTCTGTTATGAAAGATTAGCTCGATATTCGAATATTTTCGAATGGTGATACTCACCGCTCAGAGACCATTCTGGTCCATCTATGAGCGTCTGGAGGAACCTGTCCATAGCGTCAATGCTCTCTCTGAACACGGGCACAGCTTCGATAAGTGCTTTGCCCATCTGTGCCCACTGTGCGCCCTGTCCGCTGAAGGTGAAGACTAGATTTGTAGGCTCAGGAAAGCCAGACTTTGGAGTATGCACAGGGATCCAGTCATCGACAGCATTTGCAACGCAAAAGGCACGGTGGCTCAGAACATCTCGCCGTGTGCCTAGAGAGAAGGCCATGTCCTGCAGGCAAGATGGATTGGAGAGACGGTAAGATTGGTGGTCCTGGATCATCCTGCGCAGAGAATCCGGATGCTTAGCTGAGAAGAGAAGCAGGCGCGGCGATTGAGAATCGAGTGGTACATCATTGGTAGCTATTTGACCAAGCTGTCGGGGGAGAGCCTTGATAGTTCTATCAAGCCCCGGCCAGTCGGGCGAGGCGAGGACAACGTGTGCGTTAGAACCGCCGATACCGAAGGAATTGACACCTACGACCTTGTCACGGTCAGCAGGCCACGGCAGCGGATCTGTGGGGACTTTAAGTCCGGCGTCCTCGAAGGGAATCTTAGGATTTGGCGTGTTGAAGTTGAGATTCGGGGGGATGATGTTGTTCTCCAGGGCCAGGGTCATCTTCATGAGACTGGACAGGCCAGAGGCTCCTTCACTATGGCCCAGGTTGGGTTTGACAGATCCGATGTAGATGCCCCATTCTCCGTAGACGTTGGCGACGGCTTGGGCCTCGATAGGGTCTCCTACGGCAGTTCCTGTGCCATGGCACTCGATCATGGCTGTCCGAGAAAGGTCAGCAAGGCCTGCAAGAGCATGGCCTCGTCTGATCAATGCCTCCTGGGCAATTGCATTGGGTGAGGTGAGTGTAGGTGCTCTGCCACCGGCGTTGATACAGGTTGACAGGATGACAGAGCGGACTGGGTCACCATCGCGCACGGCATCAGATAGCTTCTTTATATAGACAGCTGACACAGCTTCTGCACGCACGTAGCCATCAGCATCGGCATCAAAGGTCTTGCAGTACCCGCTGGGGGAGAGGACGCCCTGTTCCTGGAGCGTGATGGTGGTCCGGGGCGAGTAGATGATATTGGATGCTGTAACGACAGCGGACTCACACTCTCCCGAGTGAAGGGCCCGGCAAGCATCATGTAGGCCCGTCAGCGAGGACGAGCAAGCAGTTCTGATGGTCACACTGGGGCCCATGAAACCGAACTCGTAGCTGATCCGATTAGCTGCCATGTAGTCACCATAGCCGGTGATACGGTAGGAATGATAGTTCTGCGTATCACGGCCGTCAAGCTCTAGCCAGTCGCCTTCAAAACTGCCCATGTAGACGCCGACCTTCTTCCCGCGCATATCCTGAGCCTTTTGGCCAGCATCCTGTAGACATTCGTACACGACCTCGAGCGCTAGCCGCTGCTGAGGGTCGAGACACCCGATCTCCTTCTTCGTCATCGACCAAAACGATGCGTCCATGTTGGAGAGCGAGACGTTATCGAGGAAGTGTCCGTACGTGCTGGCCGTATGGCCGATCTTGCCAGGCCCGTACCAGTTCTCGCCGTTGTAGCGGTCCTTGGGGACTTTGCATCTGCCTGATCTCTTGTTGAGCAGCAAGTCCCAGAAGCCGTCACTATCGGTGACACCGCCAGGGAGACGCAGGCCCATCCCACAGATGGCGATGGGCTCGTATGTCTGCTCGATGCCGGGCTGTGAGCTGTAGCTGTTGTGGACATTTCCATTGGCCTTGACTCCGTTGGCCTCGTTGGGTATCCCGTTGCCATTCACGCTGCCATTAACCTGTCCGCTGGCTCCATTTGCTCCATTGACAGTGTTGGTACTGTTGACTCCGTTTGTTCCATTGACATGGCTGGCTCCGTTGACTGTGCCGTCAAGGTGAGAATGAGCCCCGTTGTTGCTTTCAGGCATTTTGATGTTGATATCGAGGATGGTTTGATATTCATTCAAAACGGACACTCAGGCACTGCCATCCCTTTTAATCAGATGGTATACTTCCTGGAGACCATCTCCACGGGCTCCCATGGGCAGGAAATTGAACGGAATGCCGTATGCAGGGAGTCAACTTGATGCATTGCTGTCGCTTTGGCCGAATGTTCTGCTCAGTCGGAAGTCCGACTTCACTGATATAACCAGCTGCACCGGAAAAAAGCAATAGCACCGAATCTCATGATGCAAGGGTCTGATAGCTGGTATTCTAGATATCTGGTATCCTTCGATTCAGTCGTTGTTGGCATCAGCTTGTGTTCAAAGTCGAGATATCAACTTTGAGATCTCTAACCGCCGCCGTTATTCAAAGCACCAACAAGATGAACGGCATATCAAAGGTCGATGAAGCGCCAGGGCTATGGATAACAGGCATCGGGGCCCAGTATCCTCCCTATCTTCTGGGCCCAGAGAGACTGGCCGAATTTGCCCAGCGCTACCATGATATCGAGAAGCCAGGGTGAGCAGACATACTCCAGACCTACAGTCAAGAACGGACTCACTGACATCTACAGGCTGAAGAAACTGCTGGAGATCAACCGTGGCAGCGGCATCGACACACGCTCGGCCATCCAGAGCTATGAAAAGGGCTTTGGATGCCAGGCTGAGCCTCCGTCTATCAAAGAGCTCGACGGCTTCTACCGCGAGAACGGCGTCAACCTCGCCGTCCAGGCATGTCGCAAGGCGCTTGGTGAATGGGCTGGCAGGCCATCCGACATCACCCACACCATCGCCGTGACCTGCACCAACCAGGGGAACCCAGGGTACGACCTGCTGGTCAACCGCAAGCTGGACCTGCCCCTGAACACGGAGCGTATCCTCCTCCACGGCGTTGGCTGCGCGGGAGGATTGGCCATCATGCGGACGGCAGCCCAGATAGCGAGCGGCGCAGCGGCGAGAGGGAAGCCTGCTCGCATCCTGGCCTTTGCCTGCGAGCTGTGTACGCCCAATGTGAGGCACGACCTGGCCGAAGCTGAGGACTGTACGGACCCGGACAACCTGAACATCGCTGGCGTTCTCTTCTCAGACGCGGCGGCAGCCTTCGTCCTCTGCAACGAGTACGGCCTCAGCAGCAGCAGCAATGAAAAGGAACCGCTCTTCCAGCTGCTTGAATGGGGGAATACGACCATCCCAGACTCCGTCCAGCATATGGGATTCTTCGCTGAGATGGGCGGTTTTCGCACGATCCTTACTCGCGATGTGCCTACGTACACGAAAAGAGCCATCCGCCCGCTGTTCGACCAGCTTCTACCGTCTTACTGCGATAAGGTCGAAGCGGCAAAGCTGGATGTCGCAGACTTCGACTGGGCCTTGCATCCCGGCGGCGAAGCCATCATCATCGGCGCCAAAGACGAGCTCGGGTTGACTGAGGACCAGCTCAGGGCGACCAAGCAGATATACAAGACGCGAGGAAACTCTTCGAGCCCGACGGTCCTGGCCGTTCTGGATCTGCTACGGACGATGGGACGAGGCAAGGATCATGTTGTTGCAACGTCTTTTGGGCCTGGTTTGGTCTGCGAGATGGCGCTCTTGAAGCGTCTGCGCGAGTCTGGCATCGACAGCGATGATGATCAGGACTATTGAGATATAACTACTTCGAAGTAGACATCTGAGAACTACATCTTTCTACATCTATAAGTGCATTGTGTCTCCCGTTAGAAGCGTCAGTCCCGTATAAGCCGCTGATGTCCTGTTCTGTTGGGCCTAACTAATGCCTCGAAATAGTGACAACGAGCTATCTCATAAGAGAGACAAGGGACGGACCCTCGACAGGGGGAGCAGAGTCGGCCACTGCCAGCTAAATATCCTTGCCAGGCAACCATCTATGCGGTTGCTCATGCAGGTTCGGAAGTCCGAAGGTCAGCGGGCTTGACTACGATGCTCGCTGCTCTCACCCAGCATGGATGGCCCTACGACTGTATATACCGCTGGGTTTACTGGAGGCTAGAAGGGCTGCAGAACTCACCAGACGGCCGTTATCATGATCAACTTATTCTTCCTCCTGGCTGCCGGGCTTGTGGCTCTCGTCTTGATCTACTCCAGGCTCGATCTATGGCTCCGTCGCAGGCGCTTTGCGGCCTCGAATGGCTGCCAGCCGCTGCGACAACCGCGCAACCTCGACCCCTTTCTGGGTATCGACCATCTGCCCAAGGTCATGAAGGCCGCCAAAAACAATAGGTTCCTCGAGTTCTGGGACAGCGGCCATTTCGCCAACATTGGTAACACGTTTGAGATCAACCTGATGGGCAATCCGATCATCATGACAAACGAACCGCAGAACATACATGCGGTGCTGGCCTCGAAGTTCCCCGATTTCGAGATTGGCGAGCGCCGCAGAGCTCTCTCGGTTAGGTTTGCGGGCATTGGCCTGCTCAACGCTGACGGTCAGGTCTGGGAGCACGCGAGGGCGCTGGCCAGGCCCAATTTTGCCCGCAGCCAGATCAAGCTGGAGCTGTTTGAGAAACATCTGGGCGTCTGGTTTGACGCTCTTCCTCCGGATCCTACCCCTATTGATTGGCAGGATTGGGCCTTTCGATATGCAAGTTAACTCGCTATCCATCAGTCGAATGGTCTGTTGATACTAACGATATTCTACTAGACTCTCGATGTCGCCTCCGAGTTTTTCTTCGGCCCCTGTCCTGGGACCCTACATCCTCAAACCACGGATCTAGCCCAGCGGTTTTCTTGGGCCTTTGATGTCGGCTCTGCGGCCATTGCAAAGAGCGTCCGGCTTGGAAAGCTGTCATGGCTTTATCATGATCCCGACCATGAACCGGCATGTCGCATAGTACACGATTACGTCGACTCGATCATTGCCGAGGCGCTGTCGAAAGAAAAGGTGTCCCTGCAGGGAGACCAGAGCGCTCACTACACCTTCCTTCATGCCCTTGCAGAGGAAGGGATGAGCAGGGAGAAGATACGCGGCCAGATGCTAAGTATCCGTGAGTCTCTAAGCCTTCCCCTGGATAACTAGCAGAGCAACGGAGATTTGACGCTTTGGTAACTATCCAGTCCTTGCTGGGCGTGATACAACCGCCTGTCTTATGAGCGCGGCCATGTGGGAAATCTCCAGACACCCCGAGATGCAAGCTAGGCTACGGCAGGAAATCGACCAGCACCTAGGCAAAAGGCATCCTAAGCTCGAAGACCTTAAAAATATGACTTACCTGAACTGGTTTGTCAAAGAAACGCTCCGTCTTTATCCCCCAGTCCCCATTAACTTCCGCCGTGCCGCCAGAGATACCTGGCTCCCCCGTGGTGGCGGAGCGGATGGAATGGCACCCATCTTCGTCAAAAAGGACCAGGAGATTGTATATCAAATTTGGTCAATGCATCGTCGCAAGGACCTCTGGGGTGACGATGCCGCCACATTCAAGCCTGAAAGGTGGGAAAAGGCAAGGCCACGCTTCGAGTTTCTGCCTTTCAATGCTGGGCCGAGAATCTGTCTAGGTGCGTGTGGCATCGAGGTCGTCTTGATCTAGCGAACGCTCTACTAACTAACGGTTAACGGAACAGGCCAGCAGTTCGCCTGGACAGAGGCGAGCTATGTGCTTGTGCGCTTCTTGCAGGAATATTCTCATATCGAGGGCTTGAATACGACAATCCCATGGACGGAGAAACTAACTTTAACCTGTTGCATCAACCAAGGCGTGCAGGTGAAATTAACAAAGGCTGTATAAGTATTGATTTTACTTTGGTTAAAATACTGAGGCCTGAAGCACATTTGCTCCGTCCAGAATCATATGGCCTGGTTCAAAGCGAGCTACGCTGTTAACCACTTGGTAGCATTAAGAACAGTGCTCTATCTCAGTTTGTTTAGCCGGCTTTCCATCGTCACTCGAGCCAAAATCAGCCCAGTTCCTCTGGAAGCCTACATTATAGCCAGTACGAACCTTATCTAGTAGCCTCAAGTTATGAATAGCCTTCCCTAGCTATCCGTGGTTTGCTACCCTTAGGTTATGTTATTGATGATCCGTAATAAAGAGATAATTAGATACCCTTATAAGTATATGTCTTACCACTAGTTAATATAAAAAGACCCGTATGAGACGACAATGTTCTAATTCTTAAGCGGCGATAAAATCATCATCGACTAGGTAGGTCAAAAGCACGGGTATTCCCCTATAGCTAGCATAGATATTATAGAGAGTATTCAATATAGTTGTCGTGGCCATCGAACTCAATACTTCTACGGGGTGCTTATATTTACTATATAATGGCCATTAAATGTGAAAGGCCATACAAATTAAGTCCAAATGCCACACCAACCATCCATGCCAACACATTTGGGGGCATCCTGATTTACTCCGGACCTCCAGGGGTTTCTTCTCCACTAGCAATGGAAAATACCGAAGGGACCAGTAATCAGTTACTGCTAATGCCAGTGTTGTTGGATCTCCACTTGAACTGTGATATAACTGCAGTAAGGACAAGGTATGCAGGGCAGCAGGATTTACGCGGCTCCCAACTGTTAACTCATAGGAGTATCTGTATATAACAAGCCGTCTGCCGGTTGTGGAGGGGTCATAGCTAGGTATAACTATTTTATAGCCCGAGTAGAATCATGTTTGGCACACTTGTCTCTACCAGCCTTGACCGAGAGACTTTGGAGTACATTGAGAACCCAGATCATGTTGCTGCAGTGAGCCGTAACGTACAAGACAAGATACGAATTGCTTGTATGATCTGCCGTTCTAGAAAGGTGTGTCCCTATCCTCTACCGACAGGCATATGTGAATAACCGTATCTCTGTAGGTACGCTGCTCTGGAGAACGGAAAAGATGCCAAAGATGTGTGACTATGGGACTCAAGTGCGTGTATCCAGAGTATCAGGGGCGGAGCAAACGACAGGAAAGAAACAAGAGTCGTCAGAGAGTGAGTACCGAAGGATATATGTCCTGGGATTGAGTCACTAACGCACTGCATCAGCGCAGTGGGAGTGCCGTGCCTAGGACTGTGTGCGATGAAGCAGAGCCTGGCGGCCAGGCAAAGGACAGTGAAGAATCGGCACCGGACAACCTGGACAACTGCACCGATGAGTCTCTGTTTACGCCCTGGATAATCGATACCCCCATGCAGCACGATTTAGACGGTAGTTCGAGCTCAAGCAGTGGCTACAACACAGCTTGTAAGTGTATTTATTTGGTATTTGGTTCTATATGTTGTTCTTGACTGACAGCGAAAGCTACTATTGACATTATGACTCCGGAGATGCCGACGCCAGACATGACCTTGACGCCGTTACCTAGGCCGTCAGCTACGGACAGAGCAGGCGATGTGGAATCGTTGGAGAGAGGCCAAGCAGTGCATGTGAATGCTGATGGAGACGGCTGCTGCCTGCTGAGCTCAATATCATTTCTCAACAGATTGGTATCCAGATCTGCTTCGTGTGAGAACCGTATCGACCTGCTCCTTGCCGACGTCCGCAGCTCCATTGAGACGTTGGCGACATTCATGTTATGTGAGAGATGTGCGTCTCGAGTAGAGCATGACATGCTGATCGCCATGACGGCCAGGCAGATAAGTGTCATCTGTGGAATGATGGCCAACTGCTACAGGACCATGTATCTTCGTGCCGTCGATAGCAACACCTTATCATCCGAACCCGAAGTCGATGTCGCTGCCGGCGCCGTTGACGTCTTCGTGTCGACCTATCGTGTCAACCTCCGTGAGAGGCTACATCTCCTCGAAAGCCTGGTGTCTCTCCAGCTTGTTGAGTTCCAGCAGCATATCGACACCATCAAGACTCGGCATCGCAGCCGGCCGGATCAAGGCCAGGCGGAGACCCTCATCGAAGCAGAGGACCATATAAAGTTGGCACAGCTTGCCATCATCGGTTTAAATATTAACCATTTATAACAACTTTGGTCGTGTTAAGTAGATGGAATATATAATATATATATAGCTGTATCTGTATCTGTCTGTAGCTATAACTGAGCCAGGAGCCAATCGAATGTTCGAACTACAGCTTTGATCTCAGCCTGTCGTTTCGGAACGTCGTGCGAGCCAGCATGTAAGACCGTCTTTGCCATCGAATCCTCGCATAGGCTGCGAGCGACTTCGGCCATCTTGATCATGTACTCAGCGTCGTTCTGCCCCCAAACATGGACGGTTGGGATCTGAATCTTGTGTGCCAGCAACGATGGATACATCACTCGGGGGATGGCATCGTGCTGTCCGTGTCGATAGACATCCAGGTCGGTCCAAGGGAAGAGAGGATCGTGGATGAAAGCTTCGACCATCGTCAGTTGTAGCACGTCTACAAACTCCTGCTCCGCCGGTGTCAGATGCTCGTCGTTGCGCCTTGTTCGATCCGTGATGTCGTACTCTAGAGCTCGCAGCCTTGATATTATTGAATCTCCCATACCCTCGTCGGGGCTACACGGCATCACTGCTGAGAAGAGACAGGCAAACCTGGCTCGTAGAGAGCTGGCGGATGCTTGTTGTCGGTAGAAATATGACAGCGTCAGCGCTGCCCCCTGGCTGAACCCGAAGATGCCGTCAAAGGGGCCTTCGTCCTCGAGCAGGTCTTCAAGGTAGTCAACCGCCTGTGCTATCTGAGCAGGAGAATATCCTTGCGTATGGGAGTAAAAGGGGCCGCTGATGTACTCCGGAACGCCTATTGTGAACTGTCAACAGAGCCGACAAGACAAGAGCCATCACAAGAGGTCTCTGCTATGTATGCTATGTACGTACCAGGGCCTCGCTCGCACTCGAACGGTCCGTCTACGAAGACAAGCTCGAAGCTGGGATCCAGTTCACGCTGCAAATTTGCCATCTGCGCCTCCAGGACGGCGCCTGAGCTGCCAACGCCATGAAGACACAGAATCCTCATTCTGCCGTAACTATGTATATTGAAGATTATTGAGTGATGAAGACGGAACTACTGGACATGTCGACAATGCGTGCGGTGGGATAGCACGAATGCGAGGGCGCTGTTGCCGGGCCGAACAGGGATTTGCCATCCTTGCATCATCCACGGAAGAGTCTCTCTAACTATCTCCTGACTCTGTTCACTGCTTGTGGCCAGAACCAAATCCGGATGAGTGACTATGTTTTGTAGCTGGAGATGGCGGGATTCTACGGTCGTGGATATCCACGATGGAATCCTCTACCAAATCATACCACTACACACTCCTTACACTCCCTTTTGTTGCTTCTTTCGTGCTTTTTAAGTCCATAACATATGCAACATGGATGAACCAATTGCCATTGTCGGGGTAGCATGTCGCCTTGCCGGCGAGGTTTCGTCTCTGGACTCTCTATGGGACATGATCAGTAAGGTCAAGACCGGCCATGGGCCAGTTCCTGGTGATAGATGGAATAGCAGCCGTTGGTACCATCCTGACCCTGACCGTAAGGGTGGAATCAGTCCACGACATGGATACTTCCTACAGCAAGACATCAGCCAGTTTGACGCCCCTTTTTTCTCGGTAACGGCCAGAGAGGCTGCCGCCATGGACCCAATGAAGAGACTGTTGCTCGAAGTAACTTATGAAAGTATCGAGAATGGTAATATGATTCTCCCACTCAACAGGATTTGAGATTCTGATTGATGCTGACGGTGACGCAGCTGGAATCCTGGTTGAGGATTTGATGAACAGCCGCACGGGTTGCTACGTTGGCTGCATGACAAACGACTATGAGATGCTCTCCTTGCATGATATCTACGACATTGGACATCCGGCAGCAACAGGTCTAAGCGAAGCCATGATTGCTAATCGTGTCTCCTGGTTCTTTGGTCTCAAGGGTCCCAGTTTGACGCTTGACACCGCTTGCAGCTCGTCATTGTATACCCTTCACCTTGCCTGTCAGTCGCTTAGGTTGAAGGAAACCAACATGGTATGCCATAGCTCAGGACAGGCGCGTGTTTGAATTGATAGCTTACTTGATTCTGGTAGTCGCTTGTGGCTGGGGTTAACCTGATAATTAACCCCAATACAATGCACCAGTTCAATGCATTGCACATGCTCAGCCCTGATGGCATCTCACACACGTTTGATGACCGCGCCAATGGCTATGGCCGTGGAGACGGTATTGGTGTTCTGGTCGTCAAGCGCCTGTCAGATGCTATTCGAGACGGCGACACCATCCGCGCTGTCATTCGTGGTACTGGAGCTAACGCCAACGGCAAAACCCCTAGTATCACACAGCCAAGTTCCGAGGCACAGGCCGAACTGATCAATCAAACTTATCAGGATGCAGGCTTGGATCAGTCGGAGACGGACTATTTCGAATGCCACGGGACGGGGACGCCGGTTGGCGATCCTCTTGAACTAGCTGCTATTGCCTCGACCATCGGTGCAGCAAGGCGTACGGCTGGAAAAACACCTCTCTATATCGGCGGTATCAAGCCTTCAGTCGGTCATACTGAGGGATGTGCTGGCCTGGCCGGAGTCTTCAAAGCAATCCTGCTGCTTGAAAAGGGGATGCTTGTCCCCACGTACGGCGTCGAACGCGTGAATCCCAAACTGAAGCTGAGCGAGTGGCATCTTGCTCTTCCGCACAATATCCTCAGATGGCCTTCACCAGGGCCGCGGCGTGTCAGTGTCAACTCATTCGGGTTCGGCGGTGCAAACGCTCACGCTATTCTGGATGACGCTTATCACTACCTCCAAGAAAGGGGTCTGGCTGGTAGGCACAACACCGTCGTACACGATGATTACTCGGCTTCAGATGCGGGCCTTCTTCGGGATGCACCAGTCGAAGATGACACAGCCAAACAGCTGTTTCTCTTCAGCAGCAAAGACCAGACTGGGGCCAATCGTGTGTCTGGGAGCTTAAACGCATGGCTGCAAAGCGATTTAAGAGACAAGCCTTGCCCGCGCCTGCTGGAGAATCTTGCATACACACTCGCACTGCGCCGCACACATCTGGAACACAGAACTTTTGCGATTGCAAGCTCCCTATCAGAGCTCGCTGAACGACTATCGCAAGGGTTGCCTACAGCCACTCGATCACAGCGCCATGGAGATAATCTAGTCATGGTATTCACTGGCCAAGGTGCGCAGTGGCCTGCTATGGGACTGGAGCTGTTCGAGAATCCCATATTTCGCCAAAGCATCCATGATTCACAATCTCGCCTCGAGGCTTTGGGCTGCCGGTGGAATGCAATCGAAGAGCTGACCAAGGCGCCCAACCCGAACATCGACCGTCCAGAGTACAGCCAGCCCCTCTGCACAGTGGTCCAGGTCGCCCTGGTCGACCTCCTTCGCTTCTGGAAGATCTCACCCACTGCCACAATCGGACACTCTAGTGGTGAGATTGCTGCCGCATACGCTGCATCGCTTCTAAGCCATCACGATGCAATAAAGCTGGCCTACGTCCGAGGCCAAAGCTCTGCCGTTGTCTCCAAGCAAGGTGCAATGATGGCTGCTGGGATTTCTCCACATGATGCCCAGGTATACCTAGAGAAAGTATCTCTCGGATCTGCGGTCGTGGCCTGTGTGAACAGCCCATCCAGTGTGACGTTCTCCGGCGACGTCGATGCTATCAACCAGCTAGAGTCCCTGATCTCTAGTGACGGTAAATTTGCCCGCAAACTGAAGGTCACTACCGCCTACCACTCTCCTCACATGCGCGAGGTTTCGTCGCAATATCTTGAGATGATTGGTGAAATATCACCGAGACAGAGAGATGAGACGAACAGCAGCAGCAGGAATAGCCCTGTAATGTACTCATCCCTTACTGGGTCCATGGTTTCCTCCGTTAAAGAGCTGAACGCCCAGTACTGGGTTAACAATATGCAGAATCCTGTCCAATTCTCACAGGGTCTCCTGGCATTACTGAAACATAAGAATGTGGCGCCAGGGGGTACTACTCGCCCGGTAGCGGTACACTGGGGAGGCTTTCTCGAGGTTGGTCCTCATGCGACTCTTCAAGGGCCGTTACGACAGGTCATCGATGCAAGTAATAACAAATTCGCCAAGTCAGCACCTTATGTCTCGATGCTTGTTCGTGGTAAAAACGCAATGGAAACATCCTTGAATGCTGCAGGAGTACTTTGGGCTGCTGGTTGCAAGGTTGATATGCGTGCAGTCAACCAACACCCAAACACGGCCAACATGCTTTGCAACTTGCCCTCTTACCCCTGGAATCATACAAGACGCTTCTGGCACGAATCTTATTCATCACGCTCTTATCGCTTCCCTTCCCATGAGCGCAGTGACTTTCTGGGCATGCCAGAAGATTCCCAGAACAGCCACGAGCCACGATGGAGAAACTACCTGCGCATATCCGAAAACCCCTGGATTGAAGACCATACAATCACGGGAACGGTACTGTACCCAGGGGCAGGGATGCTTGTGATGGCATTGGAAGGCGTACTGCGCACTGCCGACTCCTCCAAGGCAGTCAAGGGTTTCCAGATGAGCGATGTCATGTTCGAGCGTGGGTTGATGATATCCCTAGATGACGGCTCGCCTGTCGAGACCCGTATAAGTTTTCATCCACACAGTATCAAACCCGACTCGTGGACCTTCACGGTCTTCTCAATGACCAAGGGCTCGTCGTGGGCGAAACACTGTTCTGGATCCGTTGCTCTCATATATGAGAAGGCGAGCGAGGTTGAAGACGGCCGTTTGGATGATGCTCTATGGCAAGGACAACTGGATATACATAAGTCTCTGCTCTCTGAAGCGGATTCTGTGGCCATCAATGTTGATGAATTCTATAAAAACCTGGACACTATCGGCATGCGGTACGGTCCAACATTCCGTAATGCGGTATCTCTCACGGCAGTGCCATCTATGAAAGCTTCCTACGGATCCGTAGCAGTTCCAGATACCAAGTCGACAATGCCTAAACATCATGAATCCTCACATGTCATTCACCCGGCAACCATGGACTCAATCTTCCACATCATGCTTGCTTCCCTTAATACCGGCCAGCCATTGAAACAAGCGGCAGTGCCTTATAGCATCGAAGAGATTTACATAGCCCGTGATCAACCAAAGGAGTCTGGAACGCTCTATTCCGGCCATAGTCGTTTGCTGTCGCGGGGCGGCCATGAGATCACGGCTGAACTGTTCGTTTCTGATCAGGAGTGGGCAAAACCAAAGCTTACTGTCAAGAATTTTGTCCTTCGTCAAGTTACGTCTGAAGACGGCCCTGAAACAGCTGATACTACATCGTCTGGGGACATCAAAAACTGCGCGAGGATCACCTGGATTCCTGATCTTGCATTCTTGACTAGCAACAAGGATCTTACGAAGCTAGTATCGTCCAAAGAGACGGACACTTTGATGGACGCCTTGCTAGACCCCGTGTTCCTCAAGACGTCGAATAACACCGTCCTTGTTGCAATGTTTGATGAGTCGGAATCTAGCCTTGACATCCTCCTTCGCCTCAAGAGCCGAACATATGGGCCTAAAAAGATCATTGCCCTGGCTTCATCAGAGCCTGGAGGGCGGTTGATGCGAGCCACACTCGGCGAAAGTACCGAAAACATGACCATCACCTACCGATGGCTACCGGAAAAGGAACTCCTTCAGACGCTGGCGCCAGAAGCTAATGATCTCATTATCGGATTGGGAGTTCCTGACATTGCGAAGAACGCTGCCACGCTTGCAAAGCTGGCACCGCTGGCCTGCCTTACCTATACTCGCCAACCAGACGAAGTTGACATTGTTGTGCAAGGTAGCAAGCGTGTTGGCCACTTTTTAGGAGATTCAACTTCCGTTCTGTTCGCATCAAGCACAAATTCACCCTCTGCTGAGCTTCCCGACTCTGTTGTGCTTCTCTTGCCCGCATCGCCATCCGACCCCCTTTTTACGTTTGCCGCAACAATCCAGACCAAGCTTGAAAGCTCAGGGGTGTCAGTGGCAAGAACAAATCTGACCCCTAGACGTGTGGCTTCACTTAACGGACAGACTGTCATTTCTCTCCTCGAATTTGACAATCCACTAGTATATAATTGGGATGAAGACCAGTTCAACGCATTCAAGAAGCTCGTCTCCACGGTTGGGCATCTTTTCTGGATTACCCACGGGAGTGTGCTTGATAGTTGGTTAAACGGTGTTGAATTCGCAGCAAGCCAGGGCTTGTTCCGAGTCATGCGCAACGAATATCCAATTGCAAACTTGCCATCTCTAGACCTGTCTGCAGCTGCTGATGTTTCCAGTATCCAATACATAGACCTAGTTCTCAAAGTTTGGAGAGCGTCTCTGGCCGATGATGCAGAAACGGAGTATGCTGAAGCCAACGGCATGGTTTATATTCCCCGAGCCGTAGAGGATGCTGGCTTCGATTATGAACTGCAATTAGCAAACAATACGGCAAAACCGATCTGGTCTACCCTTGGGGCTCCGGGGAAGCCCCTGAAAGCGAGCAAGTCTGCGAACGTCCAAGGTTACATCTGGACCCCAGACAAGAATACTGAATTACCACTCCAAGCAGGTGAAATTGAAGTAAAAGTTGAGTATGCTGGGCTTGGAATAGGCAATACAATGCATTCTGTTCGCCATGCTGTCGGCGTTGTTACTCGCCGAGCCGACTCAGCCAAAGCATTTAAGCTTGGCCAACGAGTCATTATTTTCTCCCACGATGCTGCTAGGACTCATGTCCGTCAATCCGAGGCCCTGGTTGCACCACTTCCCGAAGGCCTTGGGTCGCAGGAAGCTGTTGTGCTTGTAGAGCCGTTAATAACTGCGCAATATACGCTTGTCGAAATGGCCCATCTAAAATGTGGCCAGGCATTACTGCTCGACAATGCAGCAAGTGCAATCGGACAGGCCCTGATACTAGTTGCCAAAGCTGTCGGTGCCGACGTCTTTGCCCTAGTCCATAGCATAGAAGGGCGAGATATAATCTCTGACAAATTTGAGATCCCTACTGACCACATATTTGATTCAAATTTGGATAATTTTGTACCACTCATACGAAGTGCTACCAACAATCACGGCGTCGACGTTGCTGTCAGCCAGCAATCGGGCGCACATGTCACCGGAGCCATGTCGGTTCTAAGCGAATTTGGCCAATTTATCGATATCAATAGTACAAGCACCAAAGATCTACTTCTGGCCTCAAAAGCCAATATGACTCTCACTCGCATCAACATGGCTGCGGTAATGAAAGACAGACCAAGTATTATCAGCAAGCTATTCCAGCAAGCCTTCAATAAATACACCCTCCAGGGTCCTTCTCCGCTGACGGTGCTGCCTGTTACTAATCTTTCCGCTTCGGTAAACAGCATCCAGGCCGAACATGTTGCCGTGTCGTTAAATAATGCAAGCCCCGTGCTCATGGCCGCAGCCCCATCCCAGGAACTGAAGCTTGACAGTGAAGCAATATATGTGCTGGCTGGTGGCCTAGGCGCACTTGGCTTAGACATTGCCAGCTGGATGGTCGATTATGGTGCCAGGAACCTGGTATTCCTATCTCGATCAGGAGGGTCAAAGAATCAAGGTGATCTACAGAAGCTCACTGAGCGTTCTGTACATGCTGAAGCGCTCAAGTGCAACGTCAACGATGCTGCCAGCGTTGCCATAGTATTCGACAACCTCAAAGCCAGTGGTAGGAGGATTGCCGGAGTGATCCAATTAGCCATGGTACTCGAAGACGGAATTTTCGAGAATATGTCCTTTGCGCAGTGGCGTCGTGCGATTGAACCCAAGACTAAAGGCTCACGAAACCTCCTGGCGAACATCTGGCCTGGTGACAAACCCTTCTTCATTCTGTTGTCGTCCATCACCGGTATTATCGGCAACACGGCGCAAGCAAACTACGCTTCTGGAAACACTTTTGAGGATGCGTTAGCACAACATGCCCGCTCCCACCTCGGCATCCACGCTACTAGCATTGACGTCGGCTTGGTCTCTGATTCCTCGCATTTTACGACTGCCGGTGAGTTTGGTGACCTCGCCGGTTATCTTAGCAGATACCAGCATGGCTGGCGCGGCCTACAGACGAACCTCAAAGAGCTCGGCGTAGTCATACGAGCTATCATGCGATCCTCTACCACGATGGAGCGGAGTGCACCCGCCCAGGTAGTGCTGGGTCTTGGTGACCACATTGAGTGCAACGAAAGCACCGGAGGCTTCTCGAGGGACAAGAAATTCGAGCTCCGCATCGTCAAGGCCGGAAACCGGGCCAGTGACGACAATGTGACGCAAGATGTCGGCATTCGCTTATCCAATGCGACTAGTATGGCAGAGGCTACAGCGGTTGTAGAAGAGAATATCAAGGACCTGGTCGCTGCGGCCATGGGTGTCTCTGTGGAAGAGATAGATCCTCAAAAGCCTCTATATGACTATGGTGGTAAGTCAAATAAATCCACGTTTCTTACAAAAAAACGAGATATCTAACAAGTTTTTGCTGCAGTTGATTCGCTACAGGCCGTCGAGATTCGAAATCGCGCCCTAAAGAACATGAAAAGTGATATTTCGGTCTTTGATATTCTTAGTGCTATGCCGTTGGCTGGTGTAGCGGCCAAGATTGCAGCCAATAGTCAATTGTTCAAAGCCATTGTAGGTGAGGATTGAGGACGCAACGCTGAATTGGATGACCACCTAGCCATATATTTTTGATACAGACGGTTCGGCTTGATGTATCGCGTCTTGCATCCCTGCTCTGTTCTTTGCGGTTTACATATTGTACGATATGAGTAATGGGGTCGATGCTTTCTATGGTCGCTTTATAATTTGGATGCAGCTGATTCACCTTAGACGAGTCAGTATACGGAGTATAACGATGATATTCCATGGAATAATCAGGACAATAATAGGGTAACAGATACCATATTAATACTGTGCAGCTTCAACAAGCTTGAGAACCCCTCTAGCTAATGCAATTTTCACTCCGCAATCATGCAAGTTCAAGTTGTGTTTCCCGTAGCGGAGTATGTATGTTGTTAGCAACGACGTCTACTTATGCGCGCCTACTAAGTTCCGCGTTAACGGCAAAGTCAAGAATTGCCGAGGTTCATTCCAACCGCAATCTACCAGTTAACCGACTATGCCAACGTAAGAGTTAACCATAAATAATTAATGACTTCAGTAGAAATATCTAGAATCTGAAATAATATCTTGTATATATTGGTTAATAACGAAGCCATCATGGGAGGCTCTAGACCAGTCGCACTCGTTATCGGTGCTTCCAGAGGGATTGGAAGGCAGGTTGCAATCGATCTAGCAAAAGAAGGATATGCCGGTTTGGCTTCTATTTTCTAAACGAATGTCACCTCTAAACAATTTAACTAACAGGATGTGCAGTCGTTGTTGCGGCCAAAACAACATCAGATGCCGCCAAAACGGTGCCATTTCCGCCAGACCCAAACTCGCAGCAATCCACCATCAATACAGTAGCTCGAGAAATAAACGAATCGGGGGGTGAAGCTGTTGCTCTCCCGGTTGATACCCGAGATGTTGAGGCTGTCAGCAACCTAGTTCGACAGACTGCAGAAGAGCTATATGGGAGACTAGACGTCCTAGTCTATAATTCTGGTGCCATTTGGTGGTCGTCCGTCGAGAACACGCCTGTTAAACGTTTTATGCTCATGCAGCAAGTTAATCCGGAGGGTCTCTATGCTAGCGTACATGCATCTCTCCCATATTTTAAAAAGAATGGGTGGAAAGGAAGAATTATAGTCGTCTCTCCGCCAATATATTCCCGGTTCTTTAGGGGGAAAACTGCTTATGCCATGGGTGAGTTTCCAACTATCAAAATGGTATATAACTCATAAGGTTAATTGAACAACACTGTTTATAGGCAAGGTTGGAATGAGTGTTCTTACAAAGGGCCTCGCGATGGATTTCGTTAGGCAAGAGAGACATCAAATGGCAATCACAAGCATTTGGCCAGCTGTGGTAAGCACAGGAAGCACCGGCAATTTCTCTCTTTATTGAATCCTAGGGAACTAATGAAGCTATATCTAGTCAATTGAATCCGCTGCAACCCAGCAATCCACCAAACTAGACCCATCATCTTTAAAAGATCTACGCAAGCCGGTATTTTCTATTTTTACTAATACTCAACGAAGAATCTTAGTTAACCCAACCCTCTAGACAATATTTTCTGATGCTATCCTTGCTATTTTAAAGTCCCCGCCGGCTGTAGTTAATGGTCTCTTGACCTTGGACGAAGACTTCCTGCGCAAACACTGCGGTGTCACGGACTTCTTGCCCTACTCAGTGGTCCCTGGGGCGAATCCAAGGCGTATTATGCCCAAAAGCCTTCCGGTTCTAGAGGTTGAGGAGCAAGATGACGAGGGGAAGCGAATGGATTCTACGATTCTAAGGCACAAGAGCAAGACGGGTACGAAGCTATAAGCACCTCTTGGCCTGTTATGTATAAAGCCCACAGTTTATGTTTAGCGCTTGAAGGACTACCAACATATGGGTTAGTAATATGGAAATGCTGGGAGTGCAGAAGGCTTGAAGCAGTCCGGGTACAAAATTTCCACGAATTGTTTAACGGCCGCAGCCATTCCACCAGAAATGTTTCATGCATCGCTGGGTAATGAATCTAGTTCTACATCTTCACTAGTATCAGCCTCTAAGCCTGCATAGTAAAGTGCGAGTGTGTGCCAGAGTTGGTCGCTTAACAGGCCTAGAGAAAGTATTTGAGTATTGAGTTTCATTTTGGCAACGGGGAGGAAGGGCATACAAATAAGAAGCGCCAGCGCCACAGTGAATAGTATCATGGGGTTGGTCATGAACTTATAGGCCAGATCGAAATTGGACACCAAGGCGATAATGCTTAGAAACGAAAGTCCCAAGACTACTCGTGTAGATGTGGCACCTATTCTATACACTCTTTTCGTGGGGTCATGGTGAACTAGGAAGATGAATACTGCAAACATGAACATGGCGAGAGAGGCCACAATAAAATAATACAAGAAGACAAAGCCGAATAGCTTGAGATACATCGTTAACAGATGGTCACTCCTGGTTGCGGTCGTACGGCCTTCCGGTGGAGTGATTCCCATACTTGAGAAGAGCGCCACAGTAACGTTCCCCATTATATCATGAGACCGCTCCATGTTGAGAGCGCCTTCCTCTGTCCCTGATGGGCAAAGCCGAGACTGCCGTCTCAGATCCCATAAAAGACCCTGGATTGCATACTTTTCTCTCAATGCTCCACGTGTGAAATCGATTTCCATGTCGACAATCGTGCCGTTGAGAGCATCAATCGCATCTGAGGTACTAGAGATTGCTATGTCACAAGCAGATAGGATCGTATCGCGCAAACGTTTGAGTTTTAGGGACACGTCCAGGGTCAGCGCCAAAATCTGTGTCCCTTCTGATAAGAGAATCAGGATTGCGTGAAACGGGAAATGCAAGCATGTCCATATTTTCTGCCGTAGTTTTCCTAGTTTTTCTCCTGGGGTGATGTCGAAATAGGATTGCCATAGCAAGTACTACTCCGCCTGTTAGTTTCTTAAGCTAACTATGAGCATGCTTAATATAGACCAGTGTGGATTCATACCACAGATGTAGTAACTCCAAGAATATGGACGAAAGACCAGCGAGTCCAGCCATTACCAACAGTCCTATTAACAATTCTAGTGACTGAGATGATACCATCACCAATGATTATAAGCGTGAGGAGGCCCATCCGGACATTGAGGTGCGTATCTTCAAACCCGATCCCAGGTAATTGATCTGCTTTTGTCATCACTAAAAAGGTTTCGGCAGCAAACATAAGCCACCAAAGAGTCCAGATGTAGGGGCCGATTGTGGCCGTATTGTAATTGAAGAGGAAATAGAGCTGCAATTTCATCTTAGCCTTTAAACAGCCGAGTGTAAGGGCCAGGGAAAGCTTACCGCAATATACCCTAGGCTGGTAAAGAACAAAAAGGAAGAGACACAGCACAAATTAAACGCAGCATCCTGCATTGCTGAGGATAAATGCACAGAAGCAATAAAATACTCCAGTGATAGCATCAGCCGACTTATTGCTAGGAGTATGCTCAGTGAATGGAATATCCACAAATTGTCCGGTCGAACTCTGGTAGCAAAGCCAGAGCCAGCGGAAGCAAAGCCTACCATGGTTGCTAGTTGGACTGCCTTGCATAACCGTTCGAAAACGGAGTCTCGAGCGAAACGAATATCGAATAGAGTGACCTGAAGCCACGTAAACCATATTATCCCTAAAAACCCAATATAAGACCATAGTGCTATGATTCTCGTTAGCAGTTTAAATTTCTTTTCTTCTTTTAAACAAGAACTTGCTAAAGCTGTGTACACACACCTTCTAATGCATTAATATCATTTGAAGCGGTAAATGTGGATAGGTTTGCCACGAAGAAGAGATCGAAAAACAACTCGATTGGTGTAGCATCTGATTGTCGATATAAGCGTGGAGGAGTATCACTCTTGTCAAGGGGAGATTCGATCCAGGGTATACGGTAACTAGTATACCTAGAGCCACGCTGCTATTAACTCTAGGCCGCGAAGGATGTATATTGACAATGCTTACTTGTCAAACTTGAATCGCCCGCCATGGGGCCGCGAAGGCCTGAAAGAAAGAAATAACTGGCGAACCATAGTTCTTTCACAGCAAAAGCAATCTTGCCAGGCAGTTTGATACTGAATCGCCAGTGTTTCGAGACTTGGAAGGGATATGATTGATTTCGGCGTGTAAGTTTTGTCCACACAAACTGTAACTTCCTTTCTTAGGACGGAAGGTGCAAGCTGTAACAATATCAGTTCCTCTAGATAAATATCTCGAGCGTGATTGTTTCTATCTTCATTCATCTTCATTCATTTCAGCATCCGGTGCTGGTAAAGACATGGTTCCAAGGCTATCAAGCCCATGATCAGCTCCGACATCAGCACCCGTGATAAGTTTCTCGGTGGTGGCAGTTTGACCGGCCTCCGCTCTGAGCCTCTCATACTTATCGCCCGCCTCTTTCAAAAGATTTTGAATCTCGGTCTCTCTTTCAGTTATTTCGACCTTCTCCTTACGGAGCTCCTCTAAGCGGCTGACGAGCTGTGTCTTGGAGTTTTCCATTGAAGTCACAGTCATCCGTAAACCAGCCAACTTCGATGCAAGTGTCGGGAGTGAGGTTATTTTAGGCGGTGTTTTCGGGCGGGCCACAACTTCATGATTTTCTCTCTTCAAACCGTCCATTCCTGCACGAGTCTGCGCAGACTCATACGCTGCTCGGCGTTCTGTTTCAGAATCATCTTCGTCTGAGAGATCTTCCGCGTCATTTATAAGCTCTTTCATATCCGCACGCTGCCGCCGTTTTTGCTCAATTTCCGCCCTCCTGCCCATTGCTATCCGCCCGTCCTCGACATACTCATCAAAGCCCTCCGCAAAATCTTCATCATCCCGGACCAACCTGGTCTCAATTTCAAGTGGCTTCTTAGACAGTGACCATTCATCGCCGTCACCCTCTACCCCGGTATCATTTAGAGATATGTACTCTTGTTCCTTGGCAAGCCGGCTGCGGCGCTCTTTTTTCTCTCGGATCTCGGCCTCACTAGGGATGGCAGAGTTCCCAGTGTATTGTACCACTTCTCCAAACTTCTCAGCTATATTTAGCGCCTTTTCCTTTTCGTCCTCAGTATCTGGAAGAGACACGTTCTTGGGAGTAGACGGTGTAGAGTTTCGTAATTCCTGGAGGTAATCCTTGCTGTAGCTGGGTCTGTCCTCATCACGGCCAACCCTGACAGGAAGAGGCTCTGAAGAGTTCAAGGGTTTCCGGGTTGAGGGTCTATCCAAAATATTACGTCTCATACCCGTTTTCTTTGGTATAACAACCTCTCCTTCGTCAGAAACATCGTCTGTCATAGAAGTCCCACCAACTCCAAAAGAAAGATGCAGCTTTGATTTTCGTTTCGGTTTAGATGTCGGTTTCCGAACAACAGGTTCTATATTATAGATCACCTATGTTAGTTCATCAAGCTGGAATCAATATACTAGTAGAAGGGAGCTCACCTTGCTCAATGGAGCCATCGGTCTCCTCGTCGTCATCTGCGCCTATCCGCCGTGCCTTGCGCCTGCTTGCAAACGGAGAACTCATGCTAGTATGAGGCGCATGTACAAACACTCTTGATTGTTAATACGTTCGTCTCACTACGAGGTATGAGTTAGAGATTAAGAGCTCTTTTATCTTTTATATCGAAGCTCTGAAGGCCCGCAGGTTGATACAACGGGATCACGTTATTCCGCTCCGCCCTGCTTATCGCGTTTCCACCAAGAAACGTTCAAATATCAATTGTCGAGAGCAGCAACTCTACAGCTTAGTTGAACAAGCATAGAATATAATCCAAGATGCCTCAAGCTCAGCCGGAGTTAAAAAAGGTGCGGTCACTCATTTTTCTCTTTCTTGCTAGTATAATGCTAACCTTTCCCCCGCTTTAGTATATGGAGAAGCGGTTGTTTGTCCAGCTGAATGGCAATCGCAAAGTTATTGGACTCCTTCGAGGATATGATGTACGATGTTCTCAATACCCTATAGCTCGTCGCGGGTGTGTTATGAGTCTAACACTCGAGCAGGTCTTCATGAATATTGTCCTGGATGACGCTGTGGAAGAGAAGAATGGAGGTGAAAAGGTCCCGCTAGGCATGGTGGTAAGGAATAGAACACACCCATGAACGCCGTGGTAGAAGCTAAGGATTGTCTCTGTATAGGTCATTCGTGGAAACTCAGTAGTCATGCTAGAGGTGTGTATATTTTGGAAGCAGAATGTGTGCGCTATGCAGGAAGCATGCTAACCATGTTTTTTTTCTCACCAGGCACTCGAGCGTATCAGTGACCGATGATAGAAGCTTTCGACCCACTTGCACGTCTTCTGTTCGTTTTTATATCTTCCCGGAAAGTTCATTCGGATTGGGTGGGATAATGCTTCACAATTAATCGGCCATTCTATCCGTTTCCCGAATGCCTGTTTCGTCTTTTTAGTTTAAACGGAGTTTATGCCAGGTCAAATATCGCGCTTTGTAAAGGAAATGACATACAAAATGAGGATGTTGAGGAACGTCTCTTTAACAAAAGAATCTTTATTACTAGTATAAGTGTTACACTGCTTTGAACTTATAAAATGCAGAAAGATAGATCCTCCCAACTCAACCAAGCTCCGCGCCTTTCAGGTTGTTGTTTTGTTAATTTAATAAAAAGAGAAAAGGAACAAACCGGGGAAATAGAAACCAGCCTCATGCCCCCGTTACGCCTTTTTTTCATGACCTATCCGAATGTTAAACCAGCCCGCTGTACGGATTCCGAGCGCCGTCAAAGACAAAAAAAGATGGTATGGCAAAGAGTACGAAAAAAATGTTGGTTATAGAAGATGCAAATTCCCCAAACCGTATTCACGGGGCGGGAGAAAAACTTGAGCTTTTGGCCTTGAGCTTCAATTTAATTTTTGGCTTGACAGTGGTGGTAGAAGATGGTGATGGTTGTGATGACGCGGAACACACGGTGCCCAGTTTAGGGATCTTGAGAGTCACTTTATGGCTGAGAGGTGGAGTGGCGCCATTAGTATCTTGTTCACGCTTCCTTTTCACAGGCTGAGTAGATGAAGGCGCAGCGGTAGTCGTCTTTGATGTGATTGATGTGGTTGTGCTGCCCATTGGGCGTGTGCGGAAGGTATTGGTTTTCCAAAACTTCATTTTGCCCTTGAGACGAGATCAGGTCAGCCTGCATCCATGAAAATTGATCTCACAAGGATTAGACTTACATTTCCCAAATGTTGCGTTTTCCAGTAACGAGGCAACTTCAAGCGGGCCATTGCTTGTTCAACGGGATGGTACAAGGCACCAACAGCATAGACGAAGTCGCATAGCTCTGCGAGGCTCGCTCGTGGAGAGTTGCATGCCGCCCATAGTGCCTCCTTTAAAGCTTTATTTGAGCCAAGTTCTTGTTTTAGGGCATCTAAAGCTCCAGGTATCGTTTGCCTTCTTGCTAATTGGCCCTGTCGAGCTTCAGTCGAGGATTCCTGCTCGATGACGAGCGAGTTACCCGCAAAAGAACCGGAAGGTTCAGATTCAGTGCCAAACGCTATAGTTGCGAGTGCTTCGCTGAATAGGCGGTAAAGGTTGCGTCGAATATAGGGTGAAGCGTCAGTGGACATGTTGTAGATGAACCAAGTTATCAGCTCTGGATGTTCGAACAACCGAAATTCCAGCAAAGTTTCGAATGCCTTTAGCCTCAATTCTTCCAGAACCCCGGCACGCGTGTATTGAACGAACTGGACAAGGTCAACCTGGAGTAATTTAGCCTTCATAAGTCGTTTTTGGCATTCGAGTGACGTCCTCGAGAAGATGTTTCTAAATGAACCAGCCCATTCATCAATCCGTCGATATCGGTCAATCTCAGCAATGCAGTCTTTATCCAGCTGCTCCTCTGCTTGGCGTTCAATTTCTCTGTTAATGTCGAAATCCATATCGTTGGCACTTCTCTCTCTCTTGCCAAGTAATGCGTTGCAAATAGATTTAAGAAGAGTCGATATGTAAAAACAGTCGGAAAACTAACGGTTGTAAGCTCATCTAAACGAAATAAGAGTATTAAGTTGGAGTAAAACATACCTCATTATTGGAGTTGTCGTTGAATTTTAGTTTATCATAGAGAAATTGCTTCACCCTTACTGGTGTCTTACCGTCATCGTCTCTTACCTCCGAAATAGCCTCAATAAGTGCAAGTTGCACTGCGTAAGACGCTCGGTCTGAAAAGTCATTTGAACGAACCATTGTCGAGTTTGGAAGACAATATAATTCTTGGAAGGCGTTTTCTAGATGAAATAGGCCAATCCAATCAACTTCTTGTTTGGCATGTTTGACAAGTGCTTTGGTAGCAGCTGTTCGGATTCCATGGAAATATCGGCGATCCAGAATTGTCCGAACAAAGATGGTCGATATAAGGGCGTGCTCTCGCTGCGCAGCCATATGTTGTATAGACTAACAATCGTTAGGCTCAGTCACAGGTTAACGAACTTGAGGAATGAGGCTTACCTCGAGTTGAGCAACAACATCACGATCTTGTTGCAGCTGGGACAGGTACATATATCCAGGCATACCAAGGGACATTTTACATATCCATTCAAAGTCGGCATCCATTCTAATCCATTCGTAGGATTCCTGTCCCATTCGGCTCTCGTCTTCCTTGGTCCACTCAACAAGCTTCCATTTTTCCATATCTTCATCTGATTGCAGCACATCTCCCAAACAATAAAGCAAGACGTCATCTTGAGCTTCACTATTAGGGTCAATACCAGACATCGCCGCTGCTCGTTCTTTCTGGCGCCTATTTCGCTTCAGACGCTTATACTTTGTGTTATAAGGGATGTCAAACTTTGTGACTGCCTCTTTGATCTCGACAATATGTTCATAAGGTGTTCCATCTGCTTCGTGAATTTGAATGGTCATAGAACCTGTAAACACATGCTGTACGGTACCTGCATAGATATTGCGTATCTCTTCTTTGACGTCTCTCATGAAGGTAGACCGTTCTAGATCACGGGCACTCATATGTTCCGTTTGGACTTGGGAAATCATCATTTCGACCACAAGTTTCTTCTTGTTAAATCTCTGACTGGCAGTGAATCTCGGGCAGCCAGCACCATAAACCCATTGGTTGAAGAACGCATCCAACTTCGTATGACCCATGCGTTCACAGAGTTTTTGAAAGTATGCCGATGTAAGCTCACAATTGGGAAGATCGCCCATTCGTGCGTTTAGGAAGATTCGAGATATAATCCGAGACACCGTTGCCTTACCACTTGCCTTGGAGAGCCGACGTTCAAGAATGTAGAGGACAAGAGGCGCTTTCAAGGATATAAACTCCATCTCAGAGGGATCAATTTTGAGAATAGCCCCCATATCCCACAAAGACGGGCGCAAAACATCCAAGTCGCACACTTTATCTGCCAGCAGTTTTTGTCGATACCTATATTCGTTGTTTCCCCCAATTTTTTTCATGAATGTATCCGTGATGTAGTAGGCTATACCTGTAACCACCCAGGTATCTGTTGGCTCATTCGGAATGATATTGATACCGACCCATTGGTATGCTAATGAATGCACTAGGCACCTTGTCGATTCATACATCATGTCGATAATGTTCTCAGGGAAGAGTATGCGATCACTGCATATTGAGAAGCCTGCTGCAGGCAGCGTATCTCTCCGGAGGTCATCAACAAAGCATAACTTAAAACTGGCAAATGGATAGGAGCCATAAGTCAATGAAATAAAATCGACAGCTTTGGCCATCGGTAAACATGTGTTTTTCACTTCATCCGCCCTTCCAGGGAGGCAGAAAGCATGGACAGGAACCGCATTGGCACCGAGTTGATCATCTTCGTCACTTTCACGGAATTGGGACAGGTTAACATATTCAAACGGTCCAACAGCGAATCCTATCTGGTGAGCTGATAGTGGCGAATTACATGAGAACGACACCGTCTTCCTAGCTTGGTCTTTGGGGTCGATGATCTCATCCGTCATATCTCCCGAACATGCGACAACCATATCCAACGCCGCATCTTCAGCGGAAAGTCCAACCTTCTTTGAGCTGGTTGTCCGGCTGCTAGTCCCATTAACATGTACATTGTCAGATGGTTTGGAAAAAATATCACCCAGCGTCCGAGGGCATCTTATTGAGACATCCCATGTACATCGAGAAGACATATCATCCACACACGGAAACAAGCAACAGGATTCCCCGGTATCCGAAGAGTTAGCGGTGAACGCATGGGGATACCGCAAGTCACGGTTTTCGACGCCCACAAACTGGATTCCATCTCTTGGTTTTTCGATCATAAATTCTATGGCTATCGTTATTGCCGTAAACCTCGGAAGCGAGGCCTCCGTAGCACGGCTGCCATCTACCGTATCATCCACGCCGCCAGTCCCACTAGCACCACCCGAAGTAGCTCGTAACGACAGTTGGGTCTGCGCTTCGATCGAAAACGGATCCAGCTCCTCTATGCGAACGGCTTTCGGAATAGTGATCACCAACTCTGGCTCGGGTGGTGTTTTTGACAAGGCATCCAGCTTCGAGGAGAGTTTTCGATGGTACTGGACACCATATAGTTGTAGTGTCTCGTAGGGGTCGACATATTTCGAGGTAGCTGTCTTCCCACCCACAGTGATGCGCTTGAGCTGGCCCTGCCGGAAATTCAGATGGACGAGCTTCAGATCCTTGTGATGCGGATGTATGGTGATCTCTGTTTTGCCTTTCAGGCTTCGGCTGGCTAAGTCGATATCAAGCTCGACTTTCTGATGGCTAACTGAATACCCCAGCCCTGAAGAAGGCGGAACACCTTGTGTTTCCACCAAGCCAGGCATCTTCGTATTGCGCGCAGCCAGTATCGGAAGGCCAGAAGAGTTCTCCTATCGATCGTTATATAGCAGCAGGATCATATCGTGCATGGGAGGTTGCCGTGAACAGAGTGCTGCTTGGTTGCGAGTCTGCCCAACCGGGTGAGCAATCCAGCAATAGCATTGGTGAAGGACAGCCGTGAGAGTGCGAATCTAAAGTCCAGTTAATAAGCGCAACACACCAAGCAAGCGCAAAAGTCCATCGTAAATAAGAAATACAGGAACACTCTTAGTATTGTCGAGCCGGTGAAGCTCCTTATTCAATTTTCTATTCAACTGAAGCAACTTCGAGCTTTCGCGATCCCGAAATGCGCAGAAACACGCTAGCCCTAAACTGATTAGTTTACTTGTTCTATCACGTGATAGTCACATGTTTGGTGTTTGTCATGTGATTCGGCTTTTGCTCCTTTTTTTTTATTTTTTACCCCACGAAATTCAACTCAACGACTTTGATCTTGGAGAGAAGTTGAGATTAAAGGAAGAGTTGATAATCTGGCTATGATCAGTACAAGTCTCAGCATGTTTTAAGATTAGTCTAAAGCCCTGCACGAATTGCCAATTAGTTACAATGGACTCTGTCAGGAAACTTACTGGTACGTTCAATATTACTTGCTGTCTGGTATAACCGTCAACGGTGGTAATCTATCTTTTATTGTTAACACGAACACGACAGGATTGGAGGATTCCTTGACGGATGAGACCCTAGCTCCTTTAAAGTCTTACAAATATTCGAGTGTCGATAAGTCGTATATCTCTCGATATATACTCAAACACTATGTACTGCCACTCTCTCATCCTCAGTCGACGCTTTTTTCTTCAGAAGAGATATATATCTGCCTATATGCAATGTACATAAGTGCTGTACTGATCAATCACACCTTCATCGCTTTTAGTGGAATGCGTTTGTCGAGCTCTTACCACTATGGATTGCTCCCAACATGGTCACCCTCCTTGGGTTTGGATTCATTGTTGGGAACGTAATGCTACTCGAGATTTACATGCCAGATCTCGTAGGACCGGTGTGTGCAGAGAGATTAACCCTTTAAAGCGGTTATTACTTTACCGTAGCGTGCATAAATGCTAAGAACGACATGTCGGTTCGATTTTAGGGTCCATCATGGCTATACTATAGCTTTGCTATAGGCATATGGATGTAAGCTCCCCTAAACTAGGAGACAATTTTATACCCCTTAATGGACTACTGACCGGTTGCCTAGGTATTCTACCATGGATAATGTTGACGGTAAACAAGCTAGACGCACTGGCACATCAAGTCCTCTGGGAGAGTTGTTCGAGTATGACCATAAACACACGCCCCCCTTTTCCCCATGTAGTTGGAGAGCTAATGTATGATTCACTTGGGACAGTCATGGTATCGACTCTCTTAACTGCACACTAGCAAGTTTGCTTGAGGTTGCTGCCATGGGTCAAGGGTCAACGAAAATTGGTGCTTTTACCATGTTGATTCCCTGTTTACCAATGTTTTTCTCAACATGGGAGACATACCATACCCATACCCTATATCTCGGCTACTTCAACGGGCCCACCGAAGGCTTGATAATCGCAACCGCGATTATTATAGCAGCAGGTTACTACGGACCAGAAATCTACTCTCGTCCTCTGGCTGAGGGTATCGGACACAAAGACCTGCTCGGAAACATCACATTCCTAGACCTTTGGGTCTTCGTTCTTCTCACCTCTTTCTTTACTGCTCACTTGCCAGAATGCGTTTACAATGTGGTCCAGGCACGAAAACGCAAAGGACTGCCTGTCTTGCCGATATTCCTCGAATGGACGCCCATTATTGTATCGAGTATATCGGCCATATCCTGGGTTTACTCCCCGTATTCATTTATTCTAAAGGACAATCATCTCGTCCTATTCGCCGTTACCCTGTGTTTTGTCTTCGGACGAATGACTACGAAAATAATCCTTGCCCATCTCACTAGACAGCCATTCCCTTACTGGTCTGTTTTAATCACGCCCCTTATCGGCGGTGCAGTTTTAATTAACCTACCAGTACTCGGTTTACCAGCTGTTGGGGCGAGTGTGGAGCTATGGTATCTCTGGGGCTACCTCGTTTTCGCCTTTGTCGCATATATGCACTGGGCTTTATATGTTATCGGCCGTATCACGACATTCTTAGGCATCAACTGCTTGACGATCAAGCATCGTCACTCAACATTGAACGACCCCGTTCTTGGTGATATTACAAACAACAAAATGCAAGCGGCATATAACAAGCCTGTCAAGATGAACTAAATAGAAAGGGGGCAGCGATGACATTTTTACTTTATATAATATCAGCGTTCTTATAATAGAAAGCGTCTTATACTTGTTACTGTTATAGCTATACTGTGCTCACTGTACATAGTTAGAGAAGCCAGCATCCTACCGTCGATGCCAGGGGTTATACCCTATTCTTTCATGAAAAACCCTCTAATCCGTTGTCAAGTATGTCTAAGGATAGATCACAGTGCATTCCCCTTTATTTACAATGAAACCTACAACGAGTTGCGGTAACTGCCAATTAACTGCCTATACTATCAGGTAGCCTTTATTTATCGCGGCTTTAAGGCCGAGGTGCGACTGGCTGGGCGAAGATGCGGGGAGCTGAACTATTTGAAGTGCACAACAAACGCGACTACAAGTGAATGTTAGGATAGGAGAAGTGCTTTCTCTTTATATAAACAATATATCTAACAAGTTATTCTACACCATTACAGCCTCAGGAGTAACAAGATGGTCAACCTACCGGAGACGTTTGCGGCTATTCCGCGCCAGGAGTTCCTCCTCGGCCCTTCACCAATCCATCTTCTTCCCCGGATGACAGCTGATCTCGGAGGCCAGGTCAAGATATATGCGAAACGAGACGATGTCAGCTCCGGTTTAGCGTATGGAGGCAACAAGACGCGCAAACTTGAATATCTCGCTGCCGATGCTGTTGCCCAGGGATGTGATACTCTCGTCAGTATCGGCGGAATTCAGAGCAACCACACCCGCCAAGTGGCCGCAGTAGCGGCCAGAATGGGCTTAAAGTGTGGCCTGGTGCAGGAGAAATGGGTGGAATGGTCTGATACAGGCTACGAGAAGGTCGGGAACATTCAGCTGTCTTACCTGATGGGTGCGGACGTGCGGATTGAGAAGATGACTACCTTTGGAATTGAACACAAGGATACCCTGAAATCGTTGATGAAAGAATATGAAGCCAAGGGCCAGAAGCCTTACTATATCCCCGCCGGAGCATCCGATCACCCTCTCGGAGGCCTGGGCTTTGCTCGCTGGGCCTTTGAGGTGCGCGAGCAGGAAAAGCAACTGGGTACTACCTTTGACTATATCTTCGTGTGTGCCGTGACAGGTTCCACGATGGCAGGCATAGTTACCGGTTTCAAACTGATTGAGAAGCTATACCCGGATGAGCCAAAGAAGAAAATTATTGGAATCGACGGTTCAGCGACCCCGGAGAAGACTCGCGCCCAGGTTCTTCGGATTGCCAGGAGCACCGCGGAGAAAATTGGGTTAGAGGCGGACGACATCACGGAGGCAGATATAGTGCTAGATGAAAGATACCATGCTGGGACATACGGCGTCCCCGACAAGCAGACTTGGGAGGCAATTGAGTATGGAGCAAAGATGGATGCGTTCATCACGGATCCAGTCTATGAGGGGAAGAGCCTTGCTGGATTGCTGGGATATCTGAGGAATGGTGAAATAAAGACTGGGAATATCCTGTATGCTCATCTTGGTGGACAATTGGCCCTGAATGCATATTCTCAGCTTGGGCATGTTGAATGATGGACCTCCTAGTCGCAGATCATATGAACAGCGCTCTATTAGATAGCTTGTATTAAATTCTATGCCTGAATATGCTTCAATCTACCGAGTGAGCTTCCTCCATCGCTCTTTTCTTAAAATGCCAGGATAATTACATCGTTAAATGCATGAAGTTAAAGAATTTGAAGACGATAAATGTGCTCAGTATAAAAAGTCCCAAGATTTTTCTCCTTTTATATTCGAGCTTTTAATCCAGTTGTCACGTGATACTTTTAGTCACTATCGATAAGAGCTCAAAGGACTGCAGGCTTCAATCGTTGATGCTTTTAACGGCTTGTATAAGACAGCATTGGGATACCGTATAGTATGCCTCATGGATCGAGGTTGAGGATGAATGACATCCCAGTCAAGCAACAGCAAGGAGATGGGGAGGAAGAGGAGGACGATTATATGTCTATGACCTTCCTGGAGCCTCAAGCTAAAAAGGAGACATTCACCCAGAAGAAGCTCCGTAAACTGAGAGAGGTGTGTTCCCTATCGACGATTCTCTAAGTGGGCTAAGATATACAGTGAATTTCTAACCAGATATTCATGTTAAAGGCAGAAGAAAGGGCACGAGTTCCGTCAAAGGCTGAACTGGCAGCCGCAGAAGCTGCACGCCGCGATGCCGCACTTTCAACGAGTACAATCGATACCTCCAATAAAGGATTCCAGATGATGGCAAAATTGGGTTACAAACCAGGCAGTGCACTCGGAAAGAAGGTTCCAACCGGGTCTGCAGGCAGTGAACTGGATCATCGACTTACGGAGCCACTGGGGATTTCGGTAAAGGAGAATCGGGGGGGAATAGGGCTCGATACGGAGAAGAAACGGAAACTACGTGAGGAACTAGAGGGGGAGGCAAAGCGGGTCAAGGCTGTGGAGAGCGATTATCTGGAACGCGTGAGAAACGAGCGAGAAGAGAAGCGGCAGGAGGGACAATTTCACGCTGCCCAGAAGGTCATTGAGCGACTGGACACTGAAAATGACGAAGACAGAGCCTGCGCAACAAATAGTCGTGTTGAGGGCGAGAGTCATGATGGCAAGGGCATACCAGCCAGGGAAGGGAAAACACAGCATACCCGGCCCAAGGCTCGGGTCAATATCCTTTATCGCGGACTGGTGAAAGCACGAGAGGAGAATCTACGTGATCAGCAAGCCACACGTCGTCGATATGAGTCTCTCTCTTCGCGTGACTCGTCTCAATTGTATTCCAAAAAGGATCCGAAGTTACCATCATTTGCCGATGATGAGCTGGAGGTCGACGATAAATTAGCTCTTGGTCGTACGGCTGAAGGCGAGGTTGTGGAAGTGGAAGCTGACGAAGAGGAGGATGAGGAACTGGAACAGTTCAATTCACTTGCTGTACAAGAACGGCTGTCCCGTGCTGTGATGTACTTGCGAGAGCAGTACAATTACTGCTTTTGGTGCAAGTACCGATATGAATCTGCAGACATGGAGGGCTGCCCGGGCCTGACGGAAGAAGACCACGATTGAGCTGGATGTTCCAACTTTGGCAAAGTGGTATTGTTTGCCACGGCGTACGGCTTGTGGCTTTTCGCAATTGCGATATACCCATCGATGCGTACGACGTCAACGCTTCCTATGACCTGGTCATGCAGCATACTTTTCACGCCGGACATTCAAAGGGTCATTGCCAAGTGGTACATTTTTCTAACAGGCGCCTGTTATATAGGGTACGTTTTCTCCAGGCATATAATCACTGCATATAGCGGTACCGAGGCTACCAGACGACCGTTTTAGCCATCCGTACTATGTATGCATGGGTGCTGTGTCCTATTATTCATTGCCATGCTATCATGCCGCATGCTGTGAGACATAACTTCCAGCGAGGCATAGGCACATTTGCGGGGCCTTTACCGGCATACGTACCTAACCCGTTGCACAGGTATTTTCCGAAGGGTAGAAGGACATCGATATATGCTTCTCTTCCATATAGGACGACGTTTGCACCGCACGATGACGGACGATGATGCTTATGCTCGGTTGTTTTTAAATTAGAGCATCGAATACTCCACCATCATGTCACATTCAATGTAGCATCCTTTGATATAGCCAAATAAAACCGGCGAAACCTGGATCTGTCTCAAGGATGTTACTATGTAAAGAGAACAATAACATGTTGCGACATATAATATCACAGGGGAGAAGACACGGCAGAGAAAGGAAGTGTTGGGTAGAAAGAAGTAAGATTTTTGGTATTTAATAAACATAATGAAAAATTATCTGGAGTTGTTGTATCCCGGTTAATACCAGGTATATATAGATGCAGAAATTAGACAAAGTAACGATCATTATTAGAATGAAAACACCATATAAACCACCCTTGCTGTAACGTCTGAAGATTCCATCAAGTAAGAAGAAGTAAGAAGAAGCAAAAAGAAGAGAAAAAATCATGGTATCATCTTACGCCCAAGAAGTTATTTATAAACCGAAACTATGGACAGGGCCTGCGAGGCGTGGGTTGTGGAATGAAATATATGCGGAACTCAATGAAAGAGAGAAGCGATCGAAAAGGCGAGAAAGAAGAGCGGGCTGAACATGAAGTAATGGGTTTCCTTTACGCTTGAGGTCTCATTTAAGCCTGGAGAGGGTTTGATATATCCCCTGGCTCCGACACCTCCGAGACTGCCTTTTCAGAGACTGCCTTTTCAGAGACTGCCTTTTCAGAGACTGCCTTTTCAGAGACTGCCATTTCAGAGACTGCCTTTTCAGAGTCAGCCTTCTCCGACTCAGCGGCACCGGCAGCTTCAAGGTCCATGACCAGCTTCTCCATGAATTCGATGAGGGAGCGGTCCTTGCAGGACTTGATGCCCTTGACGCAGTCGCTGCAGATTCGCAGACAGCAGAAGACGCAGCGCCATCGTACTTCCTGGTCGGCCTTGAGACAGGTCATGCAAGTCAACGGGTACAAGGCATTGCTACTCCGTACGAAGGTGGTGTGATACTGGTAGCAGGAGAAATGCGAATTGTTGAGCGGCGGAGTGATGTATTCCACCTTCTTGGGCGGGCCGGACGAATGCGCCGAGCAGCCGCTTTTCGGCCGGTCCGCGAGTTTCATCGACGTATCTGCCGGGCGATCCAGCTCAGATGCCGATACGGGGGTGCGTGAGAGGGGAGAGCTGGAGGCCGAGGAGTTCTCGCGCTGCTGGTTCGAGTCCGAGTACTGTGATCCGATTGAGGAATGGCTTATTGGCCGAGGAGCAGAAGGAGAGGAGGAGGGAGGGAGGGCGGCGGGTGCGGGAGGAGGTTGAACATGTTGTTGGCGAGGGCGGTAGTATCGCTGGGTCGGAGTACCGGGAGGAGTTGGCAGAAGTTTCTCGCGGCTGCGCACTCGTGGCACGTTAGGGCCATGGTCTCCTCGAGGGAGGCCTGACGGCCTCAGGTAGTCATTCCGACGCTGGTTGTCCTGTCGTAGGTGATGCTGGTGATGCTGGTGATGCTGGTGATGCTGCTGTTGCGGGATGGATGATGGGAATCGCAGTTTGGTAAACTGTCGGGTATCAAGCGGTTTCGACGGAGGCTCAGCAGGGAGCTGCACCGTCAGCACAGAAACCTCGGAAGCCATGTGCGATACACGCTGCAGTGGATGTAGTCTCCGCTTCCTCTGAGTATGTAGAGGTACAAGAGGGGATATGTAGTTTATCGCGTAGATGAGATGGCAGCAGAAGTATAGAAGTATGGTATGCCGCCCACAGGCCTTCTTGTGTAATTGAAGCCAGTTCCACACGCCGTCCTCCTATACTAGGATCAGCAAATTAAATTGTAACATGTTAAGAAGGGGGAGACACATACATATATAAGTCCTGCACCACACATCGACCACCACGAAAGCAGCCAAAAAGCAGCCAAAAAAAAAGAGAAAAAAAAGAGAAAAAAAAAAGAAAAGAAAAGAAAATTGAATTTCCCTAGCGGTGAATGCGGATAAGAATAAACGTTTATTTTCCTGTTACGCCATCTATTTCAGTTGGCGATGAAGCTTGCGGAGGTCCGGAATGTATGTACGAACCGCAACCTCTCAGCCAATGCCGGAGGAAGACGACAAGCCGGGAGGGAAAAAAGAATAAGCTGCTTTCCAAAGACGGGAATGATGCGGCGGCCCCTAGTGTAGGATAACTAGGGGAGACAAGGGGGGAGTCCGCTCTATCGATCCTCATACACTCGATCGATTGTTAATGCCGTGTGATTGAGGCAAACCTCCTTTCGGGCAAAGTACGGACATGAAGCCCTCGTCGTATCCACCTGGGGCCTTGCCACTGGGCAGACATACCACTATGTATGTATGTGTGTGCTATGCCTGGGAGAGTGAGCGAGGGGCCATGTCCATTCATCCACAGCCACAATTCGCGGTGGAGCTCCAGCGTGTCGAGACGTACCTTAACTCTTCAGTCTCCATATCCAGGGGAAAGGAATCGGACTGCAGGAGAACGGGGTACCTGTCATGGTGGATATCATCAGGCATTGAAGTATACTATGTATACAGACAGTAGAGTAACGATGGATACAGTACGGTTAGTCAGCAGAACTGGCGAGATAAAATACACGACGTAACTTATGGTCTCAGTAAGCGGTATTCCAGTTACTATCAGTATCATAGAGTCGTCTAATATACAAGTTAATATACACATAGGTCCGTTCTGGGAGTTTCTAGGCGGCCACGCGAGTCAACCATCCATCGAGCTTTAAC